CCGTAAACAAACGCAACCTCTAGTTTAAAATTAAAATTACAAATTACTTTTTGCCGAACCTGCGAGCTTATCATCGAGCAGGCGGTTGCAACAGGATGGTGCGACCACACAAACCGCTGGCTCCGTTATTCATTAGCTTTGGGAAGCTTACTCTTAAAAACTAATCAGTCGCATTGAGGACATCACGTGACCAGCCAGGTTCCCCGATTTAATGCTTTTTATTAAATATTATGCTGCAATTTTAATTTTTGCTACTAATTAATAAAAATAAGAAAAAGCATTCTATTGTTGTTTATTTTTTTCTGCATCTATATATTTTTTGTAAATAAAATGTAAATCGGCATCTGCGGATGTGAAAAAAATCCATCCGCAAAATCCCTGGTTCAACAGGATGGTGCGACCACACAAACCGCTGGCTCCATTATAGATTGGCTTCGGAAAACTTACTCTTAAACCCGAGTCACTCGCTTTGGGAACATCCCGTGGCCCTCGATTTAATACTTTTTATTAAATAAAATTTAAATTTCTGAATCAGAAACAGTCTGTAGGCTACCGACCTCCTTACATTCACAAGAGACTTATAACACAAATAAATTTACTAATTTAAAAGTATATTGTCAAAAAGCCTATGAAGGGAATCCCATAACTATAATATTTAAGAGGGACACCTGTTCGAATGACGGAGGTGGTGAGTTTGAGGTCATGGGGTCTGAGCTTAAACGGTGGATGCATTATAACTTATACCATCACCTCCAAAAGCGCTTTTGTCTGAGGACGTCCTATTCCACATTACATTGTTAATTACCAGAGGAAACAACTTAAGAAAAATAGCATTGTTAAAGCAATGAAGACTCCTCTGCAAGAAAATATAAAAACCTATAACATAAAGTGCGATACTGATGCGGACCTTATGAGAAGGAAGAGGAGTGAGCAAGTTGAACTCAACTCCAAAGATTTGACTTTGAGCATAATTGCTGGATCCTTCCTACACTACACTCTTGCTGTCGTCAAGAAAACAAACGAAGTCTGTCAGATATAATTGACCTGCATCACATTGATGTATAAACTGGACAATTATTTCAGGCCCCCTCCTGCCACCTTAACTTATGGTCTCATCCCTTTGTTACCGAAGATGGATGATGGTTCTCTCATTCAGTTTTGCTATACATACTAAGATTAAAGACGTGAATAAATAATAATAGTTCAGAAACAAATCGTTGGTTCTTTGCATTCATTCAAATCTACTGACTGTGTACTCACAACAAACGTAGACATGGCCACTAATTCTAATGGCAACTGAATATTTAAACTAAATTAATTGTTTGAACATCGTCGTCTCTCGCGACAGGAGTCCGCGAGCACCGGACCGGCGCCCACACTTCCATCACTGAGAACAACTCGCGCGTTCCTTATTATATTTTAATTCGTTCTCTGTGTCACATATTTACTTATACAAAATTACAGTCCATAGTTTAGAATACGTTCGGCTGAATTAAGATTATCCCGCACAACATTGCGCCGTATTTTGAAATTACATCCATATAAGATCCAGTTAATGCAGGAATTAAAACCTAATGATTTAAATTTGCGCAAGTCGTATGCCGAAACAATGTTAGATCGATTCAGTAATTTTGATAACCTCTTATTTTCCAACGAAGCCCATTTCCACCTCAACGGGCATGTAAACAAACAGAATTGTAGGCATTGGAGCAGCAAAAATCCCAAAGCTAAACACAAGAGGCCATTTCATTCTCCTAAGGTACATAAGCTGCAATTTCAGCAAAAAGAATCATAGTACCCAAGTTTTCGAAGATTTTCGCGGCCGTTTACTGCGAATTCATATTGAGTATGTGAAAATGTTACGGGAGTTCTTTGCACCGAAGCTACTGGAATTTACTGGCTACAATAGTAATACATGGTTTCAACAAGATGGAGCCACTAGTCACACATCCAACGAGTCCCTGCCGGTAGTCAAAGAAATGTTGTCGAAAAAGCTAATTTCCAGACGAAGCGATATCACATGGCCACAGGAGGTCCATCCATCCCCAGCAGACTTCTTTTTATGGAGTTATTTGAAGAGTCGTGTCTATATCCATAAACCAAATACGTAGTGTATTTGGTTTATGGATACAGACGATGTAATACATGGTTTCAACAAGATGGAGCCACTAGTCACACATCCAACGAGTCCTTGCCGGTAGTCAAAGAAATGTTGTCGAAAAATTTCCAGACGAAGCGATATCCCATGACCACGTAGGAGGTCCAGATACATCCCCAGCAGACTTCTTTTTATGGAGTTATTTAAAAAGTCGTGTCTATATCCATAAACCAAATACACGTCAACTAAAGGAAAAAAATCAGCGAAGAGATGTCGGCGATCCCGCGGTCTCTTTGTCAACGAATATTCGAAAAGGTTTGGTTTTCGGTTAAAAGAGTTTAAATTCTGAACGATGGCCATTTAGATCATGTAATTATTAAAAAATAATACCAACTACTTAACTTTCTTGTAAATAACAATTTTTAAAATATGTTATATGGTATTTTTTCAATTGTTAACTAATTCGTGGCCCAACCTTTATTAATAAGATTTCATCTTTTTTATATTTTTCAAATATTACGATACTTTCTGGATATTGCCATATATTTGGACAGCAAACAGATTTAATACCGACTATGGTAAATATTGAAGAAATATACTAACAAACTATATAGAATGATTTACAGCCTTGGTGATACATAAATATATTTAGCACACTCCTTACTACGTGACATAGCCCAAAACACGCAAGTCCTTAGTGATACATGTTTCGCACACCCCTTACTACATGCAAAATCCCTTAAAAGACGCAAAACCAACCACTGAAATCGAAGAAACCACCAACGAGAAAGAAACAAAATGTCCTGAGTACCAGGAGCCTGTCACGATTGTATATGACTTCCATACCGATATAATTGATAGAAATGACCTAAAGGAAATTATTTAAGAATATAAGAGCCTTAGAAGGAATGTGTTACATATGAATGTGGATGGATATAAGGGCAGAGGAAGGCCGAAAAAGAGATAGACGCCGTATAGACGGCAGAGTGGGCCGGACGGGGCGGCACACATCAGTGGGAACATAGCACCCAGCGCAGTGCATACGAGGAGAGAATTCAATGGCCATAACGGCTCATAAGACGATAAATATATTACTCTCGAAAATACGCCCTTGTACGCGTCAGCCATAATGCCATAATGTAAATAATTTTTCACAATAAACTCTTTGGAATTAAAAGAGACAATTTCGTGACCCCTGATCTATTCACAAACAGACTGTGTGAAAGATGATATGATAAGAAAGGGAGGAAATAACGAGATGACTGCGAACAGCGATGAATGGAAGAGAAAAACATACTACGACGACCACAAATAAATGGAATAAGGAAGAAGCAGATATAGGACAAGAGGCTTAGAACATCAAATATATAAAAGTAGATCTGGAAACTTTGAAAATAAATCTAAAGACAACGACGGATGGTCCTTGGATAATGCACACAGCGCCATCTAGTCTTAAAGTAAACCTGTTATAAATACATAGAAATATTTTTATTGTTAATACGAGATATATATAGAAAACATCCAGACCGATAATGTACAGACACAAATGTCCATTCCTGGGATGTGGATTGTTAGTAATGTGGATTAATAACCCCATTGCTAGCAATGTACCATGTCAGGTCGACCTCCACGCGGTTCCCCTGGAAACCATCGTGATAAATTCCCAGTGAATTTGTCACGTTGGGCTAACTGATCTGACCTCATGCTCATCTTATCCTCCACTGGTGCCCCGCCTGCGTAAACCGTTAGCACAAGCAGGCGCATCATTCTATTATCATCCATAAAAAAATGTCTATACCGTGCGAGGAATTGAACCCGCGATCAGATAGCGGTGTGGAAAACCGCTAGACCACTGTGGCCGTCAAATGTTACGGCTAGCAAAATGTATTTTTATGTTAAAATAAATAAGTCAATAATAATCTCAGGACAGGGCCATAAAGCATAGAATTAACGCAGGATGGATGAAGTGGCGGCAGGTTACGGCAACGACGTGTGCCTCGCGTGTTCCTCTTAAGCTTAAGGGGAAAATTTACAAGACCATGATCCGGCCTGCTGTCTTGTATGGATCAGAGTGCTGGCCCGTAAAGGCGACGGATGAAAGACGACTGCATGCAACTGAAATGAGAATGTTGAGGTGGATGTGTGGTGTGACAAGAATGGATAAGATAAAGAATGAATACATTAGAGGAAGTATGACAGTGGCACCGGTGTCAGAGAGGTTGAAGAGTAATCGTCTATCATGGTATGGACATGTAATGCGTAGGAACGAGGATAATATTTTAAGAAAGATGTTACAAATGAATGTGGATGGTATAAGGGCAGAGGAAGGCCAAAAAAGAGATGGATGGACTGTGTGAAAGATGATATGGTAAGAAAGGAAGTAAATAACAAGATGACTGCGAACAGGGATGAATGGAAGCGAAAAACATATTACGCCGACCCCAAATAAATGGGATAAGGATGAAGCAGATGATGATGATGATGAATCTCAGGACAATTCACACAGCGCCATCTAGTCACAAGTTAAGCTAGCTAAAGCTTGTGTTATGGGTACTAGACAACTGATACAAATAGGGTAGGGCGGGGCTAAAAGGTCCATTTTGCGTATATTGTGTCATAACTACGTACGTTTAAGGTTCCTGGGAAAGACTTTAATAATAATAGAAAGTTTAATCCTTCATCTATAAGTTGCCATAGGTGAATACGGCCAGAATTTACCAATGCGCCCAATATGGGCGATACAAAATGTAATGTCAAATGGTCCTTTTTACCCCGCAGGTGGGGTAAAAAGGACCAGTCTTGGGGTAAAAAGAACCACGACAACTAAATCATATTTTGTGGTCAAATGTAGGAAATAAATAAAAATAAATAATCTTTATATTTATTATATTTTAATCGACAGATATGTTGCGACCTATTTTGCACTGGTAACTAAGTTATATAATTATAAGGCACAGTTATAATCAGTCTTAATAACAAATCTTTAGGTCTTTGGTCTTTTTGATCTTGATAAAGGTAACATCTTAAAACAATTGTAGTATCTCAAAATCGTACATATTCATAAAAGAAATCGGTAACATCTTTAGCAACTTAAACAATTTAAAAAAATAAGTATTTTCAACAAAAAACTAATAACTAATCTTCATCAGACTGACAATTCTTACATTCGTATGCAAGAGATGATGAGTGATGTTTGGCACACTTATCGTGGGCCCAACCTTTACAGGTATTACATTGAATCCAGCCTTCTCCTGCAACACTGTCAGCAAATGACTCGCAGCATTCCAGACAAAGACATTCTTCTTCTTCAGAACTCGAACTCGTATCTTTTTCTTGTATAATCTTTCTTTTCACTTGTTTATTTTTATTTGTATCTTTTTCTTGTAAAATCTTTTTTTTCACTTGTTTATTTTTCTTCGAGACAGCTTTTTTACGAGAGACCATTTTCTTCTTCTTTTTATTTTCTTGTTCCAAAGACAACGCTTCCTTTTCAGGTGTGTCTGTTAATATAGCTGCCTTTCGTCGTTTCCTGCTGGTAACATTACGCGGTCCTGCCTGAGGGAAAGGCCTGATGGATTCCGGAGAAAATATTGATGGCTGAGCAAACAAGGATGAAGCTGACGTAGATGGTTGAGGCTCAATGTTTGAAGATGGAACTGTACAGGACCTTAATGGCAGACAATCTTTTTCAACAGCAGCTGTAGAAGACAACATTAGGTCACTTGAGGACAGCAAAACTGAGACGGTAGGCAACTGAGGCCCTACTGTAGACAACTGAGAAGGAGATACAGGAGATATACTTGCTGAAACAACTGCTACAACTTCGGGCTGCGAAGAAATTAACAAACTTGGTGAACCTGGAGAAATAGGCAACTGGGGCTCTGTAGACATAGGCGGCTGTGACTCATTAGGTACAGAAGACGTTGTTGGATTGTTCGGATTTGGTCGGTCTGTCACAAAACTTGGAGCGAAGTCCGACTCATCAAACACTTCCCGGTTGAACGGGTAAACCCCAGCTTTTTGAAACCCTTTCGAGATGTTGTTGGGAGTCAGTGCCAAAGGTAAAGCTGTTCGGACGATGCCTGGGATATCGTAAATGCTCATTGTTTTTCCTGGGTGGCCACGCATCCATGAATCTTGTGCTGACGATAAATACCTTTTAAACGGCCCGAAAACAGACACGTCTAAGGGCTGCAGCTTATGGGAACAATGAGGAGGATACGACAGCATCACTACTCCATTATTTTTCGCTAGATCCAACACTTCCACTGACAAGTGCGAACTGTGATTGTCTAGTAAAAGCAAAACTGGCGACTCTTTAGTTGGCTTCACATAAGTGATGAAATGTTTCATAAAAAGCAAGAATTCCGTATCAGTCATCCAGCCGCTTGCATTTCCTGCACCAATACATTCTGCTGGCCCATCTCGCACGAAATGATCTTGGTATTTCTTTCTTGGAAATACGAACATTGGAGGTATCGAAGATCCAGTTGCCGAAACAGCTACCAACAATGTTACATTAGTTCCTCTTTCAGCAGATGTGACAGACCCGACGTTTCTTTTCCCTTTGGCTGCAATTATTTTTGAAGGTTTATTTACAGTCGAGACACCAGTCTCATCAGCATTCCATATAGACGAACCTCTGAATTTGTGACGATCCATCACGTGTGCCAATTTATCAAAATATTCACAAACGTTCGTTCGATTGAAAGAGGTGGCCCTGCTCAAACTAGTAGCCTCTGGCTTCCTGATAGAGAGACGGTCATTCCTTGACAAGAATCCCGTCAGCCAGTCCTTTCCAGCCATCTTATTTGTGTGCCATACCTCAGGAATCTTCAAATTATATTTTACAGCGCATTCATAAGCCAAGCGACGAACATCTTTAGGGCCTATACCGTGAAAGATTTGTGCAAGTGTCAGTAAATACTCGCAGAGAGAAGTTTCTTGTTCTTGGTTAAACACTAATCTGGGAGTGCCGTAGCCAAATTTTGGCGACTCCGGATTTTCCTTTAACCGCGCCATGAATCTCTTCAATGAAGTTCTGCTAATCTCATAGTCACGACAAACTTGCCTTATTGATTTATCTTCATTTGCGACTAAATCAGCCGCTCGCTTCATCAGCTCAACGGACTTCGTACCACGCTCAGTGGTTTTTTTATAATTCCGCATTCTGAAAATAAAATAGAAATTAATACATAGAATCAAAATAATTCGTGGGGCTTAAAGGTCCACCGCGGTCCTTTGTGCCCCAATGGTAGGTGGACTGTTGTTTTAGGTTATGTAGAAAAACAAGGTGATGCAAACAAAAAAACAATGGCACTACGTGAAACTTAATACCACTAAACATTTATACAGAGAAATTATGTTTCGTAAGTTTAAAAATCGAACAATGAGACTAAAACTAAGTAAAATCTAAAACATTACTTACGTGTAATTTTCGCACCACTTGCGCGTACACTCTTGCCGGCTCTAGAAAATGCACTGCGCGGGGCGGCATGCGCACCCGTCCCTCGTCCCCTTCACGCACCGGTCACTCCGTTGTCTAACGTGCACTTAGTTTCGGAGATAGGCATGGTGGACCTTTTTACCCGCGGACCTTTTAGCCCCGCCCTACCCTACATAGATTTTTTCGTAAATTCATACATAATATTTATAGAAAACATCCAGACCGATACAATCATACTCATAACATTGAAAAAAAACGTTTGTATTGGGCGAGGAATCGAACCCTAGATCAGAAGTAAAGCGGCCACCATCATCACCACCACCATCATCATCATCATCAGCATCATCATCTGCTTCTTTCTTATATTAGTGCTGATTGGTAGTTTGTATTCACACGTTTCGACTTGTAAAATGTGAACTTACAAGGATTGTTTAAAAGAGCAACACACAAGTTTCTTGCTTATTCTTCTTGTGATGAGACAGCTTTCCGAATAAGCGGTAGATTTAAAAAAAAAATGTTGACTATTCAAAAGTGCTTAAATTAAGTTTATTTGAATAAATGATTTTCTATTCTATTCTTATCCCATTTATTTGTGGTCGGTGTAATATGTTTTTCTCTTCAATTCATCCCTGTTCGCAGTCATCTCGTTATCTACAACCTTTCCTACCGAGATCTTCAAATTAATATTGTTATGGATATAAGTTTTTTTTTTTCGGACTACTCTAATGCTGTTGGCCGCAGCTGGCCTTTACAGCTTCACCGGACGTTAGAGGCGAGTGCAGATGGCACTCCAAACGAAAGGAAGAACTTATGGAGCGGCTGAAGGCCAACTCCTGCCTGACGGATACGACTTTAGTCTGAGGGCACCACTAGGGGGTTCGAACCTCGGCTCAGGCCGTCGTAATTTCGATCCCCGTTTGAATTGGATGGGGGATCGATCGGAGGGGAGGTGAGTTAAGAAGTGTAAGTAAAGAAGTTTATATAATATTATTCTTAAATAAATTTATTTCATTATACATTAAATGATATTATTACACTATTATGTAACAATTTCTTTTGAAATAGAAAACAGATCAACGGATTTTGAAACGTTTTTTTTAATAGATAGTGATTCAAAAGGAAGGTTTATATATATAATACATGTACATCCGGGCGAAGCCGGGTCGAATAGCTAGTAGTATATATATACTAGGCAACTGATATATTTTTTAAATACATACATAATGTACATAGTAAACATACAGACTGATACAAACAATCATAGTCATAAACACAAATGTATGTACCCTGCGAGGAATCGAACCACCGACCATCGATAATTGATAAATATATATGGATACATCACTACATAGTATAAAACAGTGTCGCTGTCCGTCCCTATGTATGCTTAAATCTTTAAAACTACGCAACGGATTTTGAAGCGGTTTTTTTAATAGACAGAGTGGTTCTAGATTAAGGTTTACATATATAATACATGTACCCCCGTGAGAAGCCGGGGCGAGTAGCTAGTAGTATATATAGTATAGTACACATATACTAGACAACTGATATATTTTTTAAATACATACATAATGTAAATAGGAAACATCCAGATAATCATACTCATGAACACAAATGTATATACCGTGCAAGGAATCGAACACCGACCATCGGAAGCAAAGCGCTACACCGCTAAACCACCGGGTCAGTCATACTTTACGTTTCATAAATAGCAAAACCATCACTCTTCTTCATAGACAACTTCGTACGTCACGCCCTCATCCTCCATATCGATACCATAGAGCACTTCCGCTTCTTCAACTTCCTCCTGATACAAATCCACTTCCGGTTTCACTATACACAACTCCGACGCTTCCGTCTTCATGTCAACCTCTACATCGTACTCAACACCATTCTCTGCTATGCTCTGCTGTGCTAACAACCTGAGCTCTCTCGCTTTGCTCTCCTCCCGTCTTCTCTTGGATTTGTACGGCGCTGGCATCTTTAGATGAACGGTATGCACGTGTAGTTTCATTGAATTCGACTGTGTGAATGTCTTACCACATTTGGGGCACTCGTAGGGCTTTGCCCCCGTGTGGACCTGGAAGACAATAATAAAAAAATACTAAGCAGAGCTCATGGGTACTAGACAACTGATATAAATAAATAAATAACCCTGGACAATTAACACAGCGCCATCTAGTCCCACGGTAAGCAGAGCTTGTGTTATGGGTACTAGACAATTGATATAAATAAATAAATAACCCTGGAAAATTAACACAGCGCCATCTAGTCCCACGGTAAGCAGAGCTTGTGTGTATGAAACTAAATAGATGAATAAATAAACGCATGTATGAATCTGAATGAATAAATAAATAAACGCAGTATGAATCTGAATGAATGAATAAATATACGCATGTATGAGTCTGAATGAATAAATAAATAAACGCATGTATGAATCTGAATGAATAAATAAATAAACGTGTGTACGAGTTGAATAAATAAACGCAGATATGAATCTGAATGGATGAATAAATAAACGCATGTATGAATCTGAATGAATGAATAAATAAACGCATGTATGAATGTGAATGGATGAATAAATAAACGCATGTATGAATCTGAATGGATGAATAAATAAACGCATGTATGCATCTGAATAAATGAATGAATGCACACATGAAACTATGAAAGAATGAATAAACAATTGTAACGCGCCAGGAATCGAATCCGCGACCATTACAAATAAAGCGGCGCGCCAAACCACTAAGTCACTGTGGCCGTTTTTGACCGTTTTTAACTCACCCTATTGTGTCTGAGCAGTGCCGCTCGATTGCTGAAGGCCTTTGGACATAGAGGACAGGGATACGGCCGCTCCCCCGTGTGCGTACGCAGATGAATCTGTAACAGAATTATAGCAGATAAACAACATACGACTGTTATCTTAGGGGCTGTTCAAGTATTATGTAATAATAATAATAATCATCACATAACTCATCCATGCTTGGCTAAGGCCCGCGTGTTTGAATATATTACCCTCGTAAAAAGGGAGATATAATAAATATATATATATATCATCATCATCATCATCATCTGCTTCTTCCTTATCCCATTTATTTGGGGTCGGCGTAATATGTTTTTCTCTTCCATTCATCTCTGTTCGCAGTCATTCCGTTATTTACTCCCTTTCTCACCATATCATCTTTCACACAGTCCATCCATCTCTTTTTCGGTCTTCCTCTACCCTTATAACCATCCACATTCATATGTAACACCGTCCTTAGGATATGATCTTCATTCCTACGCATTATATGCCCATACCACGATAGACGATTACTCTTTAACTTCTCTGACATCGGTGATGTAATAATAATAATAATAATAATAATAATAAAATAGACCAGATATAACGCTACATGATAAGAAAAATAAAATAGTTTACCTTATAGATATTGCAATACCAAATACACATAATCTTCTATCAACACATACAGTACTAAGTATACTGATCTAGCAATAGAACTAAAAATACAATGGTTAGAAACAGTGAAAACTCTCCCAATTATTATCTCGTCCACAGGTGTCATCCCAACATCCCTACACACTGATAAATATACATAGATATTTTCATGTTTTGTAAAACACTAAATACATATTTTACATTAAAAACATCCTCATTCATAATTTATACTGTCATTGTTTGGTGATTTTTACAAACAATCATACTCTATGAATATATAATATATATATATATAAATAATAATAATAATAATCTCAGGACAATTCATACAGCGCCATCTAGACCCAAGTTAAGCTAGCTAGAGCTTGTGTTATGGGTACTAGATAACTGATACATATACATAGATATTTTTTTTTATAAATATTATACATAGAAAACACCCAGACCGATACAAACAATCATACTCATAAATACAAATGTTTGTGCCGTGCGAGGAATCGAACCCGCGACCATCGGTCGTAAAGCGGTATGCTCAGATGGTAGATGATGATGATGCGGCTCGAATGCTCAGATGGTAGGTGTTGATAGCTTCAGCAGATTATAGGGTTGTTGAAAATGATAGAATTTAATTTTGAACTTTCGTGTTTAATATACATTATTTAAATTATTAACCGGGTCTTAACACGAATAATTTTATGGCAAATAAAGGTATATCCATAGCCTTCAACCCTTTGTATGGAAGTATCGTTATTTTTAAAGATGGAAGCTTCAAACTTACTGTTTAGGCTATATAAATAAATATGACACTCAAAGTTTGAATAAATATTACTCTTATGGGGGTAAAATAAAATAAGGGATGAAAGTTTGTATGGAAACATTTTTGAAGCTAGAACGATGAAACTTTTGGCTATTTTGGGTAGATAACTAAATATTTTTTCTTTATTTGGTTACAGTCACTACGCGGACGACGTCGCGTGCACAGTTAGTATTGTATATTTACCTGAAGGAACAGAGGCATTGTGAATGCCTTGGGACAAACACTGGTAGGGCTGAAACTTTTTTTTTTTGAAGTTTTGGGTAGAGAACTGAATATTTTTCCTTTATTTGGTCAAGGTCACTACGCGGACGACGTCGCGTGCACAGTTAGTATTGTATATTTACCTGTAGGAACAGAGGCATTGTGAATGTCTTAGGACAGTACGAACACTGGTAAGGGCGCTCGCCAGTGTGGATTCTTTGGTGATATCGTAGGGCTGCATTTGACTGGAAAAAAAAATTATAGTGATAAGTTCCACATAAATAATGTAGAATAATATTTTAAACAGATAATTTTAAAATATCGGTATTAATCTATTATTCTTCTTTTAAACGTAAACTGTGGGACTACTATCTAAATTCGTAAGTTTGTTTTTTTATTATTATTTATTTTCTTTTTCTCTCGTTTCTCTTTACCTTATATTTTTCTTTTTATTCTCTGTGGTGTAACTGTCAGATTGTTTGGTATGTATTTATATAGTTGTTTAGGTATTGTGTATGAGTATGTATTTGTATATCATATTATATATTCCTTATTTGTATATGTATGTGTGTAAATGTATATATATGTTTATATTTATGTATTATTGTAAATGTAATAGTATAAATATTATTATATAATTTTTTATGCCTTGATTTATATTTTTTTTTTGTTATGATTATTTTTGCATCGCCAACAATTTTTCTCTGTACTGCCTATGGTTGACTGGTAGAAAATACCGCATGGTGTTAAGTCCGCCAAATGTACTGTTACTTTTGTACTGTGTGCATTAAAGATATATAAATAAAAAATAAAATAAATAATTAAAGAAGATAGTTTGTTGTGTTTAGTACTAATGATGTAGCCAATGTAAAGATTACAAATCATCAGTTAAATAGAAAAATGGCAGTTTTTTTGACGACTTCTGCGGTCACAGCATTTTACGACCAATGGTCGGCATAAACATTTGTATTCATGAGTATGATTGTTTGTATCAGTCTGGGTGGTTTCTATGTATAATATGTATGTATTTACAAAAAAATCTATGTATATATCAGTTATCTAGTACCCAGAACACAAGCTTTAGCTAACTTAACTTGGGTCTAGATGGCGCTGTGTGAATTGTCCTGAGATTATTATTATTATTATATTTTACAAGCATTTAAAGTTTTTAAATTTATTTAAATTATTTTTTCCCTTAAAGTTTTAACAAAAAATTACACAGAAGTATTGTATATCATTTTAAAAGTATTTAGATAATGATTAAGACGGCGGCGTGGTTAATTTAATTGACTTATATAAAAGGAGTCAATTCTAGATTATAATTTTGAAAAATTACATTTTTCCATTTAATCGACGAAATATTGTAAATAGCGCCATCTAGTACTTATAGGCCGAACTAAGTTGTTTGTCATAAGATAACCGTTACCCCTGCTTCTCTCACTCTACACTGACTTCAGTCTATAGATAGGGAGGTCTATTTCTTTGAATAAGCTATGGCATTTAGTCGAGCACAGAACGTACCAGTTGTATTTCGGATAAATACCATTGCTCCTAAGAATATCCTTCAATTCTTGTCCCTGACGGGTCTAGATAGCGATCTTTGAAAAGGGCGAGCACAATAGATCTATGTAGGTCGCAGTGCTACAGGTCATAGTACCTAATAATAGCACAAACTTTTGATAAAGAGCTCGAAGATTAATATTTATGTAATCTTTTTAGTAAGAAAGAAGAAAGAAAGAAAAATATTTTATTCAGTGCAATGTAAAAAATACAATATAAATAAGGTAATTTAGTAATAAGTATAATATAAGTAAGGAGCCAACAGAATATCAGCGCTGCAGTTATCTGTAGCATTATGCCGAGTTGGCTGCCTTTTCACTTTTGTGACACATAAAGTCACCTACATTTCTTTTATTAATTCGTGTTTTTTCTGTATCTCATGTATGTTATGTGTCTGTAATTGTGAATAAAGAATTTATCTATCTATCTATATATAAAAAAACACAGCTAGTCTAAATATATATAACTCAAAGGTGACTGGCATAGTGATCTATCAACGCACAGCCCAAACCACTGGACGGATCGGGCTGAAATTTGGCATGCAGGTAGATGTTATGACGTAGGCATCCGCTAAGAAAGGATTTTGATTAATTCTACCCCCAAGGGATAAAATAGGGGATGAAAGTTTGTATGAAACTTTGTCAATTTTAAACCGATCGGGCTGAGACTTTGCATGCATAAAGCTACTATGACGTAGGCATCCCCTAAGAACGAATTTTGATAAATTCCACCTCTAAGGTGATAAATTATGGCCAGAGTAGCCGAGTGCAAAAGCTAGTAAATAATAATTGCAACTCATAAAAACTCACCGCATATCGTTTCCCGCACATCTCACAGACTATATTCTGTATGTTATGGTAGGTGACCTTCTCTGGTCGCTCCTTCTTCAGGTTGCGGACCCTGGGGTCCAGCTTGACCATTCTCTTAGCGTCCTCATGGTCCTGCAGCGTGAGTACGTTGTTCTCCAGTTTGACGATCTTCTTCTCCAACTTCAGTGTGCCGCTGTCGAAGTTTAGCGCGTTGTGGTCCTCTAGTTTGATCTGTACAAATTGTTTTGTTTGACATGTTGGATCATCTGTCTTGTCCTTCTGCAACAATAATAACAATCTCAGGACAATACACACAGCGCCATCTAGATCCAAGTTAAGCTAGCTAAAGCTTGTCTTATAGATGCTAGATAACTAATACATATTTATTTATTTATTTATTTAAACTTTAATGCACAAATCAATATATAAATGTACATAGATAACTAAGTCAACATATACATAGTTTATAAACATTTACGTTTTTAAAATAATACATATTATTAGACATACATATTTACATAAGACACATAAATAAATATATACATATACATACTTGGATTAAATATTTAGATACAGGAAAATACATAGATACTTTTTTTTTTCGTAAATACATACATATTATACATAGAAAAGACCTAGGCCGATACAAACAATCATACTCATGAATACAAATGTTTGTGCCGTGCGAGGAATTGAAGCCGCAACCATAAAATGTAAAGTGGTGTGCTAATCCATTAACCAAAGAGGTCGTCAAACAATATATAAATATAGATTTAACTAGCTAATCCCCCCGGCTTTACATATGTGTACATGTATTATATATATATATATACCTTCCTCTTGAATCACTATAAAAAAAAAATGCTTCAAAAGTAGTTTTAAAGATTTAAGTATACAGAGGGACAGACAATGACAGTAACTTTTTTTTATACTATGTAATGATAATAACATTGGACAATTCACACAGCGCCATCTAGTCCCAAGTTAAGCATGGCTGGTGTTATGGGTACTAGACAACTGATATAAATAGATAGATACTATTTTATATACATAGAAAACACCCAGACCGATACAAACAATCACACTCATGAACACTAATGTTTGTGCTGTGCGAGAATTGAACTCGTGACCATCGGAAGTAAGGTGGTGTGTTAAACCCCTAGACCATAGAAGACTTCAATATTTATAGATATATAATGAAATACATACATCTTTATGTTTATTATTGTGTTTATATATACCTATATGGTTCTATCCCACTCTAGGTGTTACAAATGAATGTGGATGGTAATAAGGGGAAGGCCGAAAGTTATATATCTTGAAGAATTTGTCACAATGTGCTAACTGACCTGACCTCGTGTTCTTATCATCCTCCACTGGCGCACCAGCATATACTGTTAGCACAGGCGGGTGCACCATTACATTTCATGAAAACTCATATCTTAAGGTGGATGGTTATAAGGGCAGTGGAAGACCGAGAAAGAGATGGATGGACTGTGTGAAAGGTGATGGTAAGAAAGGGCGTGAATAATGAGATGACTGCGAACAGGGATTAATGGAAGAGAAAACATATTACGCCGACCACAAATAAATGGGATAAGGAAGAAGCAGATGAAGATAAAAAACTTTTGTCAGTTGGGCGGCCATTTTATTGTTAAAATAGTCCATCCTATCTTTTTAACATGATATGTGCCCTTTTTTTATAGATGATAAATTGATAATGTAACGGTGCACCTGCCTGTGCTAGCGCTATACGCTGGCGGGGCACCAGTGGAGGATGATAAGATGAACATGAGGTCAGGTCAGTTAGCACATCGTGATAAATTCACTAGGAATTTATCACGATGGTTTCCAGGGGGAACCGCGTGGAGGTCAACCTGACATGGTACATTGCTAGTAATAGGGTCATGAGTCCACATTACTACCGATTCCCTTCCCCCTTGCTATGTGCCTGGCCCAGTTCCATTTTTTAAACTGAACTAAAACATTAGACCATTTTCATCCATTAAAAAAAAAGTTATCTGCAATTGGCACAAATCCATACAAGTTACTGTCTTATTATTAAATACTGATAATAGTTATTAGTCTAAATATAATCATAATTTTAATCTTATATTTCAATTATATAGGTTAGGAATTATATCGATTTTTATATAATCTAACGAATTTGCCGCTTAATATATAATAAGGCCGCTTTTGACTTCGTCGGGCGCCTTATCGTTTAATCTTCTATATAATAATATAATATACAAACTACATCACTCATAACAAACTGCAATCTTTCTCTATATATTATTAATTAATATAAATTTAAGTGTAGACATGCTTGATATGTAGAAACGTAAAATGATAATTAAAAGGTGTTATGAGACACGCTAAAGAAAATAAAATATATTAAGTTTATTTAAATAAATAAATAAACATATTAAAAACATACCGAAATGGATATGTCCTTTTTTTCAGAATTGTATTTGTGTTCGGTTTCCAAATGGTTTTTCAATGCTTCCTCAGAAGGAAATGTCTCGCCACATTCACAGATTATATAATGTATACTAACAAATGAACAATAAAACATGTTTTCATCCCCCATAGCGATTATAGAGGCACAGATTAGATAGTAATACCAATGGAGATTGAAGTTGCGGGACACAGAAAATATATTAATTAAACTTCTGTGCCGTCCGCCATTTTATTTTATTCTGTGGAGTGTTGCCAGACTTGATTTTCAAACTACAACAGGGAACAAAAATAAAAAAAAGCAGGTTAAAAGTGAGCGACGCTATTTATGAATACTGTGATCTATTTCCTTCTTTTCCAGCCATTCTTTTACCCTTTTTTTTATGTAATAAAAACTACCACGCTAAACTTTATAATTCTTTAAGTTTTTCTATATAAAATTTTAAAAGTGAGCGACGCCATTTATGTGATGTATTTCCTTCATTTTCAGTCATTCTTTAACTCTTTTTTTTATGTAATAAAAACTACCGCGCTCACTTTACAATTATTTAAGTTTTACTATATAAAATTATGTTATCTGTGGCTTTACTATGTTTATGTACTAGAAATACTTTTTCAACCGAATATATACTCAACCAAACAATATCTACTTATACTTGAAATATATGACATACATTTATCGGTCGACTCAAATTTGTAACAAATCAAGAAGTTGTGAAATTTCTGTTAAAATTGGGAAAACTCCCACAATCGGCAGATATGGCAACAAAAAAATTACGCATGCGTCGCGTCGCGGTCGCCGCTTAAGCGAAGAGTTCAGTGTTTCCATCTCTAAATTACAGTACAGATTATTACATAAAGAGGATATTACACAATGATTAAAATAATATTTTAATACATTCGAAGCTAGATATTCTCCAATTTATTGATATATTTTTAATTTAAGTTTTATTCTTTATGCTTTTATTATTTTAACTCTATCTTACTTTATATTTATGAGCAATGAATACAATTTGATAATACTTTCTGATATACTTCAACTTTCACCAAAAGTTTTATAAATAAATTCGTTAAACTTAGCACTTTATTAAAAATATTGCTCATTTCCATGTGAGGTGATGACTTAAAATCAGTCAATAAATAATCAGTTCGATCTCGTATTATGTTCCGTTATTGGTCAAATCAAGTAATAATATATTTTGTAATTCTAAATTGTAATGCGTTATTCATTTATTTAATGTATCACAGATGTAAAAGCTGACGCCGGAAATTCATATTAAGTTGTATGATTTTCAAATGTTACACATTACATTACATAATTACATGTGTACATATAAATAAAATTGGAGTGCCTGTTTGTAATATTGAAATAACCGTTTTTTACTACATTCATATGAATATAAATATGGTACATACGCCAAAAAACCACTTTATATAATTTTTGTCTGTCTGTCTGTTTGTTCTGGCTAATCTCTGAAATGGCTGGACCGATTTTAACGGGACTATTTTTGGCAGGTAACTGATGTAATAAGGAGTAACTTAGGCTACTTTTATTTTAGAAAAAATCTTTTAGACTAGAATAATAAAGTTAAATTCCACGCGACCGAAGTCGCGGGAACTGCTAGTATAGAATAAGTTCGTACATATTTGCAATATTGTAAATTTTCATTTATTTCAAATAATTATTAGAAATAGGGTTGCACACATAAAAAACATGTCCTTCATCCACTTAACTGTTCTAAATTGTAACAATTAAAAAAACTACGAATCATATATAAGCTCATAATATACTATATATACATATATGTATATTAGTTTTAGGTTGAAATCTTTTTTCTAAAAAGGTAAATTGCGATGAAAATAACAGTAAATGAGTTTATTTAGTTATAAAAATATCTTTAATATTGTTGTTAATATAAAATATTTATTATTGTGTAGGTACATTATTTACAATTCATTTTTAGACAACATTTCACGACATGACAAAATTGCAATAGCATATCGTCCGTTAAATAGAAAAATGGCGGTATTCAAAATATAATTTTTTTACAAGAGAAGTTTTTTTTTTTATTTATTTAAATTATTTTTCCCTTTAAAGTTTTAAATTTACACAGAAATATTGTATATAATTTTGAAAGTATTTAGATAATGATTAAGATGGCGGCGTGGTTAATTTAATTGACTTATATAAAACGAGGCAATTTTGAAAATGACATTTTTCTATTTCATCGACGATATGCTGGTGGTCACTCTGTTCTCTCTAATTTGAGTTTAAAAATGATTCTGTATTTTTATAAATATTCACAAGCTTAAGAATAAGACATTTCTTGTCAGTTTATTTTTATTTTATTAATATTTTTTACGGCTCTGGATACAAGTCATTTTTTGCCCGACTTAAAGCTTTACAATATAAATTACAAACATTAAAGCTAATGTCCAATATCTGTAATAATAAATGATTCTTCTTAACTGGAACTGAGTGTATATTTAACATATCATAAGAGTCTATTACAGACTTCTGCACACAGATGTCTGTAAATGTGAAGAAATATTTGAAAGGATTAAAGAAAAGAGACAGATCATAGATATTATTGAGAATGGGCGGGAAAATGTTGGGGCACTTGATACGACACGACGAACTAATTAACAACATTATTGAAGGAAAAATAGATGGAAAGAGAGAAAGGGGAAGACCGAGACACAGCTATATCAAGCAGGTTAAAGAAAAAGTTGGAGTGTGTGTCGTAACAACAGCTAAAAGGACTGATTGAAGATCGTGGAAGGTGGCGGGAGCTCCACCGACATGAGCACAGCTCTTAAATTATGGATGAACTAGCTTTCGCCCATGGCGTTGCTCGCGTTAATTTACCTCTTATGGGTGGAATTTATCAAAATCCTTTATTTATTTCCAAAATCCTTTCTTAGGGGATGCCTACGTCATAGTAGCTTTACGCATGCAATTTCTCAGCCCGATTTGTTTAAAATTGACAAAGTTTCATACAAACTTTCATCCCCTATTTATCCCCTTGGGGTTAGAATTAATCAAAATCCTTTCTTAGCGGATGCCTACGTCATAACATCTACCTGCATGCCAAATTTCAGCCCGATCCGTCCAGTGGTTTGGGCTGTGCGTTGATAGATCACTATGTCAGTCACCTTTGAGTTATATATATATATAGATATTTTGATTTTGATATAATATTTTTGAGGAATTTTTTATTATACATGTTGAATAAATCTCAAAACTTATAATTAACTACATTATATGGTAAATTCATAATTTACAATAAAAAGAAAATAAAAAAAAACTTTGAGGAATTTTTTTTTTATAAATTATCATATTATATTTCTGATGAAACAGATAATAAAAATACAATCACTACAACGGGAATATAAATATTAACAATTTTATAAACTTGGAAGTTTGTGAGTGCGGATGTATGTATGTTTGTTACTACATACTATCGCATTTATTTATTATAATATTATATATAGAGATAAAATCATAAACAAAATTCATTTGTGTTGGCTGTGCTCGCAGGTCAGTACGTAAATTGGCGGCGCTGACAGAACAAATACGGGAGGATCTGTAATAAAAAAAATACTATAAAAGACATACTCAATCATCATCAGCCCACTGCAGTCCACTGCTGGACATAGGCCTCTCCCAAGGCACGCCACTGGGCACGACCTTCAGCCATAATCAATAAAAAATATTATTTCAGAAACAAAAACATTAAAAAAAAATTAAATTCACGTTGCCAACTTTATTTTATAACATTCTAGATATTTATATGTATAAATATCTAGAATGTTATAAAATAAGGTCGTCGGTGAAGCTGTAAAGGCCGGCTGCGGCCTTTACAGCTTCACCGGACGATAGAGGGCGAGTGCAGATGGCACTCCAAACAAAGGAAGGACTTATGGAGCGGCTGAAGGACAACTCCCGCCTGATAGATACGACGTCATTCTGAGGGCACCGCTAGGGGTTCGAACCTCGGCTCAGGCCGTCATAATTTCGATCCCCGTTTGAATTGAACGGGGGATCGATCAGCGGGGACAATTATAATTGAAATTAAAATAAATAACTTTTTTATTATATTTATAGATGCCCTATGTCTATCATCCCGCCACTTAGAATTTGATGAAAAAACTGAAAACAGTATATTGAACAGTATGTTTTAATTTTGTTCGACGGTAAAAACTATAATTAAGTTAAAAACATTATAATAATGCAATTCGGTTTTAATTGCCGACCTCGGTGGTCTAGCGGCCTAGCACACCGCTACGACCGATGGTCGCGGGTACGATTCCTCGCACGGCACAAACATTTGTATTCATGAGTTTGATTGTTTGTATCGGTCTGGGCGATTTCTATGTATAATATGTATTTACGAAAAAAATATCTATGTATTTGTATCAGTTGTCTAGTACCCGTGATACAAGCTTTAGCTAGCTTAACTTGGGTCTAGATGGCGCTGTGTGAATTGTCCTGAGATTATTATTATTGTACAGTATTTATATATTACTCACCAATGCTGCTAACTCCGCTGATCTTTAAATTGTCCAAAGAATTACTCTGTTGCTCATGTGCTTTGCTGTGAAAAAAACATACAATGTATTAAAATCACTAGTATCAGGTTTTTTTTTTTTTTAAGGATGATAATAGAATGGTGGACTCGCCTGTGGTTTACGCTGGCGACCAAAAGATGAGCATGACAATGTATTAAAATCACGATAGTTTCCAGGGGGAACCGTATCATGGTTGGCAATGGGATTATTAGTCCACATTACTAACAATCCCCGTCCCCCCTCTAGTATCAGGTTGGTCAGGAGAGAAACACCTCAATGCCTACAATATTCACAATTACCTATCTCTTATTTGTTTTTATAATACTAGCTGTCCCGGCAAACGTTGTTTTGCCATATAAATTTATAACGCTATAAAAAATAGAGGTTGATGATAGAAGGGTGAAAATTTAGGATTGTATGTATTTTTGTATGTTGTATCATAAAAAAATAAAAAATAAAAATTTGTCGAAAAAAAAAATTTTTTTTTTGGGTGGACTACCCCTAACATTTAGGGGGATGAAAAATAGATGTTGGCCGATTCTCAGACCTACTCAATACGCTCCAAAATTTCAAGAGAATCGGCCAAGCCGTTTTGGAGGAGTATGGGAACGAAAACTGTGACACGAGAATTTTATATATAAGATAACCACTCCAACTTTTTCGCTCCAAAACTCCCGCTGCCTACGTTCAATCATCCGTCAATCTACCTGTCAATGTCACACAGATTACTTTGGCTCTGGCCTCTGACGTTCCGTTTCAGATTACATGATTATTGACTTTACCATTTTTAATTAATGGTACGTCACACGATAGTTAACAAATATATATTTGATTGCCTCGGTGGTTTATACCCGGTTAATAATTTAAATAATGTATATTAAACACGAAAGTTTAAAATTAACTACTGTCTCGGTGATGTAGTTTAGGATCTTACTTAGACACATCTCATATCGCGCATTCAACCTCCAGACGCTCCACACCGACGCCCCCGGTCGCCCCTCCGATTGATCCCCCATCCAATTCAACGGGGATCGATGTTACGACGGCCTGAGCCAAGGTTCGAACCCCTAGTGCCTTCAGACTAAAGTCGTATCCGTCAGGCGGGAGTTGGCCTTCAGCCGCTCCATAAGTCCTTCCGCGGGTTTTTTTTATGGATCATAATGTAATGGTGCACCCGCCTGCGCTAACGGTTTACGGTGGCGGCGCACCAGTGGAGGATGATAAGATGAACATGAGGTCAGGTCAGTTAGTCCATCGTGACAAATATATCACGATGGTTTCCGCAGGTTTGGAGTGTCTTCTGCACTCGCCCCCTAACGTCTGGTGAAGCTGTAAAGGCCAGCTGCGGCCAACAGCATTAGAGTAGTCCGGAAAAAAACCTTATTCGAAGGCCGCGGGTTCAACTTTAGTAACACATTAATATTCGTGTGTATTGGGTTGGATGTTGTATGGTGTTGTAATGTTGTTTTCTATGCGCCAAATAAAAATATTTTTCTTTCTTTCTTTCATTTAAAAACTCTTTAAAATTACACATTTTAAAGAGTTTTTAAATTGTGAATGATTGTATGAATGAATGTAACTTACCAATCGCGTAAATTATTCAGTGAATTCGACAGCGTACAACTCTGCACGGCAACGTTGTGTAAATCAGCCAATGAGCAAGCCTGCCTCAGTTTCGCAACCAGTTTGTGTTGTAAATTATGGCAGCGCGCGTTACATTCCGTCGCCTCACATTTCCCGCCTTCCGTAACGTCCACATTCGTTTTCGGAGCGTCGTTCTCGATTTGAATTTTTTGACAGCTACATCCAGAGTTGCCAGGTTGCGGTGTTTCTCCCAAATTAGTAGATTTTCCAATGCACGCGGGATTTTGTTGTAAATGACAACAGATTTGTTGTTTGTTCTCTTGATTGTGTAAAGAACGATGTATGTTTGGATCGGAACTGTAGTTTTGGCCGAATTTATCGGTGAAATGTACGGTTTTTTTTCTGTTCATAGCTGAGAGGCGATATTGCTGTTTGCGGTTGACCGCCGGCGAGATATTCGGAGATCTATTGGGAGAATTATAAGCTGATACCGAAACAGTTGGTTTCTTTATGGTATCTTTTATTTCGTATTCAGTTGCGATTGCTTCGAAAACCTGAAATGTGTATAAAATTATAGGAATTAAAGATTAATATGCTCCTAACGGTAATTTTAAGTTGTACAATATTTTGTTAAGTTACTATATGTTCGCGCCATTTATAAACATATCGAGTGGTATGGTATCATTCCCCATATCCTCATCCCTTTCCCGCGCACAGTATAATCAACTGAGGTCCCCTGACGACCTCGTCTACTAACGGTTGAGACCGAATGGTGACTGACATCTCATCCCGACCGCTCTGATTAAATTAATTAATATATTGACATTAAAATAAGTAACTTTGATTGTGTGCGTGGCTGTGTTAAATATAGTATTAATCGAGTGCAGCATCTGTGTAAGAATACACCCGCTCTACAGTCGCAGGTACGTACTGAGCATCCCCTTATTTCATTCCATACAGTCCACTTATGCGCAACCCCCCATTTCTTCACTATATGAATAAAATATATTTTCATAAAACGGCATTGCTATGTTTACTAGGTTATTGATATTTTGTTTTATAAGAAAAAAAGCACTTTTGAATAGTCATATTTTTTTATTCTGCCACTCATGCGGAATGTAAACTCATCACAAGAAGAACGAGCGAGAAACTTGTGTGTTGCTGTTGCTTTATTAAATAACCGTTCAGAATTAAAATTTTAAGAATTTTATGTGAATACAAACTATGACTTTTTTAAATAATTTTAATTTAAGCACTTTTGAATAGTCTTATCATTCTTTTAATCTACCGCTCATTAGGAAAGCTGTCAAGAAGAACGAGCAAGAATCTTGTGTGTTGCTCTTTTAAATAATCATTGTAACTTTACATTTCCAATTCGAAACAAGCGAACAAATCACCAACTAGCACTAATATATTAGGGTCAGATATTAAATACACAATAGGATTAAAACAGTCGTAGTGATTAGAGCAGACCAGTCCCTACAAGCCGCACTCGTTCACGAGTATGACGTATGAACCAGTCATCACAGCGCTCGACCATATTTTAGGGAGCCAAATAACCTGGCCCATCACGCCGCCACATGTCTGGACATGTTAGTGGGTGACGGAGATTTTGATGGTAATATTCCACATCCCGTGCCATTTTTGACGTCAAAATTCTTACCTGTTCGGCAACTAAATTCTTGGCATATGGTGATTCTTTGGGCGGTAACGCTTCTCTGCACAACGCGCACCGCTCCAGTCGGGTCCAGCATGCTGTGGATGAAATCATTTGATATTACATTACTTGATGAACTTAAATGTTTATTTTTGTTGTGTTAATATTTATTTCTTTAGTAAGTATAATTATAATACGGTATGGAAATACTTGTGGTAGATTTTTTAAAACATATAATGGCAACACTGTTAACTATATGACTATATTTTTTTGTAATTTACATTGTAAAACTTAAGTTGGGCTAAAAAGGACTTGTATCCAGAGCCGTAAAAAATATTAATAAAAAAAAATATCTTCCGACTAATATGAGTGACAAAATGAAAACATCTACTTACGGATATAAATTATATATATATTGAGTTTGACATTAAATTGTACTTACAATCCCTCACTTCGCATTGTGCAGTGCTAGAGGGCGGACGTATATTGTCTTCATAGTATTTAACTAAAATTATAGTAATGCAGTAACGGAGTCTCTAGAAGAGATCTATCAAGGCGTACACAATTCAAGGCCATATATAAATTTATTTCATCCACACTTTGAAAAATGTGATTGTTTTTAAGTTTTTTTTAATAAGTTCGTTACAACAGAGAAATGTCAGAAGAAACAGTTATTGTCAATCATAATTGACTTAAATGTTATAACGAACTTATTTAAAAATGCGCGCGACATTTTTTTATTTTTGTAATGCGCGCGATATAACTTCAGTTACTGTACGCGTTGGGGTAAAAAGGACTTGTATCCAGAGCCGTACAACATATTAATAAAAATGAAAAAATCTTGCAAATTGACGGAATGGAAACATCTATTTGTATATGTACATTGAGTTTGACATTACAGTGTACTTATAACAATTACAACTTCTCATGTATTTATAACTCCTCACTTCGCTTTGTGCAGTGCTAGAGAGCGGACGTATAATGTCTCATAGTATTTAATTAAAATTAAATACATAATTGATTAAAGTTCAGTTGTCTCGTTAAATACCTCAATTCTATATATTTTATTCAAAAACAAATTCAAATTCAAAAATTATTTATTATTCATGTAGGACATTTTAGCCGCTTATGAACGTCAAATTTTTACATTATAATTTTTTTCTCCTACCGTCCAGTTCGGTATATAGATCCAATTGCGAAGAACTGGCAAGAAACTCAATTGAATTTCTTTTTTTTAAAAGTCAGTTTCGTTTTTATTCCGTGATCTTTGGATATATTTGAGTTCTACGAATTATGTATGATAGTATCTTATAGTTCTTCTCGAAAATATGAATAATAAAAGCCGTTGAATACGTACATTATGGGGGAAAGGGATTGCTACTAATGGGAACTAGTAACCCCATTGCTAGCAATGTACCATGTTAGGTCGACCTCCACGCGGTTCCACAGCCATCGTGATAAATTCCTAGTGAATTTGTCACTATGTACTAACTGACCTGACCTCATATTCATCTTATCATCCTCCACTGGTGTATTGCACCATTTCATTATCATCCACAAACAAAAATACGTACATTCGCAGTATAGATGTGATCTGGCACAGGAGAGCGCCCTCGTGGCGGTGGACGCGCACACGCAGCACGACAGCGCGCGCAGCACGCCGCCCAGCGCGCGACGAGACCGCTCCCCGCGCGCGCCGCCGCCACAGCTCCACAGCAGCTGCGGCGGCACATGCACCGAGGGTCCCATACACTACACTACACTCACTCACGCGCCGCCGCCACAGCTCCACAGCAGCTGCGGCGGCACATGCACCGAGGGTCCCATACACTACACTACACTCACTCACGCGTCAAACGGGGATCGAAATTACATCAGCCTGAGCCGAGGGTCGAACCCCTAGCAGTGCCCTCAGCGCCGCCGCCACAGTATCCGTAAGGCGGGAGTTGTCCTTCAGCCGCTCCATAAGACCTTCCTTTGTTTGGAGTGCCATCTACACTCGCCCCCTATCGTCCGGTGAAGCTGTAAAGGCCAGCTGCGGCCAACAGCACTAGAGTAGCCCGAAAAAAACCTTACGTCAGGAGCCATACATCCCCACACACACAATACTCGTACATATACATACTAGCCCCCCCGGCAAACGTTGTTTTGCCATATAAATTAATAACGCTATAAAAAATAGGGGTTGATCCTAGAGGCTGAAAATTTAATTGTATGTATTTTTTGTTTGGATGCATAAAAAAATAGAAACTAAAAATTTCGTCTAAAAAATAACATTTAAAGGCCAGCTGCGGCCAACATTTAGGGTAGCCCGAAAAAAGATGTTGGCCTTCTCAGACCTACTCAATACACCACACACACAATGAAGTCTTCCACGAATAACATGCATGTATTTAAAAAAATGCATCTATATATTTATCAGTTATCTCATCAGTACCCATAACACAAACTCTCCATATCCTTATATAAAAGCTTACCTCGGGGTCGTCTCTCGGGTCCACACCACAGTTCCAAACTAGTAAAGACACCCCGTGGCCTGCACCGTCTCCTCTGATTAGTCCAGCTACTTGACCCACCTGAAAATAGAAAAATTATTCAAATAAACTTAATACAAGCAATTTTGAATAGTCACATGTTATTCTACCACTCAATCGGAACTAAGACTCATCACAAGAAGGATGAGCAAGAAACTTGTGTGTTGTTCTTTTGAATAGATGTTAAGGCTGGTGCCCCTCTAGCGTATACCGTTAACGAAGGCGGGTGCACCATTATATTATAATACAATAAAAAAATCTGACTATTTATTTAAAAGGGCAGCACGCAAGTTTCATACTCCTTCTTCTTGTGATGAGACAGCTTTCCGAATGAGCGGTAGATTGAAAAAAATTGCTAGCCTTTAACAAGAATAGATTAGAATAGAAAATCATTTATTCAGATAAACTTACATTGAAGCACTTTTGAATAGTCATCACATTTTTTTAATCTACCGCTCATTCGGAAATCTGTCTCATCACAAGAAGATCGAGCAAGAAACTTGCGTGTTGCTCCTTTAAATAATTTTATTCTTACTTTACATTTTTAAGTTGAAGTGTGTGAATACAAACTACCGATTGGCACTAATTCAATTAAAAACTCAAATAGAAAAAATATTAAAATATTTTTTTTTATTTTTTTTTTATTTTTTTTTTAGAAAAAATATTAAGTAACAAGGAAGAAGGGCTATTCTTGAATGCTTCAATATCGTATCGGTTTTATGTGTATATAAATATATACATACGGGTAACCCGAGGAGATCCTTTCCATCAGCTTGCAGTAAGCAATCGCCAGTTTTCAGGCCGGCCATGTCAGCTCGAGCTCCTGGCGTCACCTCCCGAACCTGGTGGATGGGGATTGTTAGTAATGTGAAACAACTCCATTACTCCATGATGGCCTGGTCTAGCACACTGCCTTACTTCCGTGGTGGAAGATGATAGGATGAGCATGAGGTCAGGTCAGTTAGGACATCGTGACAAATTCAACAAGATGGTTTTCAAAGGGAACCAGGTAGATCATAACAATAATCTCAGAACCATCCACACAGCGCCATCTAGTCCCAAGATAAGCTAGCTAAAACTTATGTTATGGGTACTAGACAACTGATACAAATACATAAATATTTAAAAAACACCCAGACCTATACAAAAATCGTATTCACCAATATAAATGTTTGTACCTTGCGAGTAACCAAACTCGCGACCAGCGGAAATAAAGCGGTGTGCTAAACCGCTGGACCACCGGGGCCGTCACAACAACAAAGGTTTATTCTATTCTGTTCTGTTCTGTTCTATTCTATTACTTACTCTAACATCAGCTTGACAGTTTGCTCGTCCAATAATATTTAAAAAAAAATATGAATATTTACCCAAGGATAAGGATCCCATAGTGTCCTGGTGAGCCTAAACCCCAGACCTTCACCCTCATCTTCAGGCAGGTTCAACTGTAATATCAAATATAATTTTTATTTTTTCAACGTATTTTTTATTTTATTTTGATTTAACACTGAAAAATGCATGCAACCTAAATATTCACCCTTCTAGCATCAACTCTTAATTTTTTAGTAGCGATTTTAATTTATATGGCGAAACAACGTTTTCGGGAAAGCTAGTAATTATATTTTTGTGGCGAATTTATTGTTATCGCGCGGCAACACCGTTGCCTAATTATGACGTTTTCCAAGGCCGTAAAATACTTAATAAAAAAAAAATAATAATTATGACGTTGACGTTGTTATTTGTATTTGTAGAATGTAATTGTTTGGCTGAAAGGAGATTTCCAAGGCAGTAAAATACTTAATATAAAAAAATTAAAAAATAATTATGACGTTGAGAAGAAATAACATACTCTTCTTTTTTCTAATGATCCTATTATTTATAAAATTTTAGCTGAATTTATATATTTAAATAGTATTAAAATTTAATATGTGTTCCGTATTGTATGTATATTATTTGTAAATATCGTATCCTATATAATTTCCTAACCTAATCCTTATCCCTATGCTACAAAATTTTCGTTGCTAGATATAAATTAATGACGTTTCCCCGTTTTGTTTTTGGCGAAATACCCTAAAATCGGGGTGAATGCCATACCACAAGAGAAAAAAAAAAAAGAAAAGAAATAACATAGAGATGTGCTAACTCGTAATAAATATGACTCGAGTGAACTCGAGCACAGTAAGCAGGCATTTGGGGTTGCCCGTACAAAATATGTATACCACAGATAATATAATATTACATAATGTATATAGTCACGAGTGGTTTCTATTCACCTCCCTTTTCCTGGTGCTGTTGCTACAGGAACATACAAATAATAGCGGCCCAATCGTAGCCGCTAAATATATAATGAATCCGTTTGTTTTTGTGGATGTTGAAGTGTTGATTATGAGGACTGGTTTGTTACAACCACTGATTAGACTTTTCCTTTTGCAATACCATATGGTCAGTCTATTCTCCCAAATTTGAATTTAAAAATGAATCTGAATTATTGTAAACATATATGACATTTATTTGAAAATAACACGAGCCGAGTTGCTTGTCAGTTCTCATCTCGAAATCATTCCTAACTGACAGTAGTTTTGACATATCATAAAAATCTGTAATAGACCTACATGAATAAAGTTAAAAAATATATTACAACCTTATTATTAGTACGAAATATTTTTATCGTTAGTAAATATAGAAATTATTTTAATGGCAATACCAAATCCCGCCAAAATGAAATCAATGTTTCATATATGGGATGTTAGGGAGCGCTGTAACTGAAACTATCGGATACCCGATATAAAAAAATATTCGTTACCGTAACCGAATCCGAAATAAAAGTTTCGGATAATATCGGATAGGGGCGGAGCCTAATAGCAACACGATATGTAACTATTTTATTAGCTATTTGTATTTTACTTATGAAATTTCTTAAAAAATTTAAATTCGTAACCGAAATTATCCGAAACTAACGGATAATCCGAAATAATTTCATATCCGTATCCGTATCCGGTATAATAATCATTCCTATATCCGAAACCTATCCGTATCCAAAATTTCATATCCATAACATCCTTGGTTACAAGGTTCATAGACAATAAAATTGTTATTATATTATATTTTTTAATTTTATAGTTCATTGTTATAGTTTTTTTTTATATCTTTACTGTAATAATGGAGTAACTCTATATAAATAAAATATGAATAAAAAATAATCTTAGTGTAGAAACTAAAACAAAAAGCAAATAAATTCAAATTCAAAAATCATTTATTCATGTAGGACATTTTAGCCGCTTATGAATGTCAAATTTTTACATTATAATTTTATTTTTTTCCCTACCGTCCAGTTCGGTATATAGATCCAATTGAGAAGAACTGGCAAGAAACTCAATTGAATTACTTTTTTTTTTTAAGTCAGTTTATTTACAATGTATATTTATATAGGTGTCTATGTCTAACATTAAATGAAAATCCCATGCATGAACAACTATTGCCATGCACACTCGTCATTTAAGTAATCGTTTAGTGAGTAATAGGCTTTGCTCAGTAAATATGATTTAACAGATGTTTTGAATTTATTTAAGGGTAATTCCAATATATCCTTTGGTATCTTATTGTAAATTTTTATACCTATTCCCATAAAAGACCTATTAACTTTTTCTTCTTGGCATGAACTTGAATTTATGGAAAATTAAGGGTAATGTTATTAAAAAACGCATCTCAATATATGCTAAGTTTATTAAGTTGATTATTTTGTGTACAAATAATGTAAAACAATGTAGGTATGTAAAAACAAACTCACCACGACCAGTCTAACGCCCGTTGTGTATTCCGGCTCACTTCCGCTTCCGGATGTCTCCACAGTAACATTGTCCATCTGTTTATAAAACAAAATTTATATATTACATAATCTGTATTATACAATATGTATATATGTATATTATCAGACCCGGCCTCTCTCAGGATTGCTGTGTCTAAGGTTCTTGAGTAAAATAATATTGCGACTATAAATTGAAATGTAAGGTATCCTATCTTTCAAGTTGCATCAAATTGCACACAATGTGAAAATCAAATTTGACTATTGTATTAATTTTTTTATACATATTTAGTAGGTCTGAGAATTGGCTACTATCTATTTTTCATAACCCTAAGATAAGAGTTGCCCATCCTTAACATTTTTTTAATTTTTGCACAAAATTTTTATTTTCTATTTTTATAATGAGGCATTAAAAAATTTTAAAATACATGTAATCCTAAATTTTCACGTTTCAATCACCAACCCCTATTATTAAACTAACTTTATCTAAATAACTTTAAAAAAAGTGTTTCTTATCGACTACCTATTAATTGACTTATATAAACGTTTAAACAGAAATTGCGGGAACATTATTTAAATTTGTAACTTTTGTCTTTCTACCTTTTACACATCTTTCTGTTATTTCTCTATAGTTCTCTATATATTATTTTTTTACTTTCAAATTTGAGGCTGTACTTTAATTTAATTATCAGATCATTATTTATTTATTTATATATAATATTTATATATCTATGTTTATATTTATACATATATTTATGTATGTTTATTATTTTTATTGAAATTTATATTTAAAATATTTTGCTTTATATTTATATATCTTTTTTGACATTTCTCATTTATATCAGTGCACCGCCAACAATATTTCTCTGCACAACTCATGGTTGCCTGGTAGATAACGCCGCATGGTGTTAAGTCCGCCATATGTACACATTGTTTTTGTGCATTCAAGTTAAATAAATAAATAAATAAACCAATGTCCCGTTTTCCGTCAAAGAATAAATTATCACGTTAGTCAAATTGAAGTTTCTGATCTCATACACAGAAAAAGAAAAAATGTTAGTTACTGAGTAACGGTTGTTTGAGACAGAATGAATAGAATAGAATAGAATAGAAATCATTTATTCAAATAAACTTACAATGAAGCATTTTTGAATAGTCATCACATTTTTTTTAATCTACCGCTCTCATCACAAGAAGAACGAACAAGAAACTTGTGTGTTGATCTTTTGAATAATTTTATTATTACTTTACATATGTAAGTTGAAGTGTGTGAATACAAACTATCAATTAGCACTAATTCAATTAAATACTCAAATAGAAAAAATAAAAGTAAATAGATCAATATAGGATTTGAATTTATTTTTCCCAACAATTTCCGACTCTTCCTGATCCTGTAATCCTATTTCTAAATTACTACTGATTTTTTAAAATGCGTCGATTTCTTAAAAAAAAATAAAAACTAGAAAATGGCTAATGGCAACACAAACCGCCGGAGCCAAAAAAGAAAAAAGATTTCAATTGCCTCTCTGTCAGATTTAGTGCAGTTTCTGGCAGTTTATTATAAAACCTTACACAATTACCATAGAATGAATTACTGACTTTGTGCAGACGGCATTTAAGTAAAATTAGCTTATTTTTATTGCGTAAGTTTCTATTTGTACAGTCTTTAAGTTTTTTAAAACTCTCTAAATTCTTCCGTGTATACATGATATTTTCATAAATGTATTGTGAAGTAACGGTGAGGATATTTGATTCTTTAAAGCACTGACGTAATGACTCTCTTGAACCCATACCATAAATAGAACGTATGGCTCTCTTTTGTGAAATAAATATAGTATTTATAATATATGAAATTTTACATTCCACACCGACTAGGTTTGTCTCTAATAAATCACCAAACAATTAATATTTAACGAATTTGACATAATTTTAACATTCGTAACAAATATATGACAGTTTTATAAAAATAAGTTTTATTACATTTTATAATAATAATAAATGTATAATATGTAACTATGAACGAAGGACTGTATATATATATGGGGCTGATAGATATAATTATGCCAACACGGGTTTTAGGAAGCAATAATATAATATTACTAGCTGACCCGGCAAAAGTTGTTTTGCCTTAAAATAAAAAAAAATTTAGTGGTGGACTAACCCTAACATTTAGGGGGATGAAAAATACATGTTGGCCGATTCTCAGACCTACTCCATACGCTCACAAAATTTCATGAGAATCGGTCAAGCCGTTCGGAGGAGTATGGGAACGAAAACTGTGACACGAGAATTTTATATATAAGATGTACAAAAGTATAATAGTTAGTTGAACAAGAAAGACAATGACATATATATTTTTCTATATAAAATAATAGACAAAATACATAAATAATATACAAAGAGGTGCGTCGTGCACAGTAACTTTAATTAAATTGTATAAATAATAATAAAATGGTATATACGGATAGCAATCTCCCAAAACGCACCGTTGGGTTGCCAGCACGCTATCGCTAGTTTCCGGACACAGAGTAGCCTACGTCCGGTATCTATTAATAGACAACTCGTTAATTGTCTATTAAGACTAAAAGTGAGAGCTATCATCATTGCCTTGCCTTTATCCCATTATTTGTGGTCGGCGCAGTATGTCATTCTCTTCCACTGCTCTCTATCAATCGTCATATCTGAACATACTCTTCTTTTATTCATATCATCTTTCACACAATCCATCCATCTTTTCTTAGGGCGTCCCCTCCCTTTACATCCATCCACATTCATATTATACACTTTCCATAAGACATGGTCCTCATTCCTCCGCATAACATGCCCATACCAGCTCAATCTGTTACCTCGCAACTTTTCTATAACCGGCGCAACTTTCAAACTTCCTCGTATATACACATTCCTTATTCTGTCACTCCCGGTGACCCCACACATCCATCTTATCACTCGCATTTCTGCCACATGCACACGCCTTTCGTCCATCCCCTTTACGGCCCAACATTCAGATCCATACAAAATGACAGGTCTTATGATAGATTTATAAACTTTACCCTTTAGTTTCAAGGCCATTCGGGAGTCGCATATCGTTCCCGAGACCTGCCGCCATTTCATCCATCCCGCACTAATTCTGTGCCTTACATCGCGGTCTATGTCGGCATTGTTCTGAATACTGAACCGAGGCATCGAAAATAAAAGTGAGAGCTATATAATATAAGTAACCATACCATCTATTATGTACTTTTTTATTTTTTTATTGGGTTGTTAGGCCTATTGTCAGATGTTTGTATCACCTGTAGCACTGCGACCTACATAGATCTATTGTACTCGCCCTTTTCAAAGTTCGCTACCTAGACCCGTCAGGGACAAGAATTGAAGGATATTCTTAGGAGCGATGGTTTTTATCTCCTCGGGATATTACGTACTACTTTTATAACAAACAAATAAATTTCATATCATTTCAATAACATTAAAAAATCATCAAGTGTACCGTCCCAATCATAAATTGTGCATTTTTTATTCGCTTACCGCGCGTAATGTTTGGAGCGGTCACAATCGTAAGTTGGTTTGCGCGGTGAACCCACGCATGCACTTGGCTTGACATACGCGCGGTCTGTCGTCTCGCAAATCGTGATATTACCGAATAACCAGGATAAATCCAGGAGAATACTCTTCGAAGCATCTCGTTGAAATTAAGGTGGAACCAGAACGTCGCACAAGACTCCATCCAAGTAAGTGCACGTATCCTTCTTATTTATTGTGATCGCTCCTGCAGTGATACCAGAGTGTGGCAGACGATCGAATTCCACCGCCTCACGGTGTCTGCTACATCAAGTATACACTATTTACTTTAGTTATTTACTTTTTTACACGATGGCAACCCTCACATTGCCTTTGCTAAAAAAACAATACATTAATTGAAAAATCATTACGTAATTAAACATATATAATAATTGTACCTACAAATTGAAACTTTGCACACATCTTACGAGGTTATTGTACGGATATCTACCACATATTGTTAACAGCTTATTGTTTACCTACATTTGGCAAATAAAGTATTATCATTATTTTACAAAAATTCTCATCTCCCCTCTTAAGGAGAGGAGATGGCACCTTATCCCCGGCAGAAGCACAGTCGGGGTTCAGAGCCCCAGGGAGAGAAACCGGCGTACAATGCGGGCAGAATCTAAGAGCACCGCTTTCTGCATCTTTCCCGGGAGTGAGCCGCCTCGAAATCCCAACCGTCTGAGATGTTGCTCCAGACTGGTTGGGATATGACCGTTCACCGATATAACGATTGGAATGATTTCGGTGGACATCACCCCCCACATTTCGGTCTCCTCATGAGCCAGGTTATTATTATTATTGTAAGCATGGGCGAGCGTAAGAGTTTTGCTTACTTTTGCTGACAACGCGGATGGTTTGGTAAATGCAAATATTCTCACCATTACTTCTCAATTTATATATTCAAATATCCTATATGTTCATAAAAATCTTGACTTATTTCCAAAAAAACAGCGATATTTATAATATTAATACTAGATTTAAAGACAAACTTGCTGTCCCCAAATATCATTTAGAAAAAATCAATAGGTCTTTTATGGGAATAGGTATAAAATTTTACAATAAGATACCAAAGGATATGTTGGAATTACCCTTAAATAAATTCAAAACATCTGTTAAATCATATTTACTGAGCAAGGCCTATTACTCACTAAACGATTACTTGAATGACGAGCGTGCATGGCAATAGTTGTTCATGTACTGAATTTTCATTTAATGTTAGACATAGACACCTATATAAATATACATTGTAAATAAACTGGCTTTAAAAAAAAAGTACTTCAATTGAGTTTCTTGCCAGTTCTTCTCAATTGGATCTATATACCGAACTGGACGGTAGGGAAAAATAAAATTATAATGTAAAAATTTGACGTTCATAAGAGGCTAAAATGTCCTACATGAATAAATGATTTTTGAATTTTGAATGTCAGTTTACATTCTACACCTACTAGCTTTGTCTCTAATAAATCATATGCCACAACATATTTTTAAACATACGATAGGTCCGGAATTATATATCACCAAACAATCAGACTAACATTAAAAAATCATCAAAAACACATTATTGCCAGACATTTTGTTCAAATTATATTCTACTAGCTTTTACCCGCGGCTTCGCTCGCATTGAATCCATTAAATGGGTATCGGAGACAACGGCGGATGGTCTTACACCATGACCCCTGGACCCCTTTTATAATATTAGTAAAAACTTGTAACTCTAGTACAACTGTCTACTACAAAAGTACTTATACAAAAAAAAATATCCTTTTCAACATATATTTTAGTCACAGCCTCACTCGGTTGATTGAAACATCCTTAATGTTAGCCAGAGGACATTTATTATTTTTTTCTTATGTATATTACTTTATTAAACTTTACGATTAACACTCCGGTTACGGTAAACACCGTTAACAAACACTTCAACAGTCGCTTTATTGACACACCAGTAAGGCTAGACACATATTTGAATATTACTTCTTAAACTTTCCAAATGACTCTCCGGTCATAGAAAACACCGTTAACAAACACAAAACCCGGAAATCTACAACTAATCGGATACTTAATATACAATTAACTAGTTACGCTATACTTTGCGAAAACTTAATTACTTTAAAACCTGTTCAATAATAACAAAATAATTTTCCTTACCGTCACTTAATAAAAAAATATATACACATATATATTAACACACAATCGAGTTACGCGAGAGATAATTCAACACTGTCGATTAATACCAATTAGTGATGTACGTTGATTAATAATATTATCGATAAAATTCCATTTAAGGTCGATAAAATTTGTCTATAAGGTAGGAACATCTAAAATTATACCTCGGTAGTCTAGCGGTCTAGCACACTGCTTTATGTCTGATGGTCGCGTGTTCGATTTCTCGCACGGCACAAAGATTTGTATTCATGAGTATGATCGTTTGTATCGGTCTGTGTATTTTCTATGTATTAAATATTCATCCCCTATTTTATCTCCTATATTATTCAGCATTTGCCGCGGCTTCGCTCGCGTTAATTTATCCCCTTAGGGGTGGAATTTATAAAATCCTTTCTTAGGGGATGTAGCTTTCCCTAGCTCTCTTAGGGGATGTAGCTAGACGTCATAGTAGCTTTATGTATGCAAAATCTCAGCCCGATCGGTTTAAAATTGACAAAGTTTGATACAAACTTTCATCCCCTATTTTATCCGCTTGGGGGTAGAATTAATCAAAACCCTTTCTTAGCAGATGCCTACGTCATAACATCTACCTGCATGCCAAATTTCAGCCCGATCCGTCCAGTGGTTTGGGCTGTGCATTGATAAATCACTATGTCAGTCACCCTTGAGTTATATATATTTAGATTTTCTTTTAACAACATATTTTTGGGATGGTGAGGCAAAGAATTGTAATAAATCTGCTTACGTAATTGAACGGCCTCAAAGTATCGATATTGTAACTATCGACATGTGTACATCGTTATAATACCGGTTCACCTCACCCAGCAGTCAACAGCTGACCTACAATGTGTCGCAATCAAACCAATCACAATTGCAAGGCTGCGATCAAGGTTGATTTTTGGGTAGCTTCATGTCGTCAGTTAAATAGAAAAATGGCAATATTAAAAATGTACATTTTTTATAAGATTTTCGAGGGTGGTGCAGAGAATAATTGAAATATAATAAATGTTTTAAACAGAATGTTTTAAAATAATAATATATGCAAATATTATATTATACATATATACAAATAATTATATACACATATATATATAAAATAAATATATACTAGGCACAGAAGTTTTTGTTTTAATAATAATAAAAAACAATGGCACAGTTCGCTACCTAGACCCGTCAGGGACAAGAATTGAAGGATATTCTTAGGAGCGATGGTTTTTATCTCCTTAGTAAACTTTCCAAAGGAGATATTTCGTTTATGCATGAGTGGTCTACAACCACGTAGGATGTGTAGTGGCGTTTCCTCTTCAGTTTGACTTACAATTTTTAATTAAGTTCTGGATCTAATCTATACATATAAATAAAATTGGAGTGTCTGTTTGTAATATTGAAATAACCGTGTTTTACTACATGCATATGAATATAAATACGGTACATACACGAAAATAATATTTTTTACAATTTTTGTCTGTCTGTTTCTTCCGGCTAATCTCTTAAATGGCTGGACCGATTTTGAAGGAACTTTTATTGGCAGGTAGCTGATGTAATAAGGCGTAACATAGGTTACTTTTATTTTCATTACCTATGTACGCTTAAATCTTTAACGCAATGGATTTTGAAGCGGTTTTTTTAATAGATAAAGCGATTCTAGAGGAAGATTTATATATATAATACATGTACACCCGGGCGAAGCCGGGGCGAGTAGTTAGTAGAAAAATAAAGTTAAATTCCGGACGAAGTCACGGGTACAGCTAGTTAATAATAAAAACAAACCGATAAACTTGCATAACTTTATTCACTCTCACAAATATACAATTATGTAATAAAAAATATTTATACTAAAGTAAATATCTATACATATATCTAAATTAATATTTACATTATTTAACTTATTTATATATGATACAAATTGTTATTATTACCGGTACAGACTTTGTTCAAACTCGTCTGCGTGTTTACCTCAGTCTCACCTATTTCGGTCAAGCAGCTTGCTTTGTAAGTTTCGGTTGTACCCTACAACCGAAACTTACAAAGCAAATTAGGAAGTGAAATTATAGGATGTAATAATCATGTATTTTATAAAAGCACTAGCTTTTGCTCGCGGCTTCGCTCGCGTTAATTTATCCCCTTAGGGGTGGAATTTCAAGGTCATGACCCCCATGACCCCTGGATTCGCCGTTGACCACAAATATTCAGTGCGGAAACCTGACCACCGCTATCTATGTACTTATATCAGTTGTCTAGTACCCATAACACAATCTCTGCTTAGCTTAGGACTAGATGGCGCTGTGTTAATTGTCCTGAATTATTATTATAATTCAATAGTCTGATGTAAGTATATTAAATTAATGAAATTTATTATGAAGTATGGTATTTATTCCCACCAAATGTACCTCCAGAAGGGATTCTCCCCTAGCAGCACTGTTAAGGACTCGCGTTTGTTCCCCATTCGTCCTATTATTCACTAGTCTGGTGTAGATATACTAAGTGAATACAATTTATTATGAAGTGTGGTATTTATTCCCACCAAATGTACCTCCAGAAGGGATTCTCTCCTAGCAGCATTGTTAAGGACTCGCGTTTGTTCCCCATTCGTCCTATTATTCACTAGTCTGGTGTAGATATACTAAGTGAATACAATTTATTATGAAGTGTGGTATTTATTCCCACCAAATTTCCCCCAGAAGGGATTTTTCCCTAGCATTACAGTTCAGGAACCCCATTCATGCTATTATTCTATAGCTTGGTATATGTATATTAAGTTAATACAATTTATTATGAAGTGTGGTATTTATTCATAAAAGTCAATAGGATTTTTCCCTAGGTATAAAAATTCTGTAACATCCAAAGGATATGTTTGAATTCTATTAAATTCAAAACATCTGATATATGTATACTAAGTTAATTTAACTTATTATGAAGTGTGGTATTATCATGTTTGGGATTTTCATTTTATGTTCAGACATAGCACCTATTAAATGCATATATGTAAATAAACTTAATTTAAAAAAAAGTGTGGTATTATTTCCCTTGCCAGTTCTTCCCCCCAGAGGGGATTATACCGAAGCATTACGGTTCAGGAAAAAATTATAATGTAAAACTTGACGTTCATAAGCGGCTAAAATGTCCTACATGAATAAATGATTTTTGAATTTTGAAAAATTCCCTCCAAATTAGCTTCCAACCATCCAAATAGGTATAAAAATTTACAATAAGATACCAAAGGATATATTGGAATTACCCTTAAATAAAAGTTCAAAACATTGTGTTAAATCATTCAATTTATCATGAACTGTGGTATAAACGAATTACTTGAAGTGGCAATGCAGGCATGGCAATAGTTTTCATGATGGCCGATTTTCATTTAATGTTAAACATAGACACCTATATAAATGCATTGTAAATAAACTGACGATCTTCAAAAAAAAAAGTAATTCAATTGAGTTTCTTGCCAGTTCTTCTCAATTGGATCTATATACCGAACTGGACGGTAGGGAAAAAAATTATAATGTAATACTTGACGTTCATAAGCGGCTAAAATGTCCTACATGAATAAATGATTTTTGAATTTTGAATTTTGAAAAATTCCCTGAAATATAGCTCCAGCCATCCAAATTTATTATCCAGAATGTTGTCAACACTGTTGAATCACATTTCATTCAATCACATTTATGCTGTTATTTAATAGTCCTTAATCAAAAGCCTTGTGTAGGTATATTAAGGTAATTCAATTTATCATGAACTGTGTCATATTATAAAATATTCGAACTTTGACTGTGGCAATGACAGTCCTCCGCCGCTATTCTGCAGTATTCTATTCTATTTCTGGATTCCTTGGGGCCGGTAGTAGCTGCTCCACGTGCCTGCGACCACAGCTCCCTGGTCGGTCTGTAGCGTAGTGCAATCGTCCCAGTCTATTCAATATGTTGCCAACCCATTTTGGCCCGCGTACAGATAGTTTCTAGCTTGGACCCGGTCACCTTTTGTATATATTTGTTTAACAGGTGGTCTGTTATTCGATTCAGCTACTTTAGTGCTGGTGTGGTGCGGAACATAACATGGAGCTTGGTTCTGACGTCTCGATTGAACAGAAGCTGATATGGTGTCCGACCGTTGGAGGTTGGTGTACGTCTAAGTCGTGTCTTAATGATCAGAAGTTTATCGTTAAGGTCTTTATAAAATACGTGTATTTACATAAGTTAATTTATTAGAATAGAAAATTATGGACATATGTCAAATAGAAATATTTCATATTATAAAATATTCGAACTAGCGACTGGTGGCCAGTATATGACAGTCTGGTATAGCATTAATCAGTGAATGCGATTTTATTTTACACTACGATGTTGGCAAACAGTCAAACGGCCCATCTGATGGTATTTTTACCATCTATTATTTTTTATTAAATTTATTATGAAGTGTGGTATTCTCCCTCCGAGGGAGATTCTCTGGACCACAGCTTATCCAATTCCTACCGTTATTCAATAGCCTGGAGTAAAAATACTCAGTGAATTCAGTATTAATCTTTACTATGATGTTGGATATTGTTTACTGTAGCCATTTTTTTAATTAAATTTATTACGACGTGTGGTGTTTTTCCTCTAGAGGGGATTCTCTGGACCACAGCTCATCCAATTCCTACCGTTATTCAATAGCCTGGAGTAAGTATACCCAGTCAATTCAATATTATTCTTTACTACGACATTGGCAAACAGCCAAATGGCCCATCTGATGTAAACGTTTACCATAGCCTATTTTTTTAATTAAATTTATTATGAAGTGTGGTGTTTTCCCTCTAGAGGGGATTCTCTGTACCACAGCTTATCCCCAATCGTGGTGTTATTCGATGACTCTATGGGGGTATAGTCTTCGCTTGCTTTTGTACGGCGCTGGCAGCTTAAGATGAACTGTCTTCACATGGACCTTCATTGAATTGGATTGTGAGAATGATTTCCCACAGTGCTGGCATTGGTATGGCTTATCCCCTGTATGTACCTGCGAATAGACAAAAGGGGGTTTTAGAATTTAATAGACAATAAACGACGACTTCGGTGGTCTAGCGGTCTAGCACACCGCTTTACGACCGATGGTCGCGGGTTCGAATCCTCGCACGGCACAAATATTTGTATTCATGAGTATTATTGTCTGTATCAGTCTGGGTGTTTTCTATGTATAATATGTATGTATTTACAAAAAAATATATCTATGTATATGTATCAGTTGTCTAGTACTCATAACACAAGCTCTGCTTACCGTGGGACTAGATGGCGCTGTGTTAATTGTCGAGTGTTATTTATTTATTTATATCAGTTGTCTAGTACCCATAACACAAGCTCTGCTTACCGTGGCACTAGATAGCGCTGTGTTATTTGCCCAGGTTTATTTATTTATTTTACCGTTTTGACTGCTTCTCCTAAGGTGATCATCTCCTTCTTCCTTATCCCATTTATTTGTTGGCGTCGTAATGTTTTTCTCTTCCATTCATCTCTGTTCGCAGTCATTCCGTTATTTACTCCCTTTCTTACCATATCATCTTTCACACAGTCCATCCATCTCTTTTTTGGCCTTCCTCTGCCCTTATAACCATCCACATTTATATGTCGAACCTTCGTTAAAATATCTCCATTCCTACGCATTACGTGAGTCATCTCGTTATTTACTTCCTTTCTTACCATATCTTTCACACAGTCCATCCATCTCTTTTTCGGTCTTCTGCCCTTGTAATCCACATTCATTCTCACCATATCTTTCACACAGTCCATCTCTTTATCGGTCTTCCTCTGGCCACGTAATGCACAGTCAGCATTGTCAGCATGTTGACCAATTCAATTATAAAAAATCTGTTATAAAAATAATGATTGTTCAAATAAACTTAATATAAGGCTTTGTGTTTAAAAGCTTTGGGGCACTCAGCGCACTGGTACGGCCTCTCGTTGGTGTGCGTCCGTATGTGTATCTATCGATAAATAGAAATAAAAATAATCTTATTCAAATAAACTCAATACAAGCACTTTTGAATATGTGTATCTATCGGTAAATAGAAATAATCTTTATACAAATAAACTTAATATAAGCACTTTTGAATAGTCATTTTTTATTTTACCACTCATTAGGAATGCAGACTCATCACAAGAAGAATAAGGAAGAAACTTGTGTGTTGCTCTTTTAAGTAAATGTTTTAAGTAGGTTTACATTAACAAGGATTAGGCATGCGACAATCAACATAGAAACCGCTACGCACTTAATCTCTGTTCAATCAGATAACATTGTCAGCTCTATGAATTTTAAGTTAGATATTTTCTACAAAAACATTATTATCTGTACATATAAATAAAATTGGAGTGTCCGATTGTAATATTGAAATAACCATTTTTTACTACATGCATATGAATATAAATACGGTACATACACCAAAATATCAATTTTTACATTTTTTGTCTGTCTGTCTGTTTGTTCCGGCTAATCTCTGAAATGGCTGGACCGATTTTGACGGGACTTTTATTGGCAGGTAGCTGATGTAATAAGGAGTAACTTAGGCTACTTTTATTTTAGAAAAAATGAAGTTAAATTCCAGTCGGACGAACTCGCAGGTACAATTAGTATAAAACTACAAGTTGTGTGACCGTATGTCCCTCACCTGCAGCCTCTGCTGTACTGTGAACCGTTTGAAGCAATGTGTACATTGGTATGGTTTTTCTCCGGTGTGAATCCTCTGATGGTACATTAATGTCGACTTACTCTGTAAATATAAAACAATGCAGATTAATCATTACATAGTATAATAATAATAATCTCTGGACAATTCACACAGCGCCATCTAGACCCAAGTTAAGCTAGCTAAAGCTTGTGTTATGGGTCCTAGACAACTGATACAAATACATAGATATTTTTTTTTCGTAAATACATACATGTTATACATAGAAAATACCCAGACCGATACAAACAATCGTACTCATGAATACAAATGTTTGTGCCGTGCGAGGAATCGAACCCGCGGCCATCGGTCGTAAAGCGGTATGCTAGACCGCTAGACCACCGAGGTCGTATATATATATATATAACTACTAGCTTAAACCAGCGGCTTTGCTCGCGTTAATTTATCCCCTTAGGGGTGGAATTTATCAAAATCCTTTCTATGGGGATGCCTACGTAATAGTAGCTTTATGAATGCAAAATCTCAGCCCGATCGGTTTAAAATTGACAAAGTTTCATACAAACTTTCATCCCCTGTTCTGTAGTAATTTAACAATAATTTAATTTATGCGTGTACTGATAACAATCCAAAATGTACCTCTTTTGTTTACTTTATTTCATATAGAGTTTTGATAGTATATATTATTATTATTTATTTCGGCGGTCTCTCCAGTTTCAAGAGTATCTGATCTATCTAAACGGTGTAATGCTTCCGGTCTGCTCTGATTTTCGGTACCTCGGTTCAGTTATTCAGAACAATGCCGACATAGACCGCGATGTAAGGCACAGAATTAGTGCGGGATGGATGAAATGGCGGCAGGTCTCGGGAACGATATGCGACTCCCGAATGGCCTTGAAACTAAAGGGTAAAGTTTATAAATCTATCATAAGACCTGTCATTTTGTATGGATCTGAATGTTGGGCCGTAAAGGGGATGGACGAAAGGCGTGTGCATGTGGCAGAAATGCGAGTGTTAAGATGGATGTGTGGGGTTACCAGGAGTGACAGAATGACAGAAGAAAGTTGCGCCGGTTATAGAAAAGATGTTAACCATTGAGATTGTGTGAAAGATGTCTTATGGAAAGTGTATATAAATGTGGATGGATGTAAAGTAAGAAAAGATGGATGGATTGTGTGAAAGATGATATGAAGAAAAGAAGAGTATGTTCAGATATGACGACTGATAGAGAGCAGTGGAAGAGAATGACATACTGCGCCGACCACAAATAATGGGATAAAGGCAAGGCAATGATGATGATGATGATATTATTATCCAAATAATCAGAAAGTCAAAATTATATGATGGCACGTCAATGACCTCATTAAACATTTTTTGGAAAAAATGGCACGTTGATGCGTAAAGTTTCGCCTACTCTGACATCGAAAGCTTTATTACTGTTCCGTATTCCGGACCTCCTTAGGTCGGATTTCACCAATCATAGCATAAACACGTTCAAGGAAACGGAGTTCAGCGTGAACTCGATAAAAAGAACGACGTTGATCTCGTTTTACTTTAAATGGAATTCACCAACATTATACAGATCGCGTTTACCAAAATGAAGTTTAGATTTTCATTCGTTCACAGTGTTACACGCTCATAAAATAATATTTGATGCAATGGGTAATTTAAATAAAATGATTCTAAGAAATATTTATAATTCAATCATGTGATAATTAGGATAAGTTTTTTAATTTTTAATTTAATAAGTACCGTCGACTACAAAGTATAAAACAACAACCTTTACCTATAAACTAGTAAAAAAATATTTTATTGAGGATTTTTTTTATATCACTGGCAATTTTCTTTTTATTCCCGATATTGTATTGTCAAAAATTTGATTGATGACTGTTTGAAAACTGACATCATCATCATCATCATCGCAGCCCGGAAGACGTCCACTGCTGGACATAGGCCTCCCCCAAAGATCTCCACGACGATCGGTCCTGCGCTGCTCGCATCCAATGCCTTCCAGCGATCTTGACCAGATCGTCGGTCCACCTTGCTGGAGGCCTTCCCACGCTGCGTCTTTCGGTCCGTGGTCGCCACTCGAGGACTTTACTGCCCCAACGGCCATCTGTCCTACGAGCTATGTGCCCTGCCCATTGCCACTTCAAAGTCGCAATTCTTCGGGCTATGTCGGTCACTCTGGTTCTTCTGCGGATCTCCTCATTTCTGATTCGATCACGCAGAGTAACTCCGAGCATAGCCCTCTCTATTGCCCTCTGAGTGACTCTGAGCTTGTTGATGGGGCCCATAGTTAGCGCCCACGTCTCTGTTCCGTAAGTCATCACTGGCAACACACATTGGTCGTAAACCTTCGTTTAAAGAGTTAACTGTAGGAAATCAGACGTTCAGAATTTATAAACGTGTTTAGCGAAATTTGTAGTGGTGAAATGCAAAATGAAGGTTTGAACACGATTAAACATTTTAATGGCGTTCAGTACGAACTAAACGTGATCAGTTTCTTTGGTGAAATCTAACCTTAGTCTAAGCCGGTTGTACACCGGCTTGCTTACTGAACCAAAGGGCGCTCGATAATACTGACCACATATAAAAACATGTGGCCACTTAAATTTCGAAAAAATAATAAATAAAACAATTGAAAATAAGAACAATTTTATCTATATAAAACAAGATAATTAATGATTTATTGACGACCTCGGTGGTCTAGAATTAACGTCCGATGGTCGCGGGTTCGATCCTCGCACGGCACAAAGATTTGTATTCATGAGTATTTGTTTGTATCTATATATATGTATGTATTTACAAAAAAAAAAAATATCTATTAATTGATTTATTTAATAACACAAGCAATATTAATTGTTTTTTATGAAATATATATTATATATATATACACAATATAATTGTTTTTGATGAAAATATACACTGTAGAGTGCGTGGCCACTAAACAGTACTACACATCGGGACGTTCCTGAGCAAAGGTGAGTAAGTTTGGTGTTACATTGCTTACTTTGGGGTGTTCGGAGTGTGGATGACGTTCTATCAGGTCGAGATCGTATTTCTGCTTCCTTTTCCATTAATTATTTTCTTTTCAATAAATACAGTCCACTCTCTATTTTATATATAAATTTATAAGGATTTGTGATCCAACAATTATATATATATATTGGTTGATATAAATCTACTAATTTCTAGCCAACTTGCAATTATATATATATATATATATATAAATTTTATCCACCAAATCTGGGGGTTCAACAAAATTTTCGTTGTATCGCGTCGAGCACACGCAAATCAACATATTCTCCGCGAATCAACGTTAACGGAACCATCAGCCGCGATCTCCGCGCGATCATCTTATTAGTACATCATCCAGTGAAAATCATCGTAGTGTTGTGCGTTTTTAAAGTGAAACGGCTACGCGTATAATAAGACCTGCAACGAATATATTTTTTAAACATATATATAAATTTAATTGTTTATTTATCTATCTTAAAAAATATGTGCTTAGGAAAAAAACTACGTCTAACAATATATTCTTGGTTGGGATATAACTCATGGTGTTAAGTCTGCCATATGCATCTATATTTGTGTATTTGTGCATAAAAGATTTAATAAATAAATAACTCGCTACTGACCGTGCACTCCTTCCCGCAGACCTCGCATACGACTGGACTGACGATGCCCTTGCTGGTGTACTGCTTCCGTTTGTATCCGAGATGCACCCGCTGGTAGTGTAACTCGTATGACCGTTCATTAACGAACGTTCTGTTACACTGTAAATATAATAATAATTATAGATATATAAAGTTGCATCTATACATGTAAATAAAATTGTAGTGTCTGTTTGTAATATTGAAATAGCCGTTTTTTACTACATGCATATGAATATAAATACGGTACGTACACCGAAATAACATTTTTTACAATTTTTGTCTGTCTGCCTATTTGTTTCGGCTAATCTCTGAAATGGCAGGACCGATTTTTACGGGACTTTTTGGCAGATAGCTGATGTAATAAGGAATAACTTATGCTACTTATATTTAAAAATAAACTTTTATTTTAGAAAAATAAAGTTAAATCCATGCGGACGAAGTTTTGTTTTGTTCAGAGATTAGTTACCTCTAAAATGGTTGGACCGATTTTGACGGGATTTTTTTTGGCCGGTAGCTAATGTAACATGGAGTATCTTAGGCTACTTTCATATGAGAAAAATCTTTTCTTTTAGAAAGCATTAGAGTAGTCCGGAAAAAAAATCGCGCAGGCAGTTGGCGCGTAGCTGTTTTGCACGAATGATGTGTGCTGCTATAGACTAATTGAACGATTGAGTTATGTTTTGATATTTCTATAGATCGAATGTTTGATTGCCTGTTTTAGTAACTGAGTCTTTGCTTGATTTAAACCTAGACTAACTGATTGATCGATTGAATGTTAGAATTACTTATTGATTGAAAGTTAAATTGACTGATTGATTCATTGAATGTAGATTGACTGATCGAGTGATTGAATGTTAGATTGACTGATTGATTCATTAAAATCATACCGGTTCAAACGTAGATTGACTGATCGACTGATTGAATGTTAGATTGACTGATTGATTCATTAAAATCATACCGGTTCAAACGTAGATTGACCGATCGACTGATTGAATGTTAGATTGATTGATTCATTCATTAAAATCATACCGGTTCAAACGTAGATTGACTGATCGACTGACTACAAATACAAATATCTTTATTTTGCCTGAAAAGTGGTTTACAGGATTTTAAAAATTATAATTTATGTATCACACTTTAAACCAGAATCTGGCATGCAAAAATTAACAGTGTCCATTTATTATTATAAGATTATACATATAGCTCAGTTTCATTTTTATTTTCATCATTATTAAATTAAATTTAAATTTCTGGGCAAAGTACTACGATCACCTACTTCATGAATTAAAGTACTCATCAACAGAGTAAAAACACTTATTGAATGTTAGATTGACTGATTGATTCATTAAAATCATACCGGTTCACATCTGGTGGTCTCCGCCTTCGTATGCACCTGTGCTACGTGCTCCAGTAACGCATCTTCACTCTCCAAATTGACACCGCACTGGTTACACGGCCTGGTGATGAAAATATAGTTCACAATATGACGGCCTCAGTGGTCTAGCGGTTAAGTCCACCGTCTTTAATTCTAACGGTCACGGGTTCGATTCCTCGGACGGTACAAACATTGGTATTCATGTATATGTTTGTTTGTATCGGACTGGGTATATTAAAGGGTGTTAAAAACGATGTTTAAAATATAAAAAAATATCTAGAATGTTAAAAAACTGACATAAAGTTGGCAACCCTGAGATCAATCAATACATGCAAGTGCGCGTCTATCGAAAGGAACGGGGAATCTCTGGTCGCTTGTTTTTGGTCGGTGTATCTTTTTAGTTGAGTAATATAATTAGGTAAGCTTATGGGACACAGTCATCTAGATACATAAAATAATAATTGCATTTAATAATGTCTAGTAAGACAAATTCAATATTGTCTACTATGCACTGCTGTATCTAAACTGTGTCACCCCATCTTACATTTTCCTATTGTTATTTAATATATAAGATCATTATTTCTATGTACATATTGTCAGTTTATTATCATCTATAATATACATCGTCTCGACCTTTAACATCGTATTATTCACCCACAACAAGCTCCTAAGTAGATTTAGGCCAGGGTCCCACAAATTCACGATCTGCCCCTGATGACTAGGGCCCTCACAGGACACTGCAAGCTGAATAGCATGGCGGAACTAGGCTTGCCAAGCAGAAGAGGAAACGCCAATACACATCCTATATGGTTGTAGCCCAGTCATGGAAAAACCATGAGTAGGCCAAAATGATTTTCAATTCTATTCTATTCTGCTCAAATCCATTTAAAAAAAACTAGTAAATTCTCACTTTCCGTCCAATTAAAAATCTTTTTATAATGTTTTGTTTCGTCATACAGCTATTTTTTTTTATATATTTTTTATATTGAAGTATAGCCTTGTATGCGTGTGAGACGTGGACATTTCAAATGAAAAGAAAGAAAAAGGAAAGAAAGAAGACAAACTAGAGGCTTTTGATATGTGGTGTTGGAGGAGGATGGAAAGAATTAGCTGGAAGATAAAGGAAGAAACGAAGAACTACAAAGGGTGAAAGAAAAAAGGCAAATATTGAACACAATAGAATAGAATAGAAAATCATTTATTCAAATAAACTTATATTGAAGCACTTTTGAATAGTCAATAGAAAATAGACGAGGAAAAATGTTGGCACACTTGATACGGCGCGATGAGTTCATGAAAATTATTATTGAGGGGAAATAGAAGGAGAGGGGGAGGGGAAGACCAAGGAATAGCTACATCAAACAAACTGAAATCTCTCTGGCGGTATCGAGCCACTTAGCTTGAGGCGAGACTTCGCTTCGCTTTGTGTGCTACCGATTATACAACGGACTGTGTTCTGAGGAATTGTTCAACATAATGCCTACGGCCACCTTTCACCATCGCATCGCTCGCCATCGACAGGGAATTAATCTCCACACGCTGGAACCTAAGTGGTCCCGAACAGTGCGTTTTCAGAGTTTCCTCCCGCGTACACTTAGATTGTGGAATGAACTTCCTGCCGAGGTTTTCCCACGAGACTACAGCATGGGGTTTTTCAAGAAGGGTATATTAAGGTTTCTTAAGGGTCGGCAACGCGCACGTGATACCCCTGGTGTTTCAGGCGTTCATAGGCTACGGTAACCGTTTACCATCAGATGGGCCGTATGCTTGATTGCCACCATCGTAGTATAAAAAAAAAATTTAGGACAAAATGGGAGTCGTGTCGTATCAAGAATTAAAGAGCATGATGGAAGATCGCGGAAAGTGGCAAGGGCTACACCGCCAAGAGCGTGGATTATGAAAAAAAAAATTATGTATGTGTATGTGTATTTTATTTATATATACCTTATTTAAATTATTAACCGGGTCTTAACACGAATAATTTTATGGCAAATAAAGGTATTTACCTCTCTCGACGTTTCGACTAGGTTGCACTAGCCGTGGTCAAGCACACCGCTTTACGACCGATGGTCGCGGGTTCGATTCCTCGCACGGCACAAACATTTGTATCCATGAGTATGATTGTTTGTATCGGTCTGGGTGTTTTCTATGTATAATATGTATGTATTTACAAAAAAAAATATCTATGTATATGTATCAGTTATCTAGTACCCATAACACAAGCTCTAGCTAGCTTAACTTGGGTCTAGATGGCGCTGCGTGAATTGTATTGAGATTATTATTATTATTAATTTTATTTCGTACGTAAATCATCCGTTAATAATTGTGAGGACCCACAGGAGTGATCCAAGGGACCTACACTAGACCCTTCTAATAGTCGTGGGCTATACTCACTTGAGATTGGGGTCGCAGATTCCGTTCTCAGTCACATCCGTGTGCCGTGTGAACGCTTCCATTGTTAGGAACTGGACTCCGCACAACGCGCAGTACACCGACTCCTCAGTTAGGCACTGCAACAATAGAGACAGCAAACAATGTTTTACCATAGAACATAATCTGTATCCAAATAAACTCAGTACAAGCACTTTCGAATAGTCATATTTTTGGAATGAAATGAGTGAAAAGAATGAAATGAGTGAAATGAATGAAATGAATGAAATGAGTGAAATGAATGAAATGAATGAAATGAGTGAAATGAGTGAAATGAGTGAAAAGAATGAAATGAGTGAAATGAATGAAATGAATGAAATGAATGAAATGAATGAAATGAATGAAATGAATGAAATCATTTCATTCATTTCATTCATTTCATTCATTTCATTCATTTCATTCATTTCATTCATTTCATTCATTTCATTCATTCATTTCATTCATTCATTTCATTCATTCATTTCATTCATTCATTTCATTCATTCATTTCATTCATTCATTTCATTCATTCATTTCATTCATTCATTTCATTCATTCATTTCATTCATTCATTTCATTCATTCATTTCATTCATTCATTTCATTCATTTCATTCATTTCATTCATTCATTTCATTCATTCATTCATTCATTTCATTCATTCATTTCATTCATTCATTCATTTCATTCATTCATTTCATTCATTTCATTCATTCATTCATTTCATTCATTCATTTCATTCATTCATTTCATTCATTCATTTCATTCATTCATTTCATTCATTCATTTCATTCATTCATTTCATTCATTCATTTCATTCATTCATTTCATTCATTCATTTCATTCATTCATTTCATTCATTCATTTCATTCATTCATTTCAATTCATTCAATGTTAGGGGTGCACAACCCTTATAGTAGAGAGGCAAAAAAATAGCCGATTCTCAGACATACTGAATAATTTATAATTTTATAAAAATCAGCCAAGTTGTATCGGAGGAGTATGGTAATTGGTAACTGATATTGTGACTCGAGAATTTCATATAAGATATATATATATAAATAGATAGAATATAATAAATAAGTAAATAAATAAATAACTGGACAATTTCCACAGCACCCAGATGGCGCTGTGGAAATTGTCCAATATAATTCATCCGACTGAAATCAAAGCAAGTAACGGGAACAATACGTAAATAAAAATAAATAAACATTACCTCTACATTTCTATGTGATTTCTTACGGTGCATCCGCAGACCGATTTCCCCAATGAAGGACTCTCCGCAGATGCTGCAGATGTACTCCGACGGATGCTGTAATCTCACGTGCGTGAGATGACTCGTCGACTTACTGAAACATCAAGCATAAAGGGCTGGTAAATGATAACGTGTTGACCAGTAACAAGCGTCCATTGCTACGGTAACCGTTTACCATCAGATGGGCCGTATGCTTGTTTGCCACTTCCAGTATCATCTACTTATTCTGGATGATAGGGGAGTCTAGATCTGGTTCCCAAACTTGTGTCGTATACCCTGTACAACCCAACACTAAACTCTGGACTACTACAGCGTCCTCTGGTGATAATAAATAAAACAAACAGCGATGTTGGATTGTTGAACTTAAAAAAGGGAGTTTTATTTTTACAAAATGGCGTACTTATATACACAGTAATACAACGAAACCATATCGCCGTCTACTTTTAACACAGCGCCATCTAGTATGTAGCTCGAGTACTAAAGTTTCTGTTCAAAATCTACCCTGTAACATCGTAAGCACAGATTATTATATTAGAGCCCGTTAGTTTCTGTTCCCGCGCGTTCCCTTCCCCTCCCTTACCTACAGTACTGAACGGACTGTACGGCGGCCTTGACGCGCGCGCGCATTTTGTTGTGAATTAAAATAAATTAGAACTGTGTTAAACCTACTGTGAAAGTGGAAAGTTAGCGAAGATACCTTCGAGACCCTGAAGCCTAAGAAATCCGCAGAACCATACAGGTACGTGACAGACGTTTTTCCCTATATATATACATAGTACTTTCCCTAACATTTTGGTAGCAGAGAGTAATTTCCCTAACAGTTTCTATATAAATTAACAAACTTATTGATGTGTATGTAAACCTCTTTTCATATTAAGAAAAGGTATTTGTGTTTCTTCTAAAGAAAATATATTCATTTGTTTTTGATTCTGACAGTTGAGTAATAAATTAGCTACACAATAAGTCGGACGTTTTAATATACATATTAATTGGCGACGAGGAAAAGTGTTAAAATGTCCAATTTTATTGGAAATATTTTAACTTTTGACCACAGAAAACAAGAGTGGAACATTTTCAGAAGCAAATTGCAACAATTTATTAAATTGAACGGCATTGCAAATGATTTACAAAGTGCTATATTGTTTACACATTTGTCCGACGAAACATACCGTTTGGCTCGGAATTTAGTACATCCGCGCGAATTAGAGACGGTAGTTTTCGATGAGCTTATAAAATTACTTGATGATCACTTTACACCTAAGAGGCTGACGTTCGCTGACCGGGCAAAATTTTATGATGCAGTAAAGGCACATAATGAATCGCTAGAAGAATGGGCAGTTCGTCTAAGAGGATTGGCAGTGTATTGCGATTTTGGAAGTGCTCTGGATGTCTTACTTCGTGATCGATTCGTGCTTGGATTGGGTGTAGGTCCAGAGCGAGATCGTTTGTTTGAACAAGATGCTAGCAAGCTTACGTTCACGAAGGCATTAGAGGTGGCGCAGCAAGCGGCTTGTGCGCGTCAGGCTAAAGTGATTATGAATGAGAACGGCGAGTGTTCCCGTGGTAATCTTATAAAGGAGGAACCAATATTTAGAGCGACAGGTACGAGTGGTTCAGGCTTCGGTGAACGGCGCGAGTATTATTCTTCTACTGGAGATTCTATTAATCGTGAAAAACAGTGTTGTGTGTGTGGTTTAAAAAATCATAATACGGAAAAATGTCGTTATAAAAATTATAAATGTAAAAAATGTGGAAAGAAAGGACACTTGAAAAAAATGTGCAAGTACAGTGTAAATAATATTACAACGGATGATACTGAATCTGGTTGTGAGAACTGCAGGGAATGTAATTTATATAATTTAAGGTATGAAACTTATGATCCTATTGTTTTAATAGTTATTGTAAATAAGCATAAATTAGAAATGGAATTGGACTCTGGATCCGGAATTTCAGTAATATCAGAGAATTTTTTTAAAGAACATTTTGCTCATTGTATTAAACTTAAACAATGTAATATTAAAATGTGTGTATACAATGGTCATAAAATTACTCCGCTGGGGTATTTTGAGGTAGAGGTCTCGTACAATTGTATAGATAAAATGTTAAAATTTTTTGTTATTCCAAATGGTGGTCCACCTTTATTGGGGCGTGATTTTATGCATGAATTTGGTATACATTTGGTAACAAATAATAATATGGCAATTATAGATAGTTACGAAAGCGAAATTTTAATGTTTAAAAAAAATTATGCTGATGTTTGGACTGATGAGTTAGGCTGTTTTAATAAATTCAAGGTTGCATTGAATATCAAGGAAAATTGTAAACCTAAATTTTTTAAATCAAGACCTATACCTTTTGCATTAAAAGATAAAATAAATTCAGAGCTAGATCGGCTGACTAAGTTAGGAATATTAGTCCCTGTAAATTTCTCAGACTACGCTACACCAATCGTTCCAGTTTTGAAAAATGACGGCACGGTTAAAATCGCTGGTGATTATTCCTTGACTTTAAATAAAGATCTTAATATTGACAAATATCCAATGCCGCGGATTGAAGAGGTATTCGCTAGATTAGGAGGAGGTGAACGATTTACAAAAATTGATTTAAGTAATGCCTATAATCAGTTTGTATTAAATGAAGATTCTCAGATCTTAACTACAATCAATACGCCGCGTGGATTATATAAATATACACGTTTAGTGTATGGTCTAGCCAATGCACCAGCTATTTTTCAGCGTACCATGGAAACACTGTTAATAGGAATTGAAGGTGTAAGCTGTTGGTTAGATGACATTTGTATAACGGGTCCAGACAGAGAAACTCATATATATCGTTTGCGGGAGGTATTAGATAGGATAAAAGGCGCTGGTCTCAAACTTAAAAAAGAAAAGTGTGATTTTTTTTGTAGTAGCGTTACTTATTTAGGTTATGTTATTGATAAAAATGGTCTGAAGACATGTCCTAAAAAAGTAGAAGCTATTATTAAAGCACCTCGACCTTCGAATATTCTAGAAGTTAAAAGGTTTTTAGGCATTGTAAATTATTATAGAAATTTTATACCTCAAGCATCAGAAATACTGAGTCCTATAAATGAATTATTACGTAACGGTGTGTCATGGCAATGGGAGGAACGGCAAGAAATTGCTTTTAAAAATATTAAAAGTGAGTTAGCTTCCGATAGAGTACTTGTGCATTTTGATCCAAAGGCTAGGCTCGTTTTGAGTGTAGATGCAGGACCTACTGGTTTAGGGGCCGTTCTTTCGCAGGGAGAAGATGGATTTGAACGACCTATAGCTTTTAGTTCTCGTTCACTTATTGCTAGTGAACGTAATTATAGTCAAATCCATAAAGAGGCTACGGCTATAGTGTTTGGTGTAAAACGTTTTCACCAATACTTATATGGAAGAGAGCAGCCGTTTATACTTAAAACGGATCACAGACCACTGTTAGCTATTTTTGGTAAGAAAAACGGAGTGTCCGTATCTGCATATAATTATATAATTAATTATATACCGAGTGAAAAAAATTTAGTAGCAGATTATTTTTCGAGGTCTCCATTAAAAAATTCTATAAAGGAAAATAATGTAGATGATAAAATAAAATTGCCATATCTGAATTTTATTAATGACAGTATGCTTCCTGTGTTATATGAAGAAATAAAGACTGCTACAGAAAATGACAAAACATTAAAGATGGTCATGAAATACGCGCATCATGGATGGCCACGAAAAATAAACTGCAAAAATATACAGCCATATTTTAAATGTAAAACAGATTTACAAGTGGAAAGTGGTTGTATACTGCGGGGTTTAAGAATAGTCATTCCATATGTATTGAGACAGCGTATGTTAAACGAATTACACAAAGGTCATTTAGGTATAGTGAAGACGAAAAGTCAGGCTCGTAGCAGGATGTGGTGGCCAGGTATTGATAATGATATTGAAAGCATGGTCCGTATGTGTGAAACGTGCTGTATTTTGCAAACCGCACCTCCTCGCGCTCCGCCGTGTCCGTGGCCGGCCGCCATAAAGCCATGGGAACGTATTCATATAGACTATATGCAAATAGATCAAAAGGTATTTTTGGTCGTGATCGATGCCTATAGTAAGTGGCTTGAATGTATCCCTATGTATAACAGCCTAACTACTAAGTCCCTTATTAATAAATTAAGTTATTTATTTTCTTTGTTTGGATTACCAAATGTAATCGTTTCAGATAATGATCCTAAAATAAGTAATGATGAATTTTTATTGTTTTGTAAAAGTAATGGTATAACTCATTTAACTTCGCCTATCTATCATCCTAGCAGTAACGGCCAGGCCGAAAATGCAGTTCGAATCTGCAAGAAAATGATAAAATGCATTCTCGTAGATGGAACAAAAAGATCGAGTGAACAAATTCAAAATGAATTATTGTTGTTTTTATTTAAATATCGTAACAGTGTTCATTGTTTTACACGCCGTACTCCAGCAAAATTAATGTTTGGTAGAGAATTACGATTGGATTTGATTTTTCCAAATAAAGTTAAACATATTATGAAGGAGGTACAATGTAATCTAAATAAAAGTAAAATGTTTGTAGAAAATCAATTAGTTTGGGTACGTTGGTTCATATCTAGAAAGCCGGTGTGGTTAATTGGTAAGATTATTAATAAACTTGGGAACAGAATGTTCGAAGTTTATATAGACAAATTGAAAATTAGATGCAAACGACATGTTGATCAATTGCGGACATATTGTAGCTCAGACGATATTTTTGAGGAAAAATCGGGAGAAATGCCAGTTACAGTATGGCCGATGTTATCACCGCCAGCGGTAACGGAGGTCGCGCCTTCTTTACAAACAGAACTTTCTAGAGACAGAGACAGTGAGAGTTCATTACCCGTAGTTATTGATAATGAAGCAAGGGTAGAGACGGTAGGCTCAGATATTAATAGAGGGGATTTGGCATCTAGTGATGCAGTTATTCTCTTAGAGAAGGGTACTATTGATGAGGTTCCTGAAGTAATTGCAGGTGAAGGGTCATTACCCATAAATACCGAACCTCAACCATCTGTTGAAGTAGAACCACTGGGTGCGACGTCTGTTTCCATTCAGCCACGATATCCGGGTCTAAGACCCAGAAATAAAAAAGTTAATTATAAAGATGTATAAAATGTTCATAGTTTTTTATTATTACTAGTTTTATAACCTAACATATATTATTCATAATTATTGTGTACATTGTATATAAATATTAGTCATATTATATTCTTATTGTTTTGTTAACAGGTTTTCAAATTAATGTGGAGGAGTGATGTGTATGTAAACCTCTTTTCATATTAAGAAAAGGTATTTGTGTTTCTTCTAAAGAAAATATATTCATTTGTTTTTGATTCTGACAGTTGAGTAATAAATTAGCTACACAATAAGTCGGACGTTTTAATATACATATTACTTATACAGACCCCTTGTCATATTTTTCGATTTTGGACCCCCCCCATTCTTACCTGGTATTGATTTTTTCTACATTTCTAACAGTAGTAAAGTTTAGTGTTAAAAACATTAAGTAAAAACAAGATGATCGCTGTCATATACCCCTAGCAGTTTGTCATAGACTAGATGATGATTACGTCATCGGCAGTTCTATACTTTTTTACACGAATGGCAACCCTCACAGCGATGGCTGGCTCATCTACATAAAAAAAATATGTTGTCGAGTTCCGTAAATGTTCTATACCTCATTTTAGGAAAAAATCAATTTACATATCTATACATATAAACAAAATTGTAGTGTCTGTTTGTAATATTGAAATAACCGTTTTTACTACATGCATATGAACACAAATACATGTACCAAAATAACATTTTTTACAAATTCTGTCTATCTGTTTGTTTGTTCTGGCTAAAGTCCGAATGGCTGGACCGATTATGACGGGACTTTTTTTGGCAGGTAGCTAATGTAATAAGGAGTAACTTAGGCTTTTTATTTTAGAAAAATAAAGTTAAACTCCGCGTGTACAGCTAGTAGTTAAATAAAATAATTTATTACTCACGTAAATGTCGCCCCGCATTCCTTGCATACGTAGTTGTGTCCCTTGTGCCAATTTGAGTGTTCTTTAGCCTTGTATCTGCAAAACATGTAAATAATTATAATAATAATAATAGCACTTTATTCCGAAAGTTGTGGTACATTTGCAAAAAAGCTTACTATAAAATTGAAGAATTCGTTAACGATAATAATGTTTTTATAGAAAAACTTTAAATCTATAGCACTGACCTCTTACTCGTTATACTGTAATTATTTATATAAAAAAAAACATCTATTAAAAAGAGCAACACACAAGTTTCTTGCTCATTCTTCTTGTGATGAATCTGCATTCCGAATGAGTGGTAGAATCAAAATATGACTATTCAAAAGTGCTTGTAATGAGTTTATTTGAATAAAGATTATTTCTATTTCTATTTGATGTTTGCAAGATGTTCCACAACTCGGTGTGTTTTTTAGGCCTCCTCCAGCTCTCTCCACTGAGCTCTATCTTCCGCAACCCTGTTCCAGAACGGTCCCAGAGTCACGTTGATGTCATCTTTCCATCATGTTCTTTGACCCTGTCTTCTGGTCCCATCTCTAGCATACCAGAGAGTTACTAGCTTGCTCCATTTATTTGTTTTGCACCTTAGCATATAATATATATAAATAATTATAAATCAGGGCAACAAATATACATTTTATTCATAGAGCTCGCTTGTCCCCGTGTTTGTCGCTTGTATTTGTATACTATAAATAAAGAATATTTAAAGATATACTTACGGAGTGTTAGAGACGTAGTGGCAGAGCTTGCATACATATTTGATTTGATGGGATTGCTTCAAATGTCCCCGCAATGTACTTGCATTTGGCCATCTGGTCAGGCATATATCACACTCATGACTGCCGGATGTCTGCACAAATAAACATGTTTATTTTTATTACCACTTTATTAATTTAAAAAGTTTTGTGTATATCACATGCCTCTTATGTGTTATTGTGTAATGAATTATATAAAAAAAAACCATCTATTCAAAAGAGTTTCTTGTGATGAGTCTATATATATGGTAGAATAAAAGAAATTACTATTCAAAAGTAAAAAAATAACTCTGCCATTGTCGGTCCCAAGCCCGGATGAGAAAAGAGGAGGGTCGGTTGAGAACGACGAAAACAAAGTCAACCGTAAAATTCGTCAACGCCGAGCCGCAGGCGGCGGTTAATTAACCTGTTTAGGGCAACAGCGGACCTAGGGGAGTTAAATGCCCCCTAAAAATAGCTGCAATACTACCCTGGGAAAGTAGTATGAGTGTCTTCTCCCAACCCCCCTCTTAAATGGAAATGTCAAATAATGAGAGCAATTGTACGTCATGCGATCCGGCTAACCCCCGGCGCTCTCCGGTACCCGGGCCGGAGGGTGTGAAATTAGTTACCGAAGACTTAATGGAAGTAGGCGACCAGGCTTCCATTACAGTGAATACTACTGGCAGCAAAAAACTTATTCAGCAGGCCTTTCACCGCAGTCTGTTTATCACCAGACCTAGAAGTCATTCTTTGGGAAGCAAATCTCCAGAATGTTCACACACCGTAGAAGAACCACCAAGAGAATCGCCAAGCCCTCGAGGCCCACCTTCATGGCAAAGAGTACCAGGTACTAGAAATCTGAAACGGAAAAAAATCAGTGATTCCCCAGAGAGCTTAGCCACCAGCAACATGTTCAGCCAATTACCAATCGACTTAACAGAAGAACCCATTACAATTGAGAAACCCGCAAAAACAAAATCTAGCAAGCCTCCTCCGATAATACTGTATGGTATAGAAGATGTCAATAAATTAACTGAACTCGTGGAATCTGTTGCTAATAAAAATGCATTCACATATCGGATTTCAAACAGAAACCAACTAAGAATTAACACCCTGGATATGGAAGCTTACAAAAAAAACATCAGTAAATTTCGTGAAAATGGTCTAATTGGTCATACATTTAACAAAAAGGAAGAACGGCTCTGTCGTATTGTCATTCGGAATCTTCATCACACAACACCCAAAAGTGAGATAAAGGAAGAAATTGAAAAAACTGGAAACAGTGTTGTTGGGGAAATCATTAACTCCAGATATGGTCCAGAGAAGAAACCTACGTCAACATTCTTTGTGAATCTCTTGCCTAGTGTAAACAACAAAGCCGCTAAAGAAATCAAGTATATCTACCACCAGTCTGTAATCATTGAGGATCCCAGGAAGAAAAGTTCAATTGTACAGTGTCAACGATGCAGCAATATGGGCACACAAAGAATTACTGCATGAGACCTTACCGTTGTGTAAAATGTGCACAGGCGCATAAAACCTCAGACTGTCCAAAACGCGATAGAAACACACCAGCCGAATGTGCGCTGTGCCAAGGGTCCCATCCCGCAAACTACAAAGGTTGTGAGGTGTACAAGGAAATACTTGCCAGAAAAACTAACAAGTACGGTCACAGAAGAGCTGTTAGAAGTCTCGCGATCCAAGATCAAAATTCTTGTAAAAATACTGCCCAACAATCTTCATCTACGCAGAAAGAAAATGAACCACTCTCCTACGCCCAAGCTACTAGAAACGTATCAGATAAACAGAAACCGATTTCAGCGACCAAAGAAAATAGCACACCTAATGTAAACAAAAACCTAACTGTACTAGAAACTTTACTCACCAAACAAAACGAGAAATTCGACTTAATCTTACAACAAATGGGTACTCTAATGAGTCTCATGACCACACTCATAACCAAACTACAAGGGTAACAGGCCTTGGACTAAGATTAGCGACTTGGAACATAAACGGACTTTCACCAAATAAAGATGAGCTCGAGATACTAATGGCCGAGCACAAACTAGATGCTGTCCTAATATCTGAAGCACACTGCACAGACAAAACTAACGTCAAAATCAAAGGTTTCCAGATATATACTACAAACCACCCAGATGGTACGGGACATGCAGGATCAGCTATAATTATTCGGAATACTATAAAGCATGATCTACTACCTGAATATAAAACTGAACAGATCCAGGCTACTACAGTCGCAATACAGGACAGATGTGGATACCTTAATGTCTCTGCTGTATACTGTCCACCAAAACATCGTATGGACACCGACTTGTTCTCTCGCTTCTTCTCAAGTCTAGGAAATCGTTTTATAGCAGGAGGTGATTGGAACTCTAAACATGTTCATTGGGGCTCCAGACTAATAACGACTAGAGGGAGACAATTAAAGCTGTGTATGGACAAAAATAAGCTAAGCTCAATTTTACCACTAGAACCAACGTACTGGCCTGTTGATCACAATCGGATCCCGGACATACTCGACTTTTTCATAACAAAAGGACTCTCCAAAGAATACATGAAAGTTGAGTCGTGTATTGATGGATCATCTGACCATACTCCGGTCTTACTAACCATCAGCTCAACTATTATTGAATTTGAGACACCTGCAAGATTGTACAATCAATGTACTGATTGGTCCTCCTTCAGAGAATACATAGAAGAACACCTCAATGTAAATGTTAGACTCAAAGAAGCGGAGGAAATTGAATCAGCAGTAATACAATTTACCAATCTCATCCAAGTCGCTGCATGGAAATGCACACCTTCTACCGAACGTAGGTATCAACCTACTAATGTGCAATTGGATATAAAGATCATGATTCAAGAGAAACGCAGACTACGAAGAAATTGGCAGCTGAGCCGTCATCCACAAGATAAGGCCATCCTTAACAAAGCCATCGTTGAATTAAAGGAAGCCATAAAGAATGTCAATGATCTTACACTGCAAGCAAAGTTGGAGTCTCTAACTGCCACTAAAGCTACAAACTATTCGCTCTGGAAGGCCACCCGATGCTGCGACAGACCTAACGTACCAAAATTCCCAATAAAAAAGGACGTAGACTGGGCCAGAACAAGCCAAGATAAAGCGGATTTATTTGCAGACCATCTAACAAGCGTCTTTAAACCAAATGAAACATCAGACAACACTTCAGAAGAATACGTTGACGCAATCCTGAAACAAGACCTTCAATTGGACTTGCCCCCTAGACCTATATCGCCCGCCGAGGTCATAAAAACCATCAGCCGGCTAGACAGTAAAAAGGCACCAGGATACGACCTCATCACTAAAGAAGTGCTATCAGAACTACCGAGAAAAGCTATTGTTTTTATTACTACCATCTTTAACTCTATGAAGCGAATAGGGTATTTCCCAAGCGCGTGGAAGGTCTCGGAGGTAATCATGATTTATAAGGCCGGAAAACCAGTAACTGACAAAACATCATACCGACCTATCAGCCTGTTACCTACACTATCCAAGATACTGGAGAAAATGTTACTACGGAGAATTATGCCAAGCCTCTTAGAAGGCAAAGTGATACCAGACCACCAATTTGGCTTCAGAGAGCGGCATGGCACAGTAGAACAAGCCCACAGAGTATGCGACGCCATAAGAACATCTCTTGAACAAAGAGAATACTGTTCGTCAGCGTTCTTAGATATCCAGCAGGCGTTTGACAAGGTCTGGCACAAAGGCCTGCTATGTAAGATCAAGCAGAGTATTTCCCACTCATACTTCTCATTATTAAAATCTTACCTAGAAGATCGAATATTTTATGTGAAAGAAGGTGACGCCACTTCTAATTTTAAAGAACTCAATGCAGGGGTACCACAAGGATCTGTTCTTGGGCCAATGCTCTATACTTTGTACACTGCTGATCTACCACTTACTCCTGGGACAATCACGGCTACATTTGCAGACGATACCGCCATACTGGCAAGTAATAAAGATCCCAGACTGGCATCGGAGAACCTCCAGAAAGGCCTCAATAAGTTGAATGAATGGCTCCAAAAATGGAAAATAAGGGTTAGCGCTGCAAAGTCTGTCCAGGTGACATTCACTCTCAAAAAAGAAGACTGCCCACCTGTTATGTTAGGCCAATCTACTCTACCTCACAGTGACCACGTAAGATACCTTGGCTTCCACATTGATCGTAGACTAACCTGGAGATATCACATCAATCGCAAAAAGCAAGAGCTACAGCTAAAGTACAATAGTCTATATTGGATGCTAGGAAGGAACTCTAGACTGTCCATGGACAACAAACTCCTCATTTATAAAGTTATTTTGAAACCTGTTTGGACGTATGGTCTGCAACTATGGGGCAGCGCAAGTGATACCAACATAAATATTCTCCAGCGCCAACAAAACAAAATCTTAAGAACCATTGCACAAATACCATGGTACATAACCAACACTGAAGTCCATGATCACCTTCAAATAAGAACAGTGAAGGAGGAAATTCGGAATTTGGCAGCCAAATATAAAGAACGGTTGATTCATCACCCCAACAAACTTGCTCGACAACTCACCATAGTACAGCATGTGAGACGACTAAAACGCCATCATATCCTGGAGCTAGAAGATCGGCAGTAGCTCTGGGATGCAGATGAGTAAGGTTTCCAATGGGAAGCCGCTCTACATGATAGCATCACAGAACATATTCGCTTATAGTCCTGGGACTGATCGCAAATGTACTCGGAGAAAAAAAAAAAAAAAATTCCTATTCAAAAGCTTGCTTGCTTGCTTGTATTGAGTTTATTTGAATGAAGATTATTTCTATTTCTTATTACGCAGGCAAAGACACGTGTAGCAACTAGTAATATACTTACAGGGTGATGTCGAATCATATGATTCTTATACGTACTATCCACCATGAACCCTTTGAAGCACAGATCACATTTATAGCTTGACTTCATGTAGTTTGAGGAGTTCTTCCTCGACTGTATTTCCTCAATCTGCTGTTCCTTGGTGAGGAATACCACATCGATATCATCTCCATATGTGACATTCACGAATATATTCTCCATATTGCCATCCATGTCGACATTCTCCATTTTGATCTTACTTTCTTTCTCATTCTTACTCTGTTTTTCCTCTCCCTCTTCTTTATATTCTATTTCTATTTCGTTCGCGAAGTCTATTTCGTAGTCGCGGATCTCCTCTTTTATGTTCTGGTCTATGCAGTCTATATTGTCTATGATTGTCTTTGAATATGGATTGAAGAGTTTGTATTTCTCTAGGTCCAGGTTGCGTATTCTGTCTGTTGTTATCTGTGAAGAAAATAATAACTCAGGACAATTCACACAGCGCCACCTAGTCCCAAGCTTGTGTTATGGGTACTAGACAACTGATATAAATACATATATTTTTTTTTAATTTATATATATTATACATAGAAAACACCCAGCCCGATACGAACAATCATTGTTAGGGAAAATACTTTATGTGGAAACGTCTGTCTCGTACCTGTAGGGTTCTGCGGATTTCTTGGGCTTCAGCGTCTCGAAGATATTTTCGCTAGCTCCAGTTTCACAGTAGGTTTAACTCAGTTTTAATTTATTTTAATATACAATAAATGCGCGCGCGTCATGGCCGCCGTACGGTCAGTTCTGTACTGGGTAAAGGGGGGAAGGAACTGCGCGGGAACAGAAACTAACGGACTCTAATATAATAATCTGTGCTTACGATGGTACAGGGTAGATTTTGAACAATCATACTCATAAATACAAATGTTTGTACCATGCGAGGAATCGATCCCACAACCATCGGATAGTAAAGCTGTGTACTATACCACTAGATCATAGAGAGCATCAAATTATTTATAATCTCACCTCACACTGGTTGGAAAGTAACTTTAGAACTTTATGTGCACGCTGACATTTGCTGTTCAACGCACTGAACTTCTGGAGTAAATTACTGCAATACATACACGCGAACTGCGGTAGACCATCACTTCGAGTCATCTGAAACATATTTCAAATGTAAATTCTTATGTCAAATGTGAATACTATAACTATCAGATGGCAATTGTAAGTAGCTATGACGTTGTCGAAAACTGTAACTGAGTGGATTCCCCGTCATAAAACGAAACAAAAAAGAGGAAGACAGTACAAGAGATGGTCTGATGACCTTAGAAAGATTGCCGGCCCACTGTGGCTCCGATCGGCAAAAGATAGGAACACATGGAAAACGCTGGAGGCCTTTGTGTCTAAAGGACACGTTGACTCAGAGACTGATGTGCAGAATTAGAAATAACATAAAATGTATATATAACTAATATTTCTTTTATATTTTAAACTTTTAATCAATTATTATGATAGATTGTATAATTTTGTGTCAATTAATAAAGGCTTTGAACTTGAATTTGAATGACGTTGTCTATGACATTAAAGAAGTGGCGGGGAAAACTGGATGAGCGTGGCTGTGAATAGACCCCCACATGGGGGACAACGCCTCCTCCAACTTGATCCATATATATAAAGAAAATAAATTAATCCTAACTTAAAATATTAATTAAAATTGTAATATATAGGTGAAGTCGCTCCGTGAAGCCTGCGAAGACACCAGGAGACTTCTGCGGTTCTGGGAAGAGCTTAGCTGGCTATGTTAGTAGCCTGGCTCTACACGCACAACGGTCCAAATGAGAGGCCAATTGCGTAAAATGGAGTCCAACATACAATACAAGCTTAAATAATAAAATAATATGATGTAGTCTTAGTGTCTTGAGTAGTAGACATGTAGCGGCATGGTGGGCCAGGTCCCTAAAATATGGTCGAGTGCAGTGATGGCTGGCTCATCCGTCATACTTGTGACGAGTGCTACTTGTAGGGACTGGTCTGCTCTTATCACTACGACTGATTTAATCTTATTTAGTTGTTTAACCAGTTGGTTGTATATTTCATATTTTTTCTATTTGAGTATTTAAAACAGTGCTAATTGAAAGTTTTTATTCACACATGTCAACTTAAAATGTAAAGTAAGAATAAAATTATTTAAAAGAGCAACACATAAGTTGGGTATTGGGCATAATCCTGTGTAAATAGTGTGTACATAAATAAATAAATAAAAAATGTTCTTTCTCATTCTTGTGATGAGCAGCTTTCCAAATGAGTGGTAGATTAAAAAAAATATGACTATTCAAAAGTATTTCAATCAATGTATGTTTATTTGAATAAATGATTTTCTATTCTATTCTAATTCAGAATTTTTGCCATGCCAATTATTAATTGCAGACAATGTCAATGAAATTATTGTCCACATAAATGTCCCTAACTCCCAATATATAACTTATACTTTATGTTCTGGTTTAGAATATTACATTAATGGAATGGTGCATCTAGCTGGGCTAACGGTATAACCTGGCACCAGTAGAGAATTATAGGGGCGGGATGAAGTCAGTCAACCCATTGTAATTCCCCAGGACCTAATTATTTTAGGTTACTTTTCAGGTAGATATAGCAATGGTCCCATTTGTGCCCATTACTAACTATCCCCTCTCCCACAGAAAAATGACAACGATGTTATAGTTTACTGCGAATAAGATTTTCCCGCCAATACAGATGGCGAAGCGTGAGTTTAAGCTCTTGGAGTGTAGTAAGCATGTATGGGAATCTAATATAATTTTTTCGCATATATAAGTAGTTCAAACTGCTATAAAAGACTATTTAATAAAAAGTAATAATTTACTCTATACTCATGAAATGATGGTATGTCATAGTACAAGTTACAGAGTAGTTTTAACCAATTCTAGTAAATAAACAATAAATAAACTGTACCTTCAACGCCGATAATGTTTCGTAAGTCGACACAAGTTGATTATCAAACATATTAACTAGTTTAACATCCGTCGATAGGCAAATACGGCACGCTTCTATATCCTCCATTATTATAATAATTTTCTTTCAAAACACAAATTAGTAAACAATTTTAATAATAGCGGCAAAGACAGATCAATTTAGACTTCTTGGAAACAATCGCAGACGCCTAAAATTGTTTAGTATTCTAAAAAAGGTGCTCTGTGCGTCGTGATCCTAGAGTACAATATGGCGGATGGAATCAAAAATTAGACTATGCAAGAACGAAGCAACCAATGTTGCCAGATGATGTTTTTCTTTTCCCATAAATTTAGCCCAAAATCTCATATAAATTTTTATTACTACACAGATAAAAAATTCAAAAGAAGTGAAATAGCTACTAATATTACACATACATAAGCATAAAAATTAACCAATACATACGACCTTTATCCCTGTTTCATTAGATTGTAATTATTAAATTTTTTTTCTTGACATATATTCGTTCTCCTTTCCTACAATAATTAGGAGTAATTTCCGCATTCTTGTTTGTGGAGCTCTTGCCATTTTCCTTGCTATTCCATTAATCTCTTTAGTTGTTTTAAACAAAAAGTTGGATTTGGGTCGTCGTCTACACGACTCAAATTTTTTTCTTAATCTTTTTAATACATTCTTGGTTATTTTTTCCTTCTATACATAAATTTTATTAATATTTATAGAAGCTAAACATGAAAACATTAGCATTACTCTTTTCTTAATTTATTACCTGTGAACATAGAGTTCTGAATGATACTCTTTGCTTGCTACCGATTTGACCGAATGTCAAAGTCGTCCATATTCTTTGTTTATCAATCAAAATCAATCAACTGTCAGTTGTCCATATATTTCTCACCTCGTATTATTTTTCGTTTATGCTTTTAAAATTAATATATTTTTATTATTAAATAAAATGGAAAATTTAATTCTAAATACTGGGGAGTCTAAACCTGATATAGAGTCAGGGAAAACGTTATGCCGCTGTTGTTTATCGACAGATAGACGTATGTGGAATTCGACGCTTTTCGAAGTGTATTTTCAAGACTTAGCTGGGATTAGCGTAAGTTTAATATTTAATAGTTACTAGTTATATACCGCCGCGCTACTTGCGAGTAATATATTCTAAATTATTCGCTGATAATGTGGCTTGCATAGGTGAAAGAATTTTTTAAATTGGTTCATTAATTATTTAGATAATTAATCACAAAAATAAAATAACTCTGGACAATTTAAGCAGCGCATTTTAGTCCCAAGTTAAGCGGAGCTTGTATTATAATCACATAGTATAAAACCAAGTCGCTGTCGCTGTCTGTCCGTCCCTATGTATACTTAAATTTTTAAAACTATGCAACGGCTTTTGAATCGGTTTTTATATAGATATGGTGATTCTAGAGGAATGTTTATATATATAACACATGTATACCCGTGCGAAGCCAGAGCAACTAGCTAGTATGTAATAAACAATTGAGAAAAAAAACTTTCTACTAATTCATAGACTTCTAATGCCCGTATAAAACCACAGACATAACAATGAAGTAAAAGTTGGTTCTTTAAACACCTGACCAATCAGAGGTCTGTTATAAGCTATATATGTGTTTGTGTGTGTATGTTAACTAATGTACTATCCTGATACAAACCATCTCAACCAACCAGCTCCTAAGAATATCCTTCAATTCTTCTTCCAACTGGTCTAGGTAGCGAACTCTGAAAAATTATGAGCACATAGATATATGTAGGCTGCAATGCTACAGATCCAAGCACCCGACAATAGCCTAAACAAAACAATAAAAAAAAGTAGCACTCTATCCCAAGCATTGCATAAAAAAAAATACCTTTGTAAATAAATTTTCAACAGGTCCAAGTACCTGACAATAGCCTAAACAAATCAATAAAAAAAAAGTAGCATTCTATCCCAAGCATTACATAAAAAAAAATACCTTTGTAAATAAATTTTCTACAGGGCCACGTACCCGACAATAGCCTAAACAAATCAATAAAAAAAAGTAGCACTCTATCCCCAGCATTACATAAAAAAAAATACCTTTGTAAATAAATTTTCTACAGGTCCAAGTACCTGACAATAGCCTAAACAAACCAATAAAACAAAGTAGCACTCTATCCCCAGCATTACATAAAAAAAAATACCTTTGTAAATAAATTTTCTACAGGTCCAAGCATCTGACAATAGCCTAAACAAAACAATAAAAAAAAGTAGCACTCTATCCCAAGCATTACATAAAAAAAAATACCTTTGTACATTAATTTTCTACAGGTCCAAGTACCTGACAATATATAAAAAAAAGTAGCATTCTATCCCCAGCATTATATAAAAAAAAATACCTTTGTAAATAAATTTTCTACAGGTCCAAGCATCTGACAATAGCCTAAACAAACCAATAAAAAAAAGTAGCAATAAAAAAAAAAAAAAATACCTTTGTACATTAATTTTCTACAGGTCCAAGTACCTGACAATAGCTGCACTTTCTTTTTTTTTTTTCTATCTGCGATCAGCCCGTCTGGCTATAATCAAATTTTTTGAAGTTACTTGCTTTTTCCCAGCATTATATAAAAAAAAAAACCTTTGTAAATAAATTTTCTACAGCTCCAAGCACCTGACAAACCAATAAAAAAAGAAAATGGAACTCTGTCCTCAGCACTATATAAACAAAAAATACCTTTGAAAATAAATTTTAACATTTCCTTGTTTTCAGGTATCACAATCTGATGGTCTACCACAATGGGTCTGTTACGAGTGTACCATATTACTGTACAAGGCCGTCCGATTCAAACACAAATTACTGCGGGCCCATAACCTGCTGTATGAGTATCTGACCAGATGTGCACCGGTGTGTATAGTAATTCTAAAACATTTATTTACCTTCATTTTTAAGTAAAAATTAAGTCACAGCTGTCACCTCTAAGTCACAGCTATCAACTCTAAATCACAGCTATCACCTCTAAGTCACAACTGTCAACTCTAAGTCACAGATATCAACTCCAAGTCACAGCTATCACTTCTAAGTCACATATATAAACTCCAAGTCACAGATATCCACTCTAAGTCACAGCTATCAACTCTAAGTCACAACTGTCAACGATAAGTCACAGATATCAACGCCAAGTCACAGCTATCACTTCTAAGTCACGTATATAAACTCCAAGTCACAGATATTAACTCTAAGTCACAGCTATCAACTCTAAGTCCTCCTGTCAACTCTAATGCATTTCATTTCCTTCATTTTAAAGTCAAAATTTATATATCTTACTAATAGCAAAAGTTTGTGAATATGGATGTATGTATGTTACTCTTTCACACAAAATCTACTGAAGAGATTGTGATGAAACTTTACAGTGATATAGCTTATACATTAGAATAGTATATCCATTGAAAAAGTTCCCATATTTCGGTTAGGTAGATCTATCTTTCATCCAGCTCCACTCCTATTTGCTCTTTTTAGTCTCTTTGCTGGGTTATTGAGTAGAAGCTTCTGAGCCTGTTTGTTCAGGTGAAGTATTTGCTAAGACATCCCTTATATTGGTGCTTGTGACTTCTGCAAAGTCAATAATCAACAATAAACATCAGTTCAAAAGAAAAACACAAGTTTCTTGCTCATTCTTTTTGTGATGAGTCTGCGTTCCGAATGAGGGATAGAATCAAAATATGACTATTCAAAAGTGCTTGTAATGAGTTTATTTAAATAAAAAATGTATTTCTATTTCTATAAAAAAATTTATTCAAAAGAGCAACACATAAGATTTTTGCTTATTCTTCTTGTGATGAGTCTGCGTTCCGAATGAGTGGTAGAATAAAACAATATGACTATTCAAAAGTGCTTGCACTGAGTTTATTTGAATAAAGATTATTTCAATTTCTAATTCCTCACAAGAAGAATGCCTTCTCTGAATGCTAATGTGAATATCTTCTTCATCTTCTCCAGTTTCCTATCGATGCTCAAGATCCGGAGCTAGTGAAGTATGCGAGTCCTAACTTGAGTGCAACCACCACACTCTCCTTTGATGTTAGCGGAAAAACAAAATTGGGGTTCCAGAAAACCTTACAGGTTGGTTTCATTGTCTTTATCTTATTAATATTATAAACACGAAAGTTTGTAAGTATGTATGTGTGGTATAATAGATACTTTTTATAGACCAACGTCATATTTATTATTCATCTAGCTGTTGATTGACATTGTAGAAAAACACGAAACTATGTCACTATATTCGTAACATATTAAATATATTCCTCAATTACTATATACACAACAACATAAATTTCTAAACAGTAAACTGCCTAACAGTAGAACTCAGTTTATGGGTAACTCCTTTTCGTTTCGTGCTGCTCAGCTATGGAATAATCTCCCTTTGGAGATTCAAAAAAGTCCATCTAGTGGTTCTTTTAAGAAAAAGTTAAAATCATATTACCTTTCTACTGCTATGTGATTAGTGTCCTCATTGTATATATATCTTTGTAGTATTTATTGTTTGATTTAGTATATATTTATGGTTATTATATATTTATTATAAATGCGCGCGCGTAATTTTATTTGTTTAGGTATTCAAGTACATATTATATATTAATATATATATATTTTTTTTATCTTTATGTATATTGTATTAGTATCTGTATTTTGGACATTATATTTTTATGTTTAGTTTTAATTATTTTGACATTTTCATAAAAAATATAATTTGCACATTTTAACCCACTCAACACTTCCTAGGCCACGCTCTATTGGGTTGACTGGAAGAGATCTCTTTTAGAGATAAGTCCTCCTTTGTTAACATTAGCTGTAATTAATTTACTTATAAATGTATTTAAGTGCAATAAAGAATATTTAAATTTGGCGACGAGATGTCGTTGGAACGTTTTAATTTTAATATATTTGACAACAATACAGAAGACTGGGATTACTATATACAAAGATTTGAGATCGAGTTACAACTTCATGGGCTTGACGGAACAACATCAGATAGTAATAGTAAGAGAAAACAATTACTTCTCTCCCGAATCAGTCCAACATCATTCAAGCTACTTGTGGATTATTTTCGACCGACTCCCGTGACATCGAAAACTTACGACGAACTTATTAAAGTATCTATTATATGTATATATATTAAGATGCACTTGTTCATTACCAACTACACTTATGTATATAGTTTTATATAAAAGTGTATTTATTTTTATTTTACAAATGTAAGAATGTTATGTGATGCAAATTTTTGTGATATTAATAATAAATAATAATAATTATACCACAGTATGTTTATTATTTTACGAAAAATCTATTCAACGGATTTTAATGAAACTTTACAGTGATATAGCTTATACATCAGAATATGGGTTTTAATGAAACTTTCGCGTAAATACACAGAATAACATATAGGCTATAAACTTCATGTGAGTGAAACTGCGGGCACAGCTAGTATTTAATAATAATAATCTCAGGACAATTCACACAGCGCCATCTAGGCCCAAGTTAAGCTAGCTAAAGCTTGTGTTACGGGTACTAGATAACTGTTACAAATTATAAATATTTTTATTTATCGTAAATACATACATATTATACATAGAAAATATCCAGAGTGAATCAAACAATCATACTCATGAATGCAAATGTTTGTGTGGTGCGAGGAATCGAACCCGCGATCTTCGGAAGTAAAGCCGTGCTCGTGCTTTTTTTTATAAGAATAAAAAAACGGACCCGGCCACGCGTTGCTGTGTCTAAGGTTCTTGAATAAAATAATATTGCGACTATAAATTGAGATGTAAGATATCCTATCTTTCAAGTTGGATCACAATGTGCAAATCAAATTTGCAATCGGTTCAGTAGTTTAGGAGTCCATAGCGGACAAACAACGTGACACGTAATTTTATATATATAAGGATAAGACCTGGGATATATACACAAATATATATCTAGCAGGGATGTTAAAGAGCTCCGAAACTATCGGATATCCGATATAAAAAAATATCCGTAACCGTAACCGAATCCGAAATAAAAGTTTCGGATAATATCGGATAGGGGCGGAGCCTAATTGAGACACGTTATGTAACCATTTTATTAGCTATTTGTATTTCACTTTTGAAATTCCTTAAAAAATTAATATCCGAAACTAACGGATAATCCGAAATAATTTCATATCCGTATCCGTATCCGGTATAATAATCATTCCTATGTCCGTTCCGTATCCGAAATTTTATATCCACAACATTCTTGATATCTAGTAGAAACATTGTGCATTTTTATTATTATACTGTAACTTTAAAATATATGTTTTAACTTATAATGATGATACAGCACGAGAAACAAATCAAGAAGACCGAGCTGGACCTGTTGGAGTTACCGATCCTGGCGGTGAACAAAGCTGATGATGACCATCAATACGAGGATAAGTTCTCCGATTTCGAAGACAACATCACCTTGGAGCAGTACAGGTAATTGAGAATAATAATAATAATAATCTCAGGACAATTCACACAGCGCCATCTAGACCCAAGTTAAGCTAGTTAAAGCTTATGTTATGAAGTTGTTAATAAAGGTTCTATTTAAAAATGTATAATTATTTTCATAATAATATAATGAATGAAATGAAAAAACTATTGCTCCTCTTACGGAAGGTATAATCGGACCCGCCCAACCTCGTCTGCGTTTAATTTCGCAATATTTTTCATTGCAGCTCCGCTCCTGTTGGTCGTAGCTTAATGTTATACAGCTTAAAGCCTTCCTCGACAAATGGACTATCCAACACAAAAAGAATTTTTCAATTCGAACCAGTAGTTTTAGAGATTAGCGCGTTCAAATAAACAAACTCTTCATCTGTATAATATATATTATTATTATTATATACTAAATTACATAAATTAAGATGTCTAACAAATATAAAAACAACATAATTACAATAAAGAGGTAACAATGGGCGGCCTTATTGCTAAATAGTGATTTCTTCCAGACAACCTTAGAGAGGTTTGATTAGGATGGACAGGTGTAAATGTCAAATTTGACATTTACACCTGTCACTTTATTCTATAGAGATTCAAAAACATACTATAAATATGTTTCAGAACGAGTACAAACAAAGTGGATAATGAATTAACTGAAATATTAGAAATGCCTGAGAACGTAGACGTTGAAGTGAAGAAGAAAAAGAAATTGAAGAAGAAGGAGAAAACGAAGAAAAAGAAAACAAGGTAATCTATACATATAAATAAAATTGGAGTGTCTGATTGTAATACCACTAACTCACCACCACTGTAACCACGTCTCTGTTCCGTAAGTCATCACTGGCAACACACATTGGTCGTAAACCTTCGTCTTGAGACACTGGAAATTTGGACGAAGTATCGGAGGAGAGAGAATTTGATTTTTCTCCCTTTTACAGTGATGCAGATGTAAATGATCCTACCACAGAGGCCATAGAGAAACCATCGATAAGGAAGCAACTGGATTTAGACCCGACCAAAATAAGACTGGTCATACTGAATCCACAGGAACAAATCAAACAGAGAGAGGTAAGTAGTAATAATCTTAACTTATTTCCAAAAAACAGCAATATTCATAATATTAATACTAGATTTAAAGACAAACTTGCTGTCCCCAAGTATCGTGTAGAAAAAGTCAATAGGTCTTTTATGGGAATAGGTATAAAAATTTACAATAAGATACCAAAGGATATATTGGAATTACCCTTAAATAAATTCAAAACATCTGTTAAATCATATTTACTGAGCAAGGCCTATTACTCACTAAACGATTACTTGAATGACGAGCGTGCATGGCAATAGTTTTCATGTTCGGGATTTTCATTTAATGTTAGACATAGACACCTATATAAATATCTATGCATTGTAAATAAACTGGCTTTAAAAAAAATAGTAATTTAATTGAGTTTCTTGCCAGTTCTTCTCAATTGGATCTATATACCGAACTGGACGGTAGGGAAAAAAATTATAATGTAAAAACTTGACATTCATAAGCGGCTAAAATGTCCTACATGAATAAATGATTTTTGAATTTGAATTTGAATTTAATTATCCTTACTGATATTATTAAAACGAAATTAACTCTGTCTGTCTGTCTGGTAATTGGAGTGTCTGTTTGTAATATTGAAATAACAGTTCTTTACTACATGCATATGAATATAAATACGGTACATACACCAAAAATTTTTTTTATACACTTTGTCTGTCTGTCTTTTCCGGTTAATCTCTGAAATGGCTGGACCGGTTTTGACGGGACTTTTATTGGCAGATAGCTAATGTAATAAGGAGTAACTTCGGTTACTTTTATTTTCATTACATAGTATAAAATAAAATCGCTGTCTGTCCGTCCCTATGTATGCTATATATGTTATAAGTCGCAGTTACAGCTAGTACATATATATATTGTTTTCAGGAGGAAAGCAAAGCGTCCCTGAAGTTTCCTTTTCAGTGCCACCTGTGCTTTAAGGGCTTTAATTTTGATTCCAAGTTGCGAAATCACATGACCAAGCACAGCCCGGTGAGTTTCTCTTTAAACAACTTTATAGAGACTAAGTTATGTATAGTATATTGTATGGGAATATAATTACAGACAAACATATTAATATTGCGAATGTGTGGTGAGAATAAAAAGATACGACAAATCAAAATTGTTTATATTAAGTTTATTTTAATGATAATAATAATGAGTACACACATACACATACACACACGCGCTCATACGCACTCACACATGCGCTTACACACACACACTGCACTTACTTGGTTTCGGTCCGTATGTGTGGAAAAAATAAACCTTTAGCAGGTTTATTTTTTCCCCACATACGGACCGAGAGAAAGAAAAAAAAATTCCCAGGACAATTCACACAGCGTCATCGAGACCCAAGTTAAGCTAGCTAAAGCTTGTGTTACAGGTAATAGATAACTGATACAAGTAAACCGATTTTTTTTTCGTTAATACATGCATATTATACATAGAAAACACCCAGACCGATACAAACAATCATACTCATGATACAATACAAATATGCGTGCGGAGCGAGGAATCGAACCCGTAACCATCGGACGCAAAACGGTGTGCTAGACCGTTAGACGAGGTGCACAGTTAATTCGTACGAGTTGTAGTGTTTTAATATATATTTTTTAATTCCAGTCCCGCGGGACGTTTGAATGCAAGCTGTGTCACATGTACCTGCCTACGTCATACAGCTACAGTGTTCATAATCTGATACACACGAGACGCTATGAATGCATGAAGTGCTTCCGACGGATGACCGATAAAGCGTCTATTGTGGATCACTACCGGTAAGTTGGATTTACACGATGCAAGTTAACAAAGTGATATTTACATGTTTATGTATACAGCTCCCTTATTCCACCAAAAAATTTCGAATGTAGACATTCTTATAAATGAATAATTATAATAATAATAATAATCTCAGGACAATTCACACAGCGCCATCTAGACCCAAGTTAAGCTAGCTAAAGCTTGTGTTATGGGTACTAGATAACTGATACAAAAATAGATATTTTTTTTCGTAAATACATACAGTCATACATGGAAAACACCCAGACCGATACAAACAATCGTACTCATGAATATAAATGTTTGCGCCTTGCGAGGAATCGAACCCGCGACTATCGGACGTAAAGCGGTGTGCTAAACCACTAGACCACCGAGGTCGTCAATGTATGTTTCTAATTGCTATTCGGGTGACCGAGCTTTCGCGGGGTGGCAGATGAAGCGTCTATCATGGATAAGTTGGATTTACACGATGCAAGTTAGCAAAGTGATATTTACAGGTTTATATATACAGCTCCCTTATTCCACCAAAAATTTTCGAATGTTGTCTACATACTTATAATTGAACTAGCTTTTGCCCGCGGCTTCGCTCGCGTTATTTTATCCCCTCAGGGGTGGAATTTATCAAAATCGTTTCTTAGGGGATGTCAGTCACCTTTGAGTTATATATATATATATATATATATATACGTACAAGCAAGAAGACGAAACTTGTTTCATGTTCCAGGAGAAGAACAGATTGGCCAAACAGGCTCCTATTTCTCTGGCATTGACAGAACTCAACGGTGTAGTTAGTCGCTTTCCAGATCACATATGTACTTGTAATTCACTGGAGTTTCGTAGGATGGCAGTGTTATTTAGGTAGTATGTTAAATGGAGACAGGTATTATTATTATATTTTATTTTTTACTCTTTTGTTTTTCTTGTGTAATTACATAATTGTATGTATTTGTATATTATCTTCCTAAGTGGGCATATTGGGAGACTGTTAAGCTCACTTAGTACGATGTAAATAAATAAATATATATATATAGATTTCTTGAAGTAATGATTATTTCTGTTCTATTCTTTTACAGAACTCAACATGAACAACTGCATTAAAATATCTTATCCCATACATTTTATTAAACATTACAAATGTTTGAATTTCCCAACTTATTCTGTACTATGTATATGCCGCAGAATCAACTGATTAATCAATTGATTAATTTCTACTAGAATAGCGCCATCTATTATCATTGTCGGAAACGTCAAGCGGTTTGCTTGGGTGAGTATGTCCAGTTTTAACAGAATTATAACAATATAAAAGCGTGAGATTTCTTCTTATAACTTAAGATAATATATCTGCCTGATTGTTAGTGATTTTATTATTTTGTTATCGTGAGTGAGTGAATAGACGATTAGATTTTGAAATAAGACTATTATTTCTTGCCTACACCATTTACCCAACATGGGTTCTGATGACGAATATTTGAACTACCCTCGTTATATATATAAACCTTCCTCTTGAATCGCTCTATCTATTGCTGAAAACTGCATTAAAATCCGTTATTTTTACATATGTTAGATATATCAACTTTATGTACTATTAAAAGTATGTGTTATAATAAAATAACATTAATTTAACTATGTCTCTAACATAATTCACTTTAGCAATTAAAATGCAACCAGCACATCCTGTGCTCAAAGACCGAAAGTGAAAAAACCCTTTTTATAAGAAAGATGATATACAATTTAACGATACCAGTAATAATGATTTTTTTTATAAAATTCAGATTTTTATTATCCTATTAATTCATAGTATATTCAAAGTAGCTTCTAATCCGTCCCTATATATGCTTTAAATCTTTAAAACTACGCAACGGATTTTGAAGTGGTTTTTTTTAATATTGTGATTCTATAGTTGATCATATATAATATATGTACAACCGATATTAGTAGGCTATAAACTTCACGCGATAAACGTTTGAGCACAGCTGTTTATGTAAGATTTGTCCCGGCAAACGTTGTTTTCCCATATAAATTGATAACGCTATAATAAATAGGGGTTAATTGATAGAAGGGTGAAAATTTAGGGTTGAGTGTATTTTTTAAGGACACATAATATAAAATTTCATAAAAATCGGTCTTACCGTTTCGGAGGTGTATGGTAACTAACATTGTGACACGAGAATTTTATATAAGACCTCGGTGGCGTAGTGGTCAAGCACACCGCTTTACGACCGATGGTCGCGGGTTCGATTTCTGGCACGGCACAAACATTTGTATTCATGAATATGATTGTTTGTATCGGTCTGGGTGTTTTCTATATAAAATATGTTTTTATTTAAAAAAATAAATATCTATGTATATGTATCAGTTATCTAAATCCATAAAAAGCTACGCAGATGGATTTTGATGGCGCTGTTTGAATAGATAGATTATTATTTTTTTTTTATATATATATATATTATATATCTCCCTTTGATAGGGTAATAGACTGATCATTGCGGGTAAAAATTATTATTATTATTATTATAAGAGTATAATAATTTCCTATTATGAATTCGATGTCTGTTTGTCATGTTGCAGTAACTGCAAAACGCATAGAGGTCATATGCGTAATCACCACAGCGGGGACCGGCCTAAGTGTGACCAGTGTGGGAAGACCTTCGTCAACAATGACTCACTGGCAGAGCACTTACAGTGAGTAATCATATGTCTAGGTAACGAACTTTGAAAAGGGCGAACACAATAGATCTATATAGGTTGCAGTGTTATAGGTGCTACAAACATCTGACAATAGCCCAAATAACCCAATAAAAAAATTATGCAGGAATGTTACGGTTACGGATACGGATATGAACGGTTACGGATACGGATATGAACGGTTACGGATACGGATATGAACGGTTACGGATACGGATATGAAATGAAATTTTATTACATAAAATGTGGTACATTGGATGTGGCATTTTGAATATTATTATATTGTTCGCACATTTAGTCATTTCTGACATGCAACAGACAATTGTCAATTGAAATATTGTCATCATACATTGCTCATCATTACATAGGGGGAAGTGGGGCAGATTGGGACAAGGGGCACATTGATACACGTGTATTATTTCGTAAACGATTAAATGTATTCGAGTAGTGATAACTCTGAGACACGTCTTTAAACTTCTGAACGCGACCGTAGGGGCCGTTCAAGTATTACGTAAGCACTATAGGGGGGCGGGGGTTCTTTTCTTTGCTTATTTTGGATGACATGGGGGTGGGGGAGTCTGTATGATGATTACGTCATCGGTCGTAATTTAATTTTTTTACACGAATGGCAACCCTCACATTGTCTTTGCTAAAAAAACAATACATTAATTGAGAGATGTTTACGTAAGCATGGGGGGAGGGGGTAAGAGCTTTGCTTACTTTTGCTGACAAGGGGGATGGGGGGTAAATAATTGTGATAAATCTGCTTACGTAATACTTGAACAGCCCCGTAGTGATTACGCTAACAGCCAGTCAACCGGTGGCTTTTAGCAGGAGAGGAAACGTTTCGAGAGCGGGTAACTAAAAAAATACGATTTAAAAGTGTTTTTACGATCTGCTGAGCCATCTTGTGATGATCAATGTATCCCAAAGGTAAGTTAGGGCATCAAATATTAAACACTTTGCAGGTGTTTTACAATAATTAACTTAGTATCTTTAGTGAAACCTGCTTTTTATAAAAATTATTTTTGGGGAAGTTTGATACAGGAAAGTACGGGGCACTGTGAAGGATGGAGATCAAGATGAGCAAAAAGTAAAACGGCACCGTTGTAGTTGATAGAATATTTTTGTATTAAATTGACTTATGTCATATAAAAACAATATAATATTATAAAAAATATAGACAATAAAAAGGTATATAAAATAGTTCCCAACAGGCACAATGATACGTATCAATGTTCTCCGTGACTTCAATAAAGTGTTAATTTTGTAAAAAAATTGTATTGTATTTTCAGAAAATGGTGCGAACATATAAACCTACATATATTATTATAATATTAAGATACGGATATGAAATTGAAGTTATCCGTCAGTTAAGGATAATATTTTTTTGAGGAATTTCAAAAGTGAAAAAAATACAAATAGTTAATAAAATGGTTACATAACGTGTCTCAATTACGCTCCGTCCCTATCCGATATTATCTGAAATGTTTATTCCGATTCGGTTACGGTTACGGATATTTTTTTATATCGGATATCCGATAGTTTCGGTTACGGTTTTTTTAATAAAATTGGTGTGTCTGTTTGTAATATTGAAATAATCGTTTTTTACTACATGCATATGAATATAAATACGGGACATACACCGAAATAACATTTTTTACAATTTTTGTCTGTCTGTCTGTTTGTTCCGGCTAATCTCTGAAATGGCTGGACCGAATTTGATGGGACTTTTATTAGCAGGTAGCTGATGTAATAAGTAGTAACTTGGGCTACTGTTATTTTAGAAAAATATAGTTAAATTCCACGCGGACGAAGTCGCGAGAACAGCTAGTTATTACTATATTTATAATTATTTTTCAATTGTCCTTCCTCTCTACAGAATCCATCAAGGCATCAAGAATTATGAGTGTTCGATATGCAACAAGCGGTTCCGAACCCGCACTCAGATAAAGCACCACCAACTGAGACACAGCGACGTCAAAGAATATTACTGCGTGGAATGTGACACCAGGTAGGATTACATTGCTCCCTTTGCGTAATGTGGACTCCATTTTCTGAACAGCCTTTTTTTTTTATAACACAGGGGACAAACGAGCATGCGGCTCACCTGATGGTAAGTGATTACCGCCGCCCATGAGCACCCGCAACACCAGGGGAATTGCAAGTACGTTGTCGGCCTTTTAAAAAGGAATAAGCTCTTTTCTTGAAGGTTTCAATATCGTATCGGTTCGGAAATACCATTGCTGGAAGGTGATTCCACAATGTGGTTGTGCGAGGCAAAAAGTTTCTAGAAAACCGTACTGTGGAAGACCGCCATTCATCCAGATGATCAGGATGGTATTTCAGTTTCTGGCGGGTGGTATGGTGGTGAAACTCAGCAGCTGGTATTAATCCGAACAATTCCTCAGAAAAATTATCATTTGGGCCGTTGTACATATACGGCGTTATTACAAAAAGATAAACCTGGTTTAGCACTAGTAATAAACCATTCACCAATGTATTCCTTATTACAAAATGAAGTTTATCTCTAAATCGTGATTCGTCTATGGTCTAAAGTTAGACCTGCGATGCCCCTAGTTTAACAGTGGTCTAAATGCAAAATGTCAAACTCCATTTTAAAAATTGTATTGTAAGTTGTTGTTTTTCGAAAAATATTTTAACTAAATTAAAAATATATTAACTAAAATATTTAAAGCTAATTTTACGATAATAAAAATATATAAAAGACGTTATTTGTTATTTTTTCACTCATTTGACTTTGAAATAGTCACCATTCGAATCGATCCAATAAAAATATCCCGCCATTCCTTTTCTCCGTATAGGACTCCTACTTCTAATTTAAAACTGATTTTCAGCCTAATAGTACATTAACAAATATAATATATTAATGAAATAGTTATAATGAAGACATTGATAAATAAAAATAAATTTATTTTTAGTTTATACATTTTTATTTGAAGTAATATTATTTTTGATATTTTCATATTTCTGGTAAAACGGAACGTAATTGTACGCTAACAGACATGAGTGACTGATTTCTGTATGGAATACATAATGAACGATTTAACTGTAGTACTAAGTAGTCCTCTGTTAGATCTGGATTCGTAATAATGTTAGGTTTATTCCAAGTATTAACTCTAGGAATGGTTTAAACCACGACCATTTAGACCACGTTTCGTCCGAGTTTTAACAGATTTTTTGTAATAAGACCGATAGAGTCGAGACTACTAACGTAGCCAGCCAAGCTCCTCCAAAAGCGCAGAAGTCTCTTGGTGTCTTCACAGTCACGGAGCGACCTCACCGTTCCGAGAATTCGTGTTCGTTGTGCCACTGCAAGCACTCCACAACAAATTTGATTTGCACATTGTGTGCAATTTGATCCAACTTCAAAAGTAGGATAGCTTACATCTCAATTTATAGTCGCAATATTATTTTATTCAAGAACCATAGACACAGCAACGCGTGCCTGGTTTTGATAATATTTGTATGTTTTGAAATGAATATATATGTAAAATTCTTTCTGTAATTTTGCAGATTCAAATCGGCACACAATCTGCGGCAGCATCTGTTAAAGAGTTTAAAACACAAAGACAAACAGAGTCTCAAGTAAGTGATTTTTTAATATACATACAACTGAAATGAGAACGTCATGGTCTAGTTGAATGAAATGAATGAATGAATGAAATTCAAATATATGTATACATATTCAAATTTAAAATTCATTTATTCATGTAGGACATTTTAGTCGATTATGAACGTAAAATTTTTTATATTGTAAGTTTTTCCCTACCGTCCATTTCAGTATATAGATCCAATTGAGAAGAACTGGCAAGAAACTCAATTTAATTACTTATATATAAATATAAAATAGAAAAATGTCCCCAAATATGGTACTACTTTTGCAAGTTTGGTTTTTTTACGAATCATAGTGAAACAGTGCACCCGCCTGCGCTAACGGTATACGCTGGCGGGGCACCAGTGGAGGATGATAAGAACATGAGGTCAGGTCAGTTAGCACATCATGTATCCATCACGATGGTTTCCAGGGGAAACTGCGAGGATGTCAACCTGACATGGTGCATTGCTAGCAATAAGATCATCAGTCCACATTACTAACAATCTGCTTTAGTTTAGCAAGATAGGTTAAGTTGTCACATACTCAACATACTTGCCCTAAGAAGTTTCAATATTTCCGGTGGTTTTTTCCCTCGGGGTCGATGCCGGGAAAAAGGGGCCCCGAGGCCCTTACCTTCACCTCCATAGGGGGTGCGGATGACCAGTCAGTCAGTTGTATTTCGAGAGTGGAGTCTAAAAACGTGACATCCAAATATTTTTTTATGTATGATATTTTTTTATTACTGTAACTTTACAGAATGGATGAATCTTTACAGTTGTATGAATCTATGTATTATATAGGCTATAAATTTAACGCGGGTCAAATCGCAGGCACGGCTAGTAAGTTTATATTCTCGCGACGTACGCGCGCGTACGCAATGGGCTGCGTGCGTACGCGCGCGTACGCAACGGTCCGCGTGCGTACGCGTGCTATGATAGCGGTGTGGTAGGTATTTTTGTTTTGCGGACGGACGCAATGGTCTGCATGCGTACTGTTACATCGATTTCCATTGAAGTGTTTTTAAAAAAAACTTATCTTAAACAGCGCTCGAGGTTGAAGGCAATCTTTTATGACCGAGAGTGAATATAGATTCATTTGGTGTCTATTTTATCCTATTTCGAATTGAGTCAGACCCTGACTCCGCAAGATGTGGTCGCTATAATATAAAGAATTTTGAATTTTTGAATGATGCTGACCCATCATTCAAAAATTCAAAATTCTTTATTTAGATAACACCATTTTACAATTACATTCTACAGTTGTTGAAGACTCCTTTTCAGCATAAAGATGCCTGTGCCAGGAGGCTCCGCTCTTCCATACCTTATATCACCACTTTTGTAAAATGTTTCTTGTTTATTATACTATAAATAATTAGTTATATAATTCAATTTTAAAGTACATACATTATAGGAAACATTGTATTCAATTTATCTTAAAAATTTTCTCTAATAAATAGGAATATATATACATATATGTGTGTGTGTGTGTGTATGTGTGTGTATGTATGTAATCTTGCACAACAGTTTTAGCATTGATAACAATGATGTAGCAGATCATAGGTTATAGACTCGGAGTATAACAGTACGCATGTTATGATAGCATGGTACGTATTAAAATTTTGTACGCGTTCGTAACGATCTGCACGCATATTGTAATAGCGGTACGCGGTACGTATATTTTACGCGCATTCATAATCGTTCGCGTACGGACGCGTGCTTACGCGTGCGTACGCATACTATAATAGCGGTGCCTGGTATATATAACTTGTACGCATTCACAATCGATGTGCGTACGTATACTGTAATAGCGGTGCGTAGTACATATAACGTTAAGGAGCAGGACATTGTCGATTATATTCGTACCAAGAGTAACCTGACATTGAGGGTGACGCAGCTGAAGTCGAGTCACAACGCGAGTTTCAAAGCGTTTGTGGCCCGGGTCCCCACCGACTCGCTGCCCACCTTTATGAAAGAGGACTACTGGCCGAAAGGTGTGGTGTATCTGCGCTACCGTGGCAGATTGCCATCTTCAGTGCCGTGTTCACACAGACAATATTATTGTATTAGTTTTTAAATATTATATTATATGTATGTTAGTCTATAAAGTATTTATAATATGGGCCTAGTCGCCTGAAGTAAATGAATAAATAAATAAAATATAGTCTACACGCATTCGCGCCGATCAGCATGCGAACGCGTGCGTACGCATGCGAATACAGTCGTACATGGCAGGTACCCGTGCGGGCGGGCGGGGTGTCCGCGTCGGTTCGCGTGCGCGCGCGCGGCCGAGCAGCACGCGCGCGTGCAGCACGACGGCGCGCGGCCGCACGCGTGCGCGCGGTGCGGCGCCGCGCTCGCCTCCCGCGCCTCCCTACACAAGCACGAGCGAGCCGTGCACCGCGGGCTGCGGCCGCCGCCCAGGCACGTCTGCCACACCTGCGGCCGGGCCTTCAGGGTACGAGCACACACACACACACACACAGACTCTCAAGTTTCAACTCTCTTTCTCTCTCACAGATACGCAGACACTATTATATCTCGAATTCACACTTTCTTACACACACTTACTCACATTCTAATATATAACTTACAGTCTCTCTCTCTCACACACGCACACACACAGACTCTCATGTTTCAACTCTCTTTCTCTCTCACAGATACGCAGACACTATTTTTCAAATTCAAATTCAAATTCAAAATATCTTTATTCATGTAGGTCTATTACAGACTCTTATGATATGTCAAATCTACCGTCAGTTCGGAATGATATCGAGATGAGAAGAACTGACAAGAAACTCAGCTCGTAATTTTTTTCAAATAATAGTGGAACATGTTTATGATAAATACAGTTATTACACACGAGTGACACACACACAAAAAATTTTATATACAAAGAACAAATAATATTATATCTCGAATTCACACTTTCTTACACACACTTACAATCACATTCTGATATATACCTTAGAGTCTCTCTCTCTCACACACACACACACATACTCTCATGTTTCAACTCTCTTTCCCTCTCACAGATACGCAGACACTATTATGTCTCGAATTCACAAAATTCAAAATTCAAAAATCATTTATTCATGTAGGACATTTTAGCCGCTTATGAACGTCAAATTTTTACATTATAATTTTATTTTTCCCTACCGCCCAGTTCGGTATATAGATCCAATCGAGAAGAACTGGCAAGAAACTCAATTGAATTACTTTTTTTTTTTAAAGCCAATTTATTTACAACGTATTTTTATATAAGTGTCCATGTCTAACATTAAATGAAAATTCAGTACAACTATTGCCATGCACACTCGTCATTCAAGTAATCGTTTAGTGAGTAATAGGCTTTGCTCAGTAAATATGATTTAACAGATGTTTTGAATTTATTTATGGGTAATTCCAACATATCCTTTGGTGTCTTATTGAAAATTTTTATACCTATTCCCATAAAAGACCTATTGACTTATTCTAAACGATACTTGGGGACAGCAAGTTTGTCACACTTTCTTATACACACACTAACATTCTGATATATACCTTAGAGTCTCTCTCTCTCTCACACACACACACACACACACACACACTCTCGATCTCAGGAGCACACTCTTATTCTATCTCAGACTCACAACCACCCACACAATCTTTAACCAACACATAATTACACTCTCTTTTATAAACACACACACTTTCTAACCCCCACACATGTGTGAATCTGAGAGAGAAAGAGAGTGTAAGTGTGTTTGACTTACACTCTCTTTCTCTCTCAGATTCACACTCTCTCTCTCTCTCACACACACATACACACCCACAAACAGTAATAGTATACTTATTAGTATAATAATAACAATCAATTTATTTGGTTTTGTAAAATAACTTTATATGCTATGTTCACCAAATGTATTTAAATACACATAAATATAATTCTAATATCGCCCATGCACTCTTTCCCTCTCTCTCTCTCTCCCCCAGTCTCTCTCTCTCTCTCACACACACACACACACACACACAGTAGTAGATAACAAATTAATAATAAAAATCAATTAATTTACGATATTTTTATATAACTTTATACCCCGTGTTCGCCTATAAACAATTATTCATAACCATAAGACTAAATAATAATGGGCCTTATAAATTATAGCCTACTAGCTACACACCCCGGTTTCGCACGGGTGTATGTTGATGTAGTATAACATATATTATACATATAAACCTTCCTCTTGAATCACTCCATCTATTAAAAAAAAACCGCTTCAAAATCCGTTGCGGAGTTTTTAAGATTTAAGCATACATAGAGACAGGCTGCAACAGCGTTTTTGTTTTATACTAGCTGTTCCCGCGACTTCGTCCGCGTGGAATTTAACTTTATTTTTATTAAATGAAAGAAGCCTAAGTTGCTCCTTATTACATCAGCTACCTGCCAAAAAAAGTCCCGTCAAAATCGGCCCAGCCATTTTGGAGATTAGCCGGAACAAACAGACAGACAGAGAAAAATTGTAAAAAATGACATTTTGGTGTATGTACCGTATTTATATTCATATGCATGTAGTAAAAAACTGTTATTTCAATATTACAAACAGACACTCCAATTTTATTTATATGTATAGATGTATAGAATACCTTGTTTTCTTTTTCTTCGCTTTCTCATTCTTCTCCAATTTCTTCTTCTTCTTCACTTCATCGTCTACATTCTCAGACATTTCTAATATTACCAACAGACACTCCAATTTTATTTATATGTATAGATGTATAGATTACCTTGTTTTCTTTTTCTTCGCTTTCTCATTCTTCTCCAATTTCTTCTTCTTCTTCACTTCAACGTCTACATTCTCAGACATTTCAAATATTACAGACACTCCAATTTTATTTATATGTATAGATGTATAGATTACCTTGTTTTCTTTTTCTTCGCTTTCTCATTCTTCTCTAATTTCTTTTTCTTCTTTACTTCAACGTCTACGTTCTCAGACATTTCTAATATTACCAACAGACACTCCAATTTTATTTATATGTATAGATGTATAGATTACCTTGTTTTCTTTTTCTTCGCTTTCTCATTCTTCTCCAATTTCTTCTTCTTCACTTCAACGTCTACATTCTCAGACATTTCAAATATTACAAACAGACACTCCAATTTTATCTACATGTATATGATTACACATGTTTTCTTCGATTTCTCCTTCATCTTAAATTGTGATTCTTCTTCTTCTTAAATAATATAAATGACGTACATTCTCAGACATTTCGCTATAAAGTTACAAACTTGTGGCACGTGGTGGGCCAATTTTATTTACATGTAATATGGTTATGTAACGATTCTGACATCATGTAAAACCTACAACTTTTGGCAGGGGAAGAGTGTTCTGGTGAACCATGTCAGGACCCACACAGTTGGTTATATATTCAATATTTTTTATCTATTTGTTCGTTTTTAATAGAATTAGTGCTAATTGGTAGTTTGTATTCACACACTTAAACTTAAAAATGTAAAGAATATCAAAATTATAAAAGAGCAACACGCCTTGCTCGTACATCTGAAGATACGAAGGCAGGCAAAGGTAGGTTCTGTTTCATAATAATATGCTTATGCACATGCATGGCTTCGTTATGGAATAATCCTTTGGGGAGAAATGGGTGAAAACTGTGATTGGTACAGTTTATGCTATAAATAATATAAATATTTTATATTGATTTGTTTTTTTTTAGTGGAGTAAACCAGAAACAGTCATGCTCGCTATAAAGTTCAAACTTGTGGCGGCGTGGTGGGCCGGGTCGATGTGCTCGCTCGCATATGGTTGAGTGGAATGATGGCTGGCTCATCCGTCATACTCGTGTACGGGTCACTGGTCTGCTATTAAAAATAGAAGAAACTAACGGCAAATTAATTGTTTAACCAGTTGGTTATATATTCAATATTTTTTACTATTTGAGTATTTAATTGAATTAAAAATGAAGAAACTAATTGAAAATTTTGTATTCACACACAGATTATTGAACTTAAAAATGTAAAGTAATGATAAAATTATTTAAAAGAGCAACACACAAGTTTCTTGCTCGTTCTTCTTGTGATGAGACAGCTCCGAATGAAAAATAGATTAAAAAAATGTAATGACTATTCAAAAGTGCTTCAATGTAAGTTTATTTGAATAAATGATTTTCTATTCTATTCTATTCTAAGATTTATGCATACATAGGGACAGACAGACAGCGAGTTTGTTTTATACTGTGTAATGATTTGTGTATTAAAGTTTATATAAATAAATAAATATTTTATATTGATTTGTTTTTTTTTTCTATAGGTCAAGCCAGAAGCACCTAAAGATATCGCTACAGAGCCTCGCGATCCCAAAATTGATTTATACACAAAAGAGGACCAACCCATCGAGTTTGAGAACTGGAACCGGCCGCAGATGGGTGCCTGCGATGTCTACTTCCAGGTCACAGCTGGACATTAAAAATAGAAGAAACTAACAGAAAATTTACACAGAGTTAGCTTCCAGGTCACAGCTGGACATTGAGAATTTAACGAACTAAAGGCAGATTTACACTGAGTTACTATAGAATATATAGGTAGATAATTATTTCAACGTTCTCCGTGATCTATTTAGCAACTACTTTACATACTATGGTCGCGGGTTCGATTCCTCGCACGGCACAGACATTTGTATTCATGAGTATGATTGTTTGTATCGGTCCGTGTGCTTTCTAGGTATATTATGTATGTATTTACGAAAAATATCTAAATATTTGTATCAGTTATCTAGTACCCATAACACAAGCTTTAGCTAGCTCAACTTGGGACTAGATGGCGCTGTGTGAATTGTCCTGAGATTATTATTATTAAGAATAGAAGGAATTAATGGCAGAAATACATTGAGTTAGTTACTGGCGCTAATAAGAAAGAAAGAAAGAAAGAAAATTGTTTATTTGGTACACTGAAAATAATTTTTAAAATTTAATTTACATTTTATTTTATAGTGTAGTATAGATGGTAGATAAATTATACATATAAACAGTATTAGAGTTCTAAACGTTTGTTTTAGAGTAAATAATGTTTGATCTTTTGAACTATATTCTCCCAAATATGAATTTGAAAATCAATATATTGTTATATTGGAATTACCCTTAAATAAATTCAAAACATCTGTTAAATCATATTTACTGAGCAAAGCCTGTTACTCACTAAACGATTACTTGAATGACGAGCGTGCATGGCAATAGTTGTTCATGCATTTTCATTTAATGTTAGACATAGACACCTATATAAATATACATTGTAAATAAACTGGCTTTTTAGAAGTAATTCAGTTCAGTTTCTTGGCAGTTCTTCTCAATGGGATCTATATACTGAACTGGACGGTAGGGAAAATATAAAAATTTACGTTCATAAGCGACTAAAATGTCCTACATGAATAAATTATATTTGACTTTGAATCTGTATTATTGTAAACATGTACAACATTTATTTGAAAAGAATACGAGCTGAGTTTCTTGTCAGTTCTCATCTCGAAATCATAGACTGACGGTAGATTTGACATATCATAAGAGCCTGTAATAGACCTACATGAATAGAGATATTTTGAATTTGAATTTCAACCCATGACCAGAATGAAGATAAAATGGTGTGCTAAATTGCTAGACCACCGAGGTCGTTAAAAAAACAAATAGCGATATCCGTAGTCTTCATATATTACGACGGTTACCACTTACCACCAGGTAGGTAAGTCAGTTTATATGGCAATCCATTTGTTTTTTTTTAGAAAAATTTAGTAACTGACTCATTGCAAATCTGCCTTCCTTATGTATTAAATATTATGACACTGTTTTAAGTTCCTTTAGCGCTTTTGTACCTTTGTTATGATCTCAATTGTTTTTATCATTGTAAGCGCCATCTGTTGGGGAGGTTTAGTACTATAGAATTAACTTGTCAGGGGCCACGAACAGATGGCGTGTTTTAAAAATAAATTATGTGTGACTCATATATTTTTTTAAGTATTAGTTTATACAATATATGTTTACATGGCAATTGTTTTAATCATTAGAAACGCCATCTGTTGGGGAGATTTAGCACTATAGATTGAAAGTTGTCAGGATAACCGACAGATGGCGTGTTTTAAAAATAAATTATGTGTGACTGATTGTTTCTCACTATGTCTTAGTTTATATATGTTTCTAGAAACGCCATCTATTGGGGGGATCTAGCACTAAAGATTACTAAAGTTGTCAGGGTAACCGACAGATGGCGTGTTTTAAAAATAAATTATTTGTGACTCGTATATTTTTTAAGTATTACTTTATAGATCTTGATATGTCAATTGTTTTTAATCATTAGAAACGCCATCTGTTGGGGAGATTTAGCACTATAGATTAAAAGTTGTCAGGGTAACCGACAGATGGCGTGTTTTTTTAAAATAAATTATGTGTGACTGATTGTTTCTCACTATGTCTTAGTTTATATATGTTTCAAGAAACGCCATCTATTGGGGGGATTTAGCACTAAAGATTACTAAAGTTGTCAGGGTAACCGACAGATGGCGTGTTTTTTAAAATAAATTATGTGTGACTGATTGTTTCTCACTATGTCTTAGTTTATATATGTTTCAAGAAACGCCATCTATTGGGGGGATCTAGCACTAAAGATTACTAAAGTTGTCAGGAATAACCGACAGATGGCGTGTTTTAAAAATAAATTATTTGTGACCCGTATTTTTTTAAGTATTACTTTATAGATCTTGATATGTCAATTGTTTTTAATCATTAGAAACGCCATCTGTTGGGGGGATTTAGCACTATAGATTAAAATTTGTCAGGATAACCGACAGATGGGGTGTTTTTTAAAATAAATTATATGTGACTGTATATTTTTTAAGTATCACTTTATAGATCTTGATATACAATTGTTTTTAATCATTAAAAACGCCATCTATTGGGGGATTTAACACAAAATATTACTAAAGTTGTCAGGAACAACCGACAGATGGCGTGTTTTAAAATTAAATTATTTGTGATCATATATTTTTTAAGTATTACTTTATATATGTTTATTGATTAAAAATTAAAATTTGTCAGGGACAACCAACAGATGGCGTTTTTAAAAAATAAATTTTGTGTGTGTCTGATATATTTTTTTAAGTATTACTTTATGTATGTTTACTATGCGTCAGCCATAAATTATCATACACTAACGAAAGTCTACTTTTGATGCAAATATTGAAACACTAAACTGACTAATATTGAAACCTTCTAGAAAAGATTTAACACGTTCACCGGCAAGTTTTTTTCATAAAATGTAAAAATAAACTCTTTGTTTTTATGTTATATTTAATAAACTGGCTGTTCCCGCGACTTTGTCCGCATGGATTTCCGTGAGCAGCGTGAGAGTGGAAACACTTTCCATGACATTGGCGCTGCCACTCGCGCTGCCCGGCACTCCCTCGATTGTCGTTTCTTCGTGTGCGAGTCAAAGGACTGGCAGCGTGTCTTTAAATACAGCCCTCTCGCTCAGTTGTCGCCCAATATTTCCGGCAGCGCGAGTGGCAGGGGAAGCGGCTGAATGTAAACATAGCATTACTATTATACATATAACGTATTTCATTGTAAATAAAGATTTATTCCTTTATTTTCTGGTTTCATTATGACTACGGTATTTATAGAATCGACATATAGTGATAGAATTGACAGTGGTTTAACACGGTCGCGGGTTCGAGTCCTCGCACGGCAGAAATATTTGTATTCATAAGTATGATTGTTTGTGTCGGTCTGGGTGTTTTCTATGTATATGTATTTACGAAAAAAAATTCTATATATTTGTATCAGTTGTATAGTACCCATAAGACAAGCTTTGGCTAGCTTAACTTGGGTCTAGATGGCGCTGTGTAAATTGTCCTGAGATTATTATAATATTATATTTATCAATCAATTCTATCATTTAGAATATTCTATCAATTATATTGATAGAATTATAATGTATGAAGGGTGTAGGGATGAAACAAGGGTATGAAGGGTTTAGGGATGAAAGAAGGGTATAAAGGGTTGAGGGATGAAATAAAACACCACACCCGGTGTGCACATATATTGTAATATGTATAGATAATTTTTAAATTGTACTTAACAATCCAATTATAACGATACTTGGTTGCATTCTCATAAATAAACAAATACCTTACTAAATATATTATTTACCTGTACTATGACGAAACTTATGGACTCAACTCCACATAATCTATATTACATAGACAGTAGTTGAAATTAGAGATTTTTTTTATAACACAGGGGACAAACGAGCATACGGCTCACCTGATGGTAAGGGATCACTGCCCATGAGCACCCGCAACACCAGGGGAATTGCAAGTACGTTGTCGGCCTTTTAAAAAGGAATAAGCTCTTTTCTTGAAGGTTTCAATATCGTATCGGTTCGGAAATACCATTCCACAATGTGGTTGTGCGAGGCAAAAAGTTTCTAGAAAACCGCACTATGGACGACCGCGATTCATCCAGATATCAGGATGGTATTTTAGTTTCTGGCGGGTGGTATAGTGATGAAACTCAGTGGCTGGTATTAATCCGACCAATTCCTCAGAACACTCCCCGTGATATTCTGATTATAGACTAAAGCTGATAAAAATATAACTCAAGAAAAAAAATAAAGAGAACCTCTGGGGTGGACCACCAGTATCACTTAGGGGTATAAAAAATAAATAACCTAATCTCAGACCTATCAAAGATATACATATATAATTTCATCAAAATCGGATCAATGGTTTAGGATTACATCGCGAACAAACAACGTAATACGAAATTTTTATATATTACCAACGACCTGTCCCGGCTTCGTGAGAATGTATTGCAAATCTTTAAAGTTCTCGGCTGTTTCTATACTATAACATACATGTATTATATATATAAACCTTCCTCTTGAATTGCTCTATCTATTGCTGAAAACTGCTTTAAAATCCGTTGCATAATTTAAAAGATGTAAGCGAACAGACAGCGGTATCGACTTTTATATACCATGTAACGTTTATGATAATGCAACCAAATTGACATCTTAATTACTCTACAAAGAAATTTACTAACTCGTAAAATTCTATTATAATGCCAACAAATGTAGAAGGTAGGTAATTTTATTTACAATAGGCTATTGTGGGTGTTTTCTTTATTTATAATAACTGCCTTGCGATATTTGGCGCCTTTTTTGTAACTGACATGACAAACAAGATGGCGGCTGACTTAGTGGAATAGAAAATCCTTTATTCAAACTATACGATATAAGATACATGAAAAGTATCACGAACATCACGTTATCATGTGACACGCTTGATACCACTCAAGTGTTGCCATTCTAGAGGACTTGAGAATGTCATGCCTCTGTAACCTGTATTTTTACTGCCCAATCTCGACCGAAACAGCTTACTAAGCCGCTTAACGGATTAAATATATAAGGAAGGCACCCATGCAAACGACTTCTCAAAGTCTATCTCTCTAAATGCATACAGTATACCCACAATAGCCCATAAAGACAAAAAACTAGAATATATTTGTCTATATGACACCTAGAAATCTGTTACAGAATATATAAATAAATATTACATTAACACAGATTAAATATATCATAGAGTACTTTACAGATAATAAAAATCTATTTCAAATCTATTACAAATGACAAATTACAGGCAGTGGAATTTCTGAGGTGAAACTAAAAATTTCACAAAAAATAAGCAATTTCCATAATTAAAACAACTCTAGTACTCTCTTAAAACGCGTCCGGCACAGAAATTTCATACATACAGGAAATATACATATTAAAAGATTTTTGGCATGTTACATTTATTTCCTATGCCACACAGGTGTCATATACACAAAGGAAAACAACACATATCCTATCATAGACAATGATAACCCATAAATATGTACAATATTGTTGCCACATTAAAATTAATTTATATTATCTATTTAAATGTACCAACTAGACAATAAAACATTGAATGTTAGACTAATTTCGAAAATATTTACAATATAATAAAATAAAACATTAGGAAAGTCAGAAAATTGACAATGTATCATAGGCAATAATAATAATAATTTTATATATCGTCGGCTTAAATATCAGAATCTCCTGCTCTATGATCAACAACAATCTGCAGTTTTTGCTAAAGACGAAACGCCACTACACATCCTATATGGTTATAGCCCACTCATGTATAAACGAAATATCTACTTTGGAAAGTATACACTATAACCTGAGGAGATAAAAACCATCGCTCCTAAGAATATCCTTCAATTCTTGTCCCTGACAGATCTAGGTAGTCAACTTTGAAAAAGGGGCAACACAATATCTATGTAGGTCGCAGTGCTATAGGACTTAGTATCTGACAATAGCCCAAAACCCTAAATAAAAAATAAAAGAAACTCCTGTATAACACTCTTTATTGAAGAACATCTCCTGGTGAAAACCTTATTGAAGGATAAAAATAAAGTATTTAGTAATTTAAATTTTTTACATAAATTTTGAGGTTATCTGAAAAAAGTGTCTATACAAAAGTTGTACATCTTTTTATTACCTACAACTTTGCCATTTAACTTTTTTTTATTTTAGGTTAACTTAACTTTTGTTACATTCATGTCTTTTTCCAATGAGTTTCCTCTTACTATAATTATTATGTTGTAAATAATATAAATGATGTATTGAGTAACTCGAAACAGTCATGCTCGTTATAAAGTTCAAACTTGTGGCGGCTTTGTGGGCCGGGTCAATGTGCTCCCTCTAATATGGTTGAGTGTAATGATGGCTGGCTCACCCGTCATACTCGTGAACAGGTGCTGCTTGTGGGGACTGGTCCGTTCAGGTTGCGAACACTGATTAGATCTTTTCTTATTAGCAATATCATAATATGATATTATATTATGCTGGTGGTCACTCTATTCTCCAAATCTGAATTTAAATGACTGTGTATTATTGTAAACATGTACAACATTTATTTGAAAAGAATACGAGCTGAGTTTCTTGTCAGTTCTTCTCATCTCGAAATCATTCCGAACTGACGGTAGATTTGACATATCATAAGAATCTGTAATAGACCTACATGAATAAAGATATTTTGAATTTGAATTATTCGATATTTTGTTTTACGCATTCTGATATTCAGACCGACTATATAGCAGTACAAATAAATAACCAATCATTTCCCTTAGAAACAGTTAGTTTTAAAGGGTAACCCAAGTCGTTAGCCAAATATTACCCGCTTCAATTTAGTATAACCTCTAAAACCAACCCTGTTATATAAGTAATAAAATAGTTTTTTAATTGCATATAAGTTACTGCAATCTTTACAGTGCAGGATCGTTCAAAATGTGATAATAATTTCACCATAAATATATTATTGAAATTTCATTCCTAATTTTGATATATCAAAACATTTTGACATTTAAATAACGTTATGACGTCGCAATATTGGCATAATTTTTGCATCCGCCATTTTTAATAAAACCTCTATAATAAATTTATCTATCTTAATAAAGTAATTGCAGTGAAACCTTTCTTTTTTATTAAAAATATATACAAAAATCGTTTTTATTACAGAAGGAATAAGGTGTCGAATTAAATGAATTATTTACGATACGTGGCGTGGAATGACTCTACAGCGTATAGAGTAATGAAGACAACGCGCGCGCGGGAAATTTTCCCGCCAAAAATAGTGACAGATGACAGATGAGCGTCTAATTTAAATCCTAATTTTTAGGTTAGGTAATTATTAGCGAATTTAAAATTTATTCAAATCTGTATATATCTACAACACAAATTATGTAAAATTAACGGAGCTCAAAGATTCCTAATTAGCGATCGCATGTGAAATTTTGTGAAAATTACATAAAATTAATACCCCATGAGATATCATAATGTCAATTGCTTTAACTATTCCATAGACTTATTCCGACTCTGTATCCGTTTCCCCCGAATCAGATTCCGAACTAGACACAGGTTCGCACTTGATAAACTCTATCTCCTCCCGTTTCAACGATTTCTTGGGTCTCCCGCGCCTTTTGGCCGGCGACGGCTTGTCAGGACGTTCGTCGCCCATCACCGTCTTCACCATCTGCGATATCCTCTTCAGGTGCTGCTGCTCGTGTCTCTGCAGGTGGTTGTTGAGGTACCTCTTCAGTTTGAACTTCTTCCCGCACTGATCACATTCATGCTCGTATTTATCCTCGTCCACGTCCATGTGTACCGAGTTGTTATGGCGCCTCAGGTAATGCGCGTGCGCAAACTCCTTATCGCACTTCTCACATCTGATCTTAGGTTTAGATGGATGCACTATCTTCTTGTGTTTCTTCAAACGGACAGCAGAATGAAAGTATTTATCGCATAAATCGCATTTCACTTTCGTATCCGCCGCTGAGTGTACCTGCATGTGTTCCTTCAGGTACTGATCGTTCTTGAACTCCTTCAGGCATTCCGGGCATGTCACCTTCGATTCCAGGGGAGGGTGGATGTTGAGGATATGCCGCTTCATATGATGCCGGGACTTGAACGTCATCGAGCAGAAAACGCATGGATGCCTCTCCACTTGCGAGTGTTGGAAGTGTAGATGCCTGTTCAGATTTAGGTGACTCTTGTACAGTTTTTGGCAGATGTGGCATTTGTATTTCTCCTTGTCGGGCCGGTGGCAAGCGTCGATGTGGTACCTAAGTTTGTAGGGCACAGAGAATTCCTTCCCGCATTCCGGGCATTTGATTTCCGGCAGCGTGTTCGGGTGTATCTTCTTCACGTGCATGTGCAATGCTCTGCGAGTTCTGAACTCTTGGAGGCAGAACTGGCAGTAGCATTTCTCGTCTTCGGAATAATGTTTGTTCATCCTATGCATGTACAGATAGTGTTTGTTTTTGAATGTCTTGTCGCATATATCACATATAACTGCAGATTCTTCCGACGAGTGCACTCTTGTAGTGTGCAAGTACAGGTTCTGATAATTCTTGAACTCTTTGTTACACTTTTGGCATATATACCGTTTGACTCTTTTCGGGAACATTACCGGCTTCCACGTCGATAGTACCGACTCGTACATCTCTCGTTGTTCGTCTGTCAGTACGTCACTGGTGACGCTGATAAATTTCATTACCTTCTGTTCCGTTTGAGGACGAGGCTGCTCCATTTCCTCTGACAACTCAGCTTTCATTTCCGCTGTGTGGAGCGCGTGATTCATCTCGTGGACCGGGCCCTCCATTGTTACACTGTAAAAGGACATTTTGATATTTTATATACTACTCTATGCCTGCGGTTTCACCAAATGATTATTACAGTACAGCTTCATCAGAATAATATATAGGCTATAAATTGCCTATATATTATTCTGATGAAGCTGTACTGTAAAGTTTCATCAAAATCCGTTCAGTAGTTTCTGCGTGACAGATTAACAAACATCCATCCATACTCACAAACTTTCGCGTTTATAATATTACTACCTTTAACCCGCGGCTTCGCTCGTATTGAATCAAAATATTTGTTTTTTTTAATAAAAAGTATCCTATGTTCATTCTAATACCTCTAAGAACATGTGTAAAAAAATTCATGATGATCAGTTCAGTAGTTTTTGTGTGAAAGCGTAACAAACATACCTACTTTTACATATATAATATTAGTAAGGAAGTAAGGATTCAGATTAAGATGTAGAACCATTGTTACACTGTAAAATGATATTTTGATATTTAAAATACAATATTGTCAAGAAACACAATTTTTTTAACAAGCTAAAGGGGCGATCTATTGGTAAGTGGTAATCCTTGACTACAACATGAACAACACCATCTTGTAACCTGTAATTTCACGGCCTTACCGAGGGGTAGAACGAGCGAGAAGCAAGAAGAACGAGCTAGGGCTCGTTCTTCTTGTGATGAGACAGCTTTCCGAATGAGTGATAGATTAAAAAAAATGTTATGACTATTCAAAAGTGCTTAAATTAAGTTTATTTGAATAAACGATTTTCTATTCTATTCATGCTCCTCAGCAGAAATAGCTTAGCTGTTTCGAGGATGATATAGATTATACAAACCTACATGTATCTCTTTTTTTTTCGGACTACTCTAATGCTGTTGGCCGCAGCTGGCCTTTACAGCTTCACCGGACGTTAGGGGGCGAGTGCAGATGGCATTCCAAACCAAGGAAGGACTTATGGAGCGGCTGAAGGCCAACTCATGCCTGACGGATACGACTTTAGTCTGAGGGCACCACTAGGGGTTTGAACCTCGGCTCAGGCCGTCGTAATTTCGTTCCCCGTTTGAATTGGACGGGGGATCGATCAGAGGGGCGCCCGGGCGCGCGCAGGCGCCCGGTTAACATGTATCTCTGTAATAATCATTATAGGGGGAAAGAGGATTGTCAGTAATGTGGACTGATGACCCCATTGCTACCAATTCCCTTACCGAGATCCATCAAACAAGATGAGCCAGCTCTGAATGAGCGGTAGATAAAAAAAATGTTATGACTATTCAAAAGTGCTTCAATTAAGTTTATTTGAATAATTGATTTTCTTTTTAAACTTTCGTGTTTAATAGCCATTATTTAAATTATTAACCGGGTCTTAACACGAATAATTTTATGGCAAATAAAGGTATTTACCTCTCTCGACGTTTCGACTAGGTTGCACTAGCCGTGGTCACGAGCTGACTGGAGTAACAGCGATGTCAATGTAGATAGGTGACAGCAGTTTTTCTTCATCTACCGTCACTAGATTGTTTAACGAAAGTTCGCGACACACAGCACTCACGGTATCCGTACACTTATTCGCTGTTACTCCAGTCAGACACACTTATTGACTATTGATGCTACTGAAAGAAACATTTATTTGCCATAAAATTATTCGTGTTAAGACCCGGTTAATAATTTAAATAAATGATTTTCTATTCTATTCCTGCTCCTCAGCAGAAACAGCTTAGCTGTTTCGAGGATGATATATATTAGACAAATATACATGTCTCTCTGTAAGTCATTATAGGGGGAAAGATGATTGTTAGTAATGTGGACTGATGACCCTATTGCTAGCGATATACCATGTCGGTTGACCTGCATGCGGTTCCATCTGGAACCTATTGTGATAAATTCCAGGTCAATTTATCATTGCTAACTAACCTGACCTCAAGCTCATATTGTCATCCTCCACTGGTGCCCCGCCAGCGTAAACCATTAGCGCAGTATGGTGAACTATACCGTTATAGTTCATTTAAAAAAATTACATTATACCACCAAATGTATGGTAGCAAGGTGTGTGAGATCAATAGAGCTACCTAACACAGCAACAACAGCTGGCTCATTCATAGAAAATATTGGATAAGTCTATAAGTCTGTAGTGGTTATGAATAGAAAATCATAGATATAGTTAACAGAGACTTTTGACATTTTGATGGGACTTTTTTTGGCAGGTAACAGATGACAGCGATCTAGCAACACGACCGGTTGGTCGCAGGTTCGATGTCTAGCAAAACATTTTGTATTCACAAGTATGACTGTTTGTATCAGTCTAGGTGTTTTCTATGTATAATATGTATGTATTTACAAAAAAAAATCTATGTATATGTATCAGTTATCTAGTACCCATAACACAGGCTTTAGCTAGCTTATAGATGGCGCTGTGTGAATTGTCCTGAGATTATTATTATTATTAACTTAGGCTACTTTTATTTTAGAAAAATTTTAAATTTAACATGGACAAATAATACTGCCAGTATAAATATAATTATATAAATAGAAACTAAAAGATGTCTTGTTGGTATTGCAAAAATATAAGCAGTGTCGTTGATTCTGAAGCATTATTTAAATATATCTTTAAATTTAATTTTTTTAATTAAAAGTTATAGTAATATAATCCACGGTGATGACTCTATTCTCCCAAATTTGAATTTTAAAATAAATCTGTATTATTGTAAACATGTACAACATTTATATGAAAAGGATACAAGCTGAGTTTCTTGTCAGTTCTTCTCATCTCAAAATCATTCCGAACTGACGGTAGATTTGTCATTTCATAAGTCTGTAATAGACCTCCATGAATAAAGATATTTTGAATTTGAATCTACCTACCAGTAGTATGTTTCCTTTTTTTCTTTGGCAAGAGGCTAGTATTGTTTCTTACAATGTTATTTACCCACATAAATATAAAAGTAAAAATACAACCTACCTAAGTATAAAAGTTCCGAATTCTTATTTTAAAAAGGCCTCTATTAATGCAATACTATTTTAGCCACTAGGCATGTAAATTTTTGTATCATTTTGTACCTTACCATCCAGTTCAGGCTAATTTAAAAAAAATATTTCCTACAACCTTCACATAATGATCAAATTAATATGAATAATTAAAAGTAAGTTTTATATTTCTTTTTATGTATTTATTTCAGTTTTATGTTTATTCTACCTCATTTTCCCTTGGTACATATTTACAACTTAGTCTGTACAATGTAACTAATATTTATTCTTATAAACTTAATAAATAAGAAAGTATGTCATGATTTAAGTTAGTTTAGAAAATTCAACAAAATCAACAGATTCTGATAAAAAAAATCTGTATAATTTTTAATTGTATAATATATAGCAGATAACACTCTTATCATAAAGAAATGGCGTCAATTTTTTTTTATAATAACATAGATGAATGTTTAAAGTCCTTAGTCTTATTTTTGTTGACAAAATAATTAAAAACAATAAAAATGTTTGGGTTATAATATTATTATTGTCAAATGTTACATTAGGTGGTTATTTTTAGTGTATTATTGATAACAATCTCAGCTAGCGGCGCATCGTGGGAACGTCAGAAGTGTTGATCTAGTAAACACGAAAAATAAATTATTTTTTCAAATACTTACGGCCGCTTATTTTACAGCAATATAACACGGTATCCCGTTAACACGTCATAACTAACAAATACACACTCAGCAGGAACGATTAAATGCTAAAATTGTCCAATGGCCTATTCCCCCGAGGGCAAAATATTTATATTCAACATGGCGAATAATTACAATATCTCAGACTACGCTAATTATGTTCAGGAAATATGTGAAAACACATGAAAGAATTATCTATGAAATGTATTGCGTTAAAGATATTAATTACAAGGAAAAATCACGGAAATTCCAATGTAAAATTACAATGTTTGACATTTTCTGGTCAATCTGTCACTTTGCGTTTTGTTTCTGTATTTTCAGTTTTTTAAAAAAGATCGGTGCATAATTTTATATTACTAATAAAAGTATTTTTGCTTAAGGATAATTATATATATTAATTGTAAAAATATTCAAATAACTAATTAAAGATTTTATTATTTTTTTTTACAGTAAATTTTACATATAGCAACACTGACGCTTAGCAGCAGAAGAAAAATCTATGCCAAATAGATATTATGACGTGTAACCGACTTAGAAGATGATAAAGTTTAATGTCTATCATATTTATGATCATACATAATTACCTACAGACTTTGTTTGTACATATGTTTCAGAATTAGGTCAAAAATGTAAAACGAACTGCTGTCAACACTCATTATTTATGTAAAACTATTCTATACAATATTATATCCATTGTATTATGGTAGTAAATCATGAATATGAATATTAGATGTAAAATTAAAATGATTTTTTAATTGTTTTTACTCCCATAGAGTAGATAATACAACAATAGTTGTGCTCTAACCGATTATGTAGTTGCATACGCCAGTGTAAAGAGAAAATCGTCAATGAAAAACTAAAACCACGTGAGACGACGTATGTTCTTAAAATAGTACTACAGTTTTCGCACGCGAAGTAACCGCGCATTTTGTTTAATTGTTCATAAAAATGAGAGAAATCGTACATTTACAAGCGGGGCAGTGCGGCAATCAAATCGGATCTAAGGTGCAACACTAATTTTTTACTTTTTAATTGAGTGATTGAATATGCATAGTCTATTTTTATAACACGATTCTATAACTGTGTCGAGCTAGCGGTGCAATATATCTAATAGGCGCGGGCGTAAATTGTAATAATTTTTTTATTGTGCATCACTAATCTTTTTTTTTTATTAAATAGATTTAATTTTAGAACTAAGGACATACTTAAAATTATTCTGCTATTACAGTTTTATGTTTTTTTTTCATATTGGCGGGAACTAGTTTTTGAGTATTTTTTTTTTATAAATAGTTATAAAAAATTTTTTATTAAATATTATATTTTTTTTATAAATAGTTTTTTTATATATAGATAAATAAATCTTTTTCGATAGATATTTTTTTATCGTCACACACAAGTACACTTTTATAAAAATACCTATATATAAATACTTAGTTCGAGATAAGATTCACGTAACAAATTTTGTGGAGCGATTTAAAAAAGATTGTATGCTTATTTCAAACTACGTATTGTCTATATTTATCGATGTGTGTGACGCTAAAAAAAATATCTATGTATTAAATATTTATTAAAAAAAATCATATTCTATATTACGATTTTAAACACTTGTTCTACTTACGTAAACGCAAGTAACAATATTTCGTAAAGATTATACAAGGGCAAACTATAAGTACTTATACTTCATAACTTATATTTTAAATTTTTGACGACCTCGGTGGTCTAGCACACCGCTTTACGACCGATGGTCGCGAGTTCGATTCCTCGCACGGCCGGCACAACATTTGTATTCATGAGTATAATTGTTGCTATCGCTTTGGGTGTTTTATATATATTATATATATGTAGGTATTTACAAAAAAAAAACTTTGTATGTGTATCAGTTATCTAGTACCCAGAACACAAGCTTTAGCTAGCTTAACTTGGGTCCTAGATGGCGCTGTGTGAATTGTCTAAAAAAAAAATTGTGTAATGATGCCCCCGTCTGCGCTAACGGTTTACGCTGGCGGGGCACCAGTGCTAGCTCTGAATTTGAATTGTTATTTTATCACGTTTTTGTCTGTTTTTGCTTTTAATGGAAGGGATAAATAAATTGCAATTTTTTTTACAAATAAACATACTTCGTATATATAAAGAGAGGGAAAAATCAATATCATAAGTTTTTTAATAGAAGGTTTGCAACTGTTACTTTTTTTTTATTTCTTAATATTTTACGGCTTTGGATATTAGTCCTTTTTAGCCCAACATAAAGTATAAAAACGTAAAAACAATTACAATTTCTTTAAATTAGAAATTGCTGTGATACATCTCTTTTGAGCTTTTAAAACTAACTCATTCCGGGGCGGGTCATTAGTAGTTTATATAGAGAAGGAATGTAGAATGATAATATATTTTTTTTAATTATGAATAATAAATACATAAATCAATAAAGTGCGTAGCGGTTTCTATGTTGATTGTCGCATGCCTAATCCTTGTTGTTAATGAAATATAAGTAAGTCAATATTTATTTAAAAGAGCAACACACAGTTTCTTGCTTATTCTTCTTGTAATGAATCTGCATTCTGAATAAGCGGTAGAATAAAAAATCTTGACTATTCAAAAGTGCTTATATTAAGTTTATTTGAATAAAGATTATTTCTATTTCTAATAAAAAAGAAACATTACATTCATTTCGACGTATTTGACGTACATGTCAAATTGGGAATATATTAAATAGAAATAATCTTTATTCTTATAAACTTAATTTAAGCACTATTGAATTGTCATAACAATTTTTTTTATCTACCGCTCATTCGGAAAGCTCATCACGCGAAGAACGAGCAAGAAACTTGCGTGTTACTCTTATAAACAATCCTTGTAAGTTCACATTTACAAGTCGAAACGTGTGAATACAAACTACCAACCAGCACTAATTTAAAATAAATATTTAATGTTATAAATGTTCTTATCATCACAAGAAGAACGAGCGAGAAACTCGTGTGTTGCTCTTTTAAATAATCATTGTAAGTTCACATTTACAAGTCGAAACGTGTGAATACAAACTACCAACCAGCACTAATTTAAAATTAATATTTAATGTTATAAATGTTCTTAAGAAGAAGTTCGTAAGACCACAGATAACATAACATAACATAGTAAGACTTACTATGTTATGTTATGTTATCTGTGGTCTTACTGAATGCGAAACATAACCAATTTAAATGAATCGTTGTTCTGATCTACAAGCTATATTACTGTATAGTTTCATGAAAACCATTAGTATTTAGACGAACCAGTATCAAACATTCATACACCCATCTTTCCATCCATATTCACAGACTTCCCAGAAGACCAGTTTTGCCGGCGGTTTCCCCCCATGAAACTTGTAGCCTATATGTTATTATGATGTACCAATAAGCTATAATAATAATAATAATAATCAGTAAAATACAATGTGAGTTCAACGACGACGATAGCATATTAAGTTTTAATCTACAACTAACAAAGTAATCATAAAAATTGACAATAACAAACTTAAATATATATAATCTAAACATTATTCAGGATTAGTTAGAACATTAAATAAAATCTAATAATTATTCAGGGTTATTTTATCATATAGACTTGCGTGTACACACATATATCGACACAACTTAGTAAATTACAATACTACGAAACGAGGGATTGTTCTTGCAGCAACCATTTGCTATATTACTGTAAAGTTTCGTTGAAATCCGCTCCGTAGCTTTTGAGTGAGAGAGTACCAAACATCCACCGACCATTCATTTTCGAAATTTTCAATAATTTTTCTAACTGTGACCGCGGTTTTTCCTGCGTTTTATTTCAATAAAAAATATAATATTAGTATTTATTTATTTATTAACACACACCACACAAACAATTAAACAAAGAACACACACAATAAGTAATACACACACGGTCTTATCGCGTAAGCAATCACTTCCAGACAACACTTGGTTAGAGGAGAGAAGAAAGAAAGTGGTAGATGGCGCAAGAATGGACTAGAGAAAAAGAAAGGCATAGGAATACTAAATAATAATAATTTACATATACTATAATATATATATATAATACATATATACACACAAATAGTATATAGTAGTAGTATATACGACATGTCAACATCTAGCATACCGCTTTACGACCGATGGTCGCAGTAAATCGCATGGCACAAACATTTGTATTCAGAGTATGATTGTTTGTATCGGTCTGGGTGTTTTCTATGTGTAATATGTATGTATTTACGAAAAAAAAAAATATCTATGTATTTTTATCAGTTGTCTAGGACCCATAACACAAGCTTTAGCTAGCTTAACTTGGGTCTAGATGGCGCTGTGTGAATTGTCCTGAGATTATTATTATTATTATTGTTATTATTATTATTATTGCCTGTACTCAGTTGACGATTTTTGATGTTTTTTTTTGTTTATAATGACATTCTGTAAAATGACAACATGTAAATTTATTAATTTTATTAACCATCGTATCAACATTCAAATACGATGTACATTGTTCATGAATAAATAAATAAATAAAAAAACATTATATACAAATACAAAATACACAGGAGTGTTTATTTTGTATTTGTATATACATAAAAATTATTGTATAAGAGTAATTATGTAACACGCAATTTCGAATAAGCTATTATATGTTAATCTAATGCTATTTATTTTTATTATAATAATAATAATAATAATAATAATTACACATATATGATACACACACATATGCTATTACATAATCCATTTACACACACAGTTTCAAGCACACACACATGTGACACACAAATCTCGAGGTCCTTGGCGTTGATATATCCAGTGACGTTCAGTTTTGCGGTCATTTGGAGGACAAGGCTAAAATAGCCTCAAAAAAAATGGTGTGCTCAGTAGAGTGAGACGGTAAATCGCTTGCATAATAAGTTGCAGATCCGGCCGCATATGGAATACTGTTCTCATCTCTGGGCGGAAGCACCACAATACCAGCTACTTCCATTTGACCGCATTCAGAACCGAGCAGCCAGAATCATTGGTAATCAACGTCTATGTGACAGACTCGTCCATTGGCTTTGTGGCGTGATATTGCATCTCTGTGTATTTTCTACCGCATATATCACGAGAGTGTATAATATATATATATATATATATATATATATATATATATATATATCATCTGGATGAATGGCGGTCTTCCACAGTTCGGTTTTCTAGAAACTTTTTAGCACAACCACATTGTGGAATCACCTTCCAGCAATGGTATTTCCGATAGAATAATATAATTTCAAGAAAAGAGCTTATTAAAAGGCCGACAACGTACTTGCAATTCCCTTGGTGTTGCGGGTGCTCATGGGTGGCGGTCTCTGTTATAAAAAATATATAATATGGTAAAGTTTCATCAATATCCGTTCAGTAGTTTTTACGTGAAAGAGCAACAGACATCCATCTATACTCACAAACTTACGTGTTTATAATATTAGGACAATTCACACAGCGCCATCTAGTCCCAAGTTAAGCTAGCTAAAGTTTGTGTTAATTGATAGATAATATACATATATATATATATATATAATTGTTTTGCCACATAAATTAATAACGCTTAAAAAAATAGGGGTTGATGATATATGAAAATTTAGGATTGTATGTATTTTTGTATGTTGTACACAAAAATATAGAAACAAAAAATTTTGTCTATAAAATAAAAAAAAAAATACGTTTGGACTACCCCTAAATTTAGGGGGATGCAAAATAGATGTTGGCTGATTCTCAGACCTACTCAATAAGCTCACAAAATTTTATAAGAATCGGTCAAGCCGTTTCGGAGGAGTATGAGAACGAAAACTGTGACACGAGAATTTTATATATAAGATAAATTACGTGTGTTGTTTGTCCGCGATGAACTCCTAAAATACTGAACAGATTGCAAATTTGATTTGCACATTGTGTGCAATTTGATCCAACTTGAAAGATAGGATAGCTTACATCTCAATTTATAGTCGCAATATTATTTTATTCAAGAACCTTAGACACAGCAACGCGTGGCGGGGTCTGTTAGGAGATATATATTTTTTCGTAAATACATACATATTATACATAGAAAACACCCAGACCGATACAAACAATCATACTCATGAATACAAATGTTTGTGCCGTGCGAGGAATCGAACCCGCGACCATCGGAAGTAAGGCCGGCAATATATATATACTAAATAATTATTTCCGTCTGTCCACCAGTTCTGGGAGATAATATCGGATGAGCATGGCATCGACACCACAGGCAACTACGTCGGAGACAGCGAGCTGCAGCTGGAGAGGATCCAGGTCTACTACAATGAGGCTGCTGATGGTATATATGTGCTGTATTGGTGACTTATTTCCAAAAAACAGCAATATTCATAATATTAATACTAGATTTAAAGACAAACTTGCTGTCCCCAAGTATCGTTTAGAAAAAGTCAATAGGTCTTTTATGGGAATAGGTATAAAAATTTACAATAAGATACCAAAGGATATGTTGGAATTACCCCTAAATAAATTCAAAACATCTGCAATCATATTTACTGAGCAAGGCCTATTACTCACTAAACGATTACTTGAATGACGAGCGTGCATGGCAATAGTTTTCATGTTCGGGATTTTCATTTAATGTTAGACATAGACACCTATATAAATATCTATGCATTGTAAATAAACTGGATTTAAAAAAAAGTAATTCAATTGAGTTTCTTGCCAGTTCTTCTCAATTGGATCTATATACCGAACTGGTAGGGAAAAAAAATTATAATGTAAAAACTTGACGTACATAAGCGGCTAAAATGTCCTACACGAATAAATGATTGTTGAATTTGAATTTGAATATACCGTTTTTTATACTACGATGGTGGCAGACAAGCATACGGCCCATCTGATGGTAAACGGTTACTGTAGCCTATGGACGGCTGAAACACCAGTAGTGTCAAGCGTTGCAGATCCTTAAGAAACCTTAATATACTCTTCTTGAAAAACCCCATCCTTGATGATACTTCCATACAACCTTTCATCTCCACTTTCAACCTCTTACAACAAGCGGTGAAGGCGAGTGTTGAACTACACCCGGGTCACAAGTCCTGGGAACTGCTCGGAGTTTTTTTTATGGATGATAATGAAATGGTGCACCCGCCTGCGCAAACGGTATACGCTGGCGGGGCACCAGTGGAGGATGATAAGAACATGAGGTCGTCAGTTAGCACATCGTGACAAATTCACCAAGAATTCATCACGATGGTTTCCAGGGAGAATCGCGTGGAGGTCGACCTAACATGGTACATTGCTAGCAATAGGAGTTACCAGGTCCCATTGCTAACAATTCCTTTCCCCACAACTTCCCCCCACTATGGCAACTCCTTAAAATTGCAGGGAAGCGGTTCGTGCCTCGAGCAGTGCTGGTGGATTTAGAGCCAGGGACTATGGACGCCATTAGATCTGCGACTTACGGCCAGCTGTTCAGACCTGACAACTATGTGTTTGGACAGAGCGGAGCTGGTAAGTATTCTTCTTGTGATGAGTCTGCGTTCCTAATGAGAGGTAGAATCAAAAAAATATGAGTACTCCAAAGTTCTCGTATTACGTATTGAGTTTTACGTAGTGACGGACTCGGTAGTGTAGCAGTTTAGCACACCGCTCTACTTCCGATGGACGTAGGTTTGATTCATAAAATTGTTATTTCGTACTTCGTGTTGAATGAAAATATTAACAAAACTAATTATTTCGCCCTTTTTCGGGAATCTTTATTCATTCTGAGATGAGATTTTAAGACTTTTGATTTCGTTATACGCCGCTAAATGTTTTAAGATGGGTTACCAACCTTTTTTGAGAAAATACCTCATGGAGAAACATGGAGAAGTAAACGGGTAAAACCTGGCAACACTGCTCCTCATTCCATTTGTTATTGCAGGTAACAACTGGGCGAAGGGGCACTATACAGAAGGCGCTGAGCTGGTGGATTCCGTGATGGACGTGGTCAGGAAGGAATCGGAGGCCTGCGACTGTTTACAAGGTATTGGGCAGCCAGGCCCCTCTTCCCTACTGGGCACACTGGGCACGTGTCCAGGGCCCCACGACGGATTGGGGCCCCCTAGTCTAGTCTAGTCCCTACTCCATTACCAAATAATAACCGATAGCTAGCACCAGTGGAGGATGATGAGATGAGCACGAGGTCAGGTCAGTTTGCACATCGTGACCATTTTACTGTAATATTGAAGTGAATATAAATATGGTACATACATCAAAATATTTATTTTTTTTAATTTTTGTCTGTTTGTCTGTTTGTTCCGGCTAATCTCTAAATGGCTGGACCGATTTTGACGGTACTTTTATTGGCAGATAGCTGATGTAATAAGTAGCAAATTAGACTACTTTTATTTTAGAAAAATAAAGTTAAATTCCACGCGGACGAAGTCACGGGAACAGCTGGTTTATAATAATTACCTGTGTCCCAGGTTTCCAACTGACGCACTCGCTCGGCGGAGGCACAGGTTCGGGTCTCGGTACTTTACTCCTGAGCAAGCTCCGTGAGGAGTATCCTGATAGAATAGTGAACACATTCAGCGTTATGCCATCGCCCAAGGTATGTTTTTTTATACTACGATGGCGACAAGCATACGGCCAATCTGATGGTAAACGGGTACCGTAATAATATCTCAGGACAATTAATACAGCGCCATCTAGACCCAAGTTAAGCAAAGCTTGTGTTATTGGTACTAGACAACTGATACAAATACATAAATATATATTTTTTCGTAAATACATAAATATTGTACTTAGAAAACACCCAGACCAAAACAAACAATCGTACTTATGAATACAAATTTGTGTTGTGCGAGGAATCGAACCCGCGACCATCGGATAGTAAAACGGTATGCTACGCCACTAGACCATCGGGGCCGTCTAATGCAACTTTAAACCAATTATTGTATTAGTTATTTTCCGTTTCGTTATTCCAATGACGTAGAGAAAAAAAATTGATTTCAGGTTTCAGACACCGTGGTAGAGCCTTATAACGCGACGTTGTCTGTACACCAACTGGTCGAGAACACGGATGAGACCTTTTGTATCGACAATGAAGCTCTATACGACATATGTTTTAGGACGCTGAGATTAGCGTCACCGACCTATGGAGACTTGAACCATTTGGTGTCGGTAAGTCATATTTAAAGCTTATAAATTATGTCACATGTTGGTGTGACAAAATGTGACGAAGTGTGACGGGATGTGACGAAGTGTGACAAAATGTGACAAGATGTGGGAGGTTACATTATAAATTACGTCACACGTTGGGGCAGATGTGATAATATGTGACGATGTGTGACAAATTTTATCGGGATGTGACGAAGTGTGACAAGAGGTGGTAGGTGTAATAAATATCATTACATTTTAAAATTTCGTGCCGTCACTTTGTAAAATATAATTATTATACCGGTTATAATAGCGGTTTCACCTTCCGGAAGTTTGTGACCTATGTGTTATTATGATGTATAAGCTATATCACTGTAAAGTTTCATCAAAATCCGTTCAGTAGTTTTTGTGTAACAAATATCAATTTAACCATCTAGCCATCCATACACACAAATGATTACGTTTATAATTTTATATATTAGTAAGGTTTTTTTACCAAGTCACTTGTTCTTATGGCTGTATACGTACATAAATATATTGTATAGGCAGCGCGCATGCGCAGCTGCGCGCGCAACTAAATGTCACTTTCTTGTCTCATATAAAATTAAATTAGATAAACGTTTCCTTTGTTATTTTATTTTATTTGGCTTAGACCACATCATCACTTAACATCAAGTGAGATTGCGGTCAAACGCGCTCAAATTATGATATAAAAAAAATATATATAATCCAGATCAAGTCCATAACTGGTGACCCCGACGTGACTTGAATACGCATATTTAATTTAATTTTATTCACTAGGAATGTTAGTATTTTTTTTTATGGATGATAATGGAATGGAGCACCAGCCTGCGCTAACGGTTTACGCTGGCGGGGCACCAGTGGAGGATGATAGAACATTAGGTCAGGTCAGTTAGCGCATCGTGTGACAAATTCACCAGGAATTTATTACGATGGTTTCCAGGTGGAACCGCGTGGAGGTCAACCTGACATGGTACATTGCTAGTAATAGGGTCATGAGACCACATTAGTAACAATCCCTTTTCCCCTAATGTTAGGAATTGGACTATTCAAAAATTTTATTATTTATTTATTTACGTCACACTAAGTGAGCTTTACAGTTTCACATAGATGATTATTGTGTGGTCATATTGGACCACTTAGGAAGATTGTATACATATACACACACTTATAAAACCTAGTTACTAATATATACATACACAAGAATATAATTAAAATAAAAAAATAACAATAATAATAATCATCTCTGTGCATTTTCTACCGCATATATCACGGGGAGTGTTCTGAGGAATTGTTCGGATTAATACCAGCTGTTGAGTTTCACCACCGTACCACCCGCCAGAAACTGAAATACCATCCTGATCATCTGGATGAATGGCGGTCGTCCACAGTGCGGTTTTCTAGAAACTTTTTGCCACGCACAACCACATTGTGGAATCACCTTCCAGCAATGGTATTTCCGAATCGATACGATATTGAAACCTTCAAGAAAAGAGCTTATTCCTTTTTAAAAGGCCGACAACGTACTTGCAATTCCCCTGGTGTTTCGGGTGCTCATGGGCGGCGGTAATCACTTACCATCAGGTGAGCCACATGCTCGTTTGTCTCCTGTGTTATAAAAAAAACAATCTTAATTTTCCATACTACTTTAAAAGAGCAACACACAAGTTTCTTGCTCGTTCTTCTTGTGATGAGACAGCTTTCCGAACGAGTGGTAGATAAAAAACAAATTGTTATGACTATTCAAAAGTGCTTAAATTAAGTTTATTTGAATAAATGATTTTCTATTCTATTCTATTCTATTCTAATCTACTGCCATCCTACGAAACTCCAGCAAATTACAAGTAACTATGTCTAGATCTGGAAAACGACTAACTACACCGTTGAGTAGACTCAATGCCAGAGAAATAGGAGTCTGTTTGGCCAGCTCTATTCTTCTCCATGGAACATCAAACAAGTTTCGTCTTCTTGCTTGTACGTAGTTATTGGGCGCTCTTATGGACACCGATGTTAATACCGCTTGGTTACATTTTTCACCTCTCATGACTTTGACTATTATTATTATTTATATGTATAGATTTATAACTGTATTAACTTAAATGTAGCAATTGTTAAATGTAAAATTAGTGACTGTCACCCGCACCACGAGACACACAGTATAGTTCAGGTTGCGAACACTGATTAGATTTTTTTATTTTTTTTTATATAGCATATGCTGGTGGTCACTCTATTCTCCCAAATTTGAATTTAAATGAAATAGTATTATTGTAAATATGTACAACATTAAAAAAAATACGAGCTGAGTTTCTTGTCAGTTCTTCTCATCTCGAAATCATTCCGCACTGACGGTAGATTTGACATATCATAAGTCTGTAATAGACCTACATGAATAGAGATATTTTGAATTTTGAATTTGAATTTGAGTTGGTTGAAACAAATTAAAAAATCATAATTTCAGTTAACGATGTCTGGCGTGACGACGTGCCTCCGATTCCCTGGACAACTCAATGCAGACCTCAGGAAGTTAGCTGTCAATATGGTGCCGTTTCCTAGGCTGCATTTCTTCATGCCTGGTAAGTTTTTTTAATGGATGATAATGGAATTGTGCGTCAGTCACACGTCAGTCCACATTACCAACAATCTCCTTCCTTACTTTATATAGAAATGATCTTTATTCAAACAAAGTTTATTTCTAAATTTTATTTATTGTCTAATTTTAAGTTGCCTTCTTGTTGTTGTACTCTGGTATTTCACCATTCAAATCTAACATACCTAAATACAATTTTTTTTCCAGGTTTCGCTCCATTAACAGCCAGGAACAGTCAGGGTTACAGAGCATTGACAGTACCAGAATTGACGCAGCAGGTCTGTACATATGATGTTTTTTTCCGGACTACTCTAATGCTGTTGTCCGCAGCTGGCCTTTACAGCTTCACCGGACGATAGGGGGCGAGTGCAGATGGCACTCCAAACAAAGGAAGGACTTATGGAGCAGCTGAAGGCAAACTCCCGCCTGGCGATACGACTCCAGCCTGAGGATACCGCTAGAGTTTCGCAGGCCGCTATAATTTCGATTTCCGTTTAATTTGGACGGGAGATCGATCTTACTGAAATGTTTCGTCCTTATACACAAATTTACACGTGTCGCGTACACGAGCCACGGCAACTTGAAGGTCGGCAGTTGCGTTGTTAATGAGTTACACGTGCCATTATAAGAGTTCTGGGAAGAACAGTTACAGAACTAAAGTTGGCACGTGTAGAAAGTATTCTGCTACAGTTTTATAATGTCGCTAGCTACTCGCTCCGGCTTCGCCCGGGTGTACATGTATTATACATATAAACCTTCCTCTTGAATCACTCTATCTATTAAAAAACCGCTTCAAAATCCGTTGCGTAGTTTTAAAGATTAAAGCATACATAGGGATGGACAGATAGCGACAGCTACTTTGTTTTATACTATGTAATGATTAACAGATGTTCAGTCCGGTGAACATGATGGCTGCGTGCGACCCTCGCCACGGCAGGTACCTCACGGTGGCTGCAATCTTCAGGGGCCGCATGTCCATGAAGGAGGTCGACGAGCAGATGCTCACTGTGCAGGATAAGAACTCGGGGTAATATAACTTACTTAGAAAAGAATAGAGTAGACTAGAATAGAATAGAATAGCATTTATTACGTCACACGTCACAACACAACAATGACGATGCTGATAGCAGTATATAGATTGTTATAACATATAATTATTAATCTTGAAATGTCCAGAAAGTCCGTCGATGACTAAATTCTCAACTCTAGGTAACGTTATTTACTACATTTTGCTTTTAATTTATAAATAAATAATAATTTCAAGTGGGAGGGTTTTGTACAGTCTACTTATGGCCATCCATAAATAAAGTTCCACCAATTTCGAAATTTTTGATCAACTGTGACAAAAGACAGATTATTTGTCCGTTGCTCGTTGACTTCCTCTATGGACATTTCGAGATGAACGTTAATGGTTCACATTTTAATCAACTGTGTCAGACTCTGTCTTGACTGTGACAAGCCCTATCTTGACTGTGACAACCTCTGTCTTGACTGTGACAACCTCTATCTTGACTGTGACAACCTCTGTCTTGACTGTGACAACCTCTATCTTGACTGTGACAAACTCTATCTTGACTGTGACAACCTCTGTCTTGACTGTGACAACCTCTATCTTGACTGTGACAAACTCTATCTTGACTGTGACAACCTCTATCTTGACTGTGACAACCTCTGTCTTGACTGTGACAAACTCTATCTTGACTGTGACAAACTCTATCTTGACTGTGACAACCTCTATCTTGACTGTGACAAACTCTATCTTGACTGTGACAACCTCTATCTTGACTGTGACAAACTATCTTGACTGTGACAACCTCTATCTTGACTGTGACAAACTCTATCTTGACTGTGACAAACTCTATCTTGACTGTGTCAAACTCTATCTTGACTGTGACAACCTCTGTCTTGACTGTGACAACCTCTATCTTGACTGTGACAAACTCTATCTTGACTGTGACAAACTCTATCTTGACTGTGACAAGCTCGGTCTTGGCTGTGACAACCTCTATCTTGACTGTGACAAACTCTATCTTGACTGTGACAAGCTCGGTCTTGGCTGTGACAACCTCTATCTTGACTGTGACAACCTCTATCTTGACTGTGACAAACTCTATCTTGACTGTGACAACCTCTGTCTTGACTGTGACAACCTCTATCTTGACTGTGACAACCTCTGTCTTGACTGTGACACCCTCTATCTTGACTGTGACAACCTCTATCTTGACTGTGACACCCTCTATCTTGACTGTGACAAACTCTATCTTGACTGTGACAAACTCTATCTTGACTGTGACAAGCTCGGTCTTGGCTGTGACGAACTCTATCTTTGTCACAGTAAAAATCACGAAATTGCTGTGACATATTTGTGACTGGCCCCATTGCCATGAAGGCAGGGGTGACTATGATACTATCTCTAGTGCACATGATAAGGATTTACTTCACGTCATTACCATATCATAAAAAGTACCCTTACCCAGCTTACCCGGCAAACGTTGTTTCACCATATAAATCCCCATAAGAAGCACTCGTTCCATCATACTCGTGAACTGGTGCTACTTATGGAATAGAATAGAATAGAATCATTTATTCAAATAAACTTAATTTAAGCACTTTTGAATAGTCATAACAATTTGTTTTTTATCTACCACTCGTTCGGAAAGCTGTCTCATCACAAGAAGAACGAGCAAGAAACTTGTGTGTTGCTCTTTTAAATAATCCTTGTAAGTTTACATTTACAAGTCGAAACGTGTGAATACAAACTACCAACAAGCACAAATTTTTTGGGTCAAATATAAATATGGGGATGGTCTGTTCAGGTTACGAACACTGATTTTGAGTTTTTGCTTTTGCAATAGCATATGCTGGTGGTCACGCTATTCTCCCAAATTTGAATTTAAATGAATCTGTATTATTGTAAACATTTATTTGAAAAGAATACGAGCTGAGTTTTTTGTCAGTTCTCATCTCGAAATCATTCCGAACTGACGGTAGATTTGACGTATCATAAGAATCTGTAATAGACCTACGTGATTAAAGATAGTTTGAATTAGAATTTGAAAAATTAATGTCGCTTAAAATCATTTTAAAACAAAGCCTTTGATGGTAGAACGGTGAAAATTATTATTTTTTAATACTCGATGTTTTAAAAAGTAATATAAAAGTGTAAAATAAACAATATTTTTTTAAGTAGACCACACTTATCACCGTGAGTGAATCATTCCAATATTATCCATTAAAAAAACAATATCTATTTACAGATACTTTGTGGAATGGATCCCCAACAACGTGAAGGTGGCAGTGTGTGACGTGCCGCCACGTGGCCTCAAGATGGCCGCCACGTTTGTGGGAAATTCTACTGCCATACAGGAAATATTTAAGCGGATCTCTGAACAATTTACTGTTATGTTCAGGAGGAAGGTGAGTGTTCTCGTTTGAATTTAAAAATATAGAGTAGAGTAAGAATGAAGTAGAAGCGAGTAAGATGGAGCAGAATGAAGCAGAATGAAGTAGAAAGTTTGTTATCATATTTACTGAGCAAAGCCTATTACTCACTAAACGATTACTTGAATGACGAGCGTGCATGGCAATAGTTATTCATGCACGGGATTTTCATTTAATGATAGATATATACACCTATATAAATATACATGGATTTAAAAAAAAAAGTAATTCAACTGAGTTTCTTGTCAGTTCTTCTCAATTGGATCTATGTATATTGATTAAGTATGAATATAAAACCTCCTTGGCCATCTAAGTATATTTTACTTTTTATTTACGTAATGATTCGAAATTCGAAATTTGAAAATTATTATAACATAAGTTTGATACCATAACATGGCGTATTAATAATTCATTTTTTATTTTGTAAATTAATTAATATTAAACACTAGTGGATGAAAGGAAGTGGTATTATTTTATTGGATCCGTTAAACATATTGGTCCTACGAGTCGGAGTATCGAGGACTGACGACAAAAGTAAACCTTTTTTGTAAAGAGTAAATAGCGACGCCATTGTAATTGTGCCGTAAAGATATCGGAACAGTATTGGAATTGTTGTGAATAATAAGCGCTGCTGAACTGTGAGTACATTATACCTACTTAATTATAGAAGAATACAGATTTATTATAATTATTAATTAATACAAGTACGAAATTTATACTACATAAAATTATTTTGTGACTTTCTTACATTTGCAATGGATTCATATATAAAAGTACAACTTGATTTAAATGAGAGAATTAACAAAGCAAAGTCTAATTTTAAAAAGTCACCAAAGGAGAGACTTCGTTCTTTGGATTATATTAACACTAGATTAGAAGCTTTAGAAGAATTATGGCAAACTTTTACTTCAAAACATATACAACTTATTGAAAGTACAGACACAAAAGTTTTAAATTCTAGCTCTTATGTCAGTAATAGCATCTATGAGTCCACTGAAGAGTTGTATATAGAGTATAAATTTCTACTAAAAGAATGTTTGAGTAAATTAAAGCAGAATAGTATTGAAAATGCAAGTTGTTCCGGACAAAATAATGACAGTAAAGATATTGATTGTAGTTTTAATTTACCTAAAATTTCTATTTTACCATTTTCGGGCAAGTATTCTGAATGGTTTAGCTTCAAAGACCTCTTTATAACGTTAGTACACAACAATAAACGTTTAGATGAAGTACAAAAACTACACTATCTAAAGGGATTATTAATTGGGGAAGCTGAGCAACTGCTTCGACATGTACCGATCACACATGATAATTATAAAAATTGTTGGGAACAGTTGGAGAGAAGATATAACAACAAAAAATATTTATCGAACTGTATTATGAAACGATTTATGAGTCAGAAAACCATCGGTACTGAGTCAGCCAGTGCATTAAAAGAGTTGCTAGACACTACTAACGAATGTCTTCATGGTCTTAACAATTTGGGTATAGACACTAGTACATGGGATGTGCTTGTAATTTATATATTATGCCAAAAACTAGACGGAGAATCTCGGAAACAATGGGAGTTAAAAATCAGCGAGTTCTCTGAAGAGTTACCTACTTTGAAACAATTTCAAGCCTTCATAGAAACTAGATTTAGAGCATTTGAGTTTATAGATCCAAAATTGTCTAAGTCCAATGTAGTACATAAAAGTAATATTGTTCATAGTAATCCTAAAGTATATCATACAGCCACACTTATTTGTCCTTACTGTTCTAAAAATCATCGTTTGTCCCATTGTAAAAAGTTCTCTAATGATGAAACAGATACTAGGCGTAATTTCGTTCAATCTCAGGGTTTATGTTTTAATTGTTTAGGTTTAGGGCACTCGGTATTTGCATGTCGTCAGATTTCTCGTTGTCGTTTATGCAGGCGGAAGCATCATTCGTTGCTACATCCAAAAAATATTACCAATCATAATTCAACCGACACTACGGGTATTGCTAATCAATCGGTTGAACAAGACGTTGTAGCACACGCGTCCACATCATCATCGTCTCAAGATGAAGCCACTAGTGTCACAGCCTGTTTTTCGACCTCAAACTGTCAAGTATTACTTGCAACAGCATTAGTAAGCGCACAGTCGAAATCAGGTAATGGTATCACACTTCGGTGTTTAATAGATCCAGGTTCTCAAGCTAGTTTTATTACAGAATCTGCAGTACAATTGCTTAATATAAGGAAGGTACCACACAAAAGCGTTATTACAGGATTAGGGAGTGATCAAGGTCATTCGTTGACCTCTAAGTCTATGGTTTCGGTTACACTACAGTCACTTCTTGATTCCAACTTTACATTTAAAGTACAGGCTTTTGTTTTGAATAAAGTAACTTCATTCCTTCCTGAAAAGCAAATTATTGTAGATTTATGGTCGGAGTTCTCAAACATAGAACTAGCAGATCCATCATTTCGGAAACCAAACAAAATCGACATTCTTCTTGGAGCTGATGTTTACAGTCAGATTTTGTTAGATGGTGTAATTAAAGGACCTCCAGGTGTACCTATGGCTCAGCGAACTTCGCTTGGCTGGATAATTTCTGGCTCTGTAAATATAGGTTCATCAATGACACAAAATCCAATAAGTATGCACATTTCTCATGTAAATGAAGATGAGTTATTAAAGAGATTTTGGGAATTAGAAGCTGATACTTGTTTAGATTCAAACAAGCATTTAACTGACGAAGATAAGAAATGTGAGGAGATATTTACAAACACTACGAAGCGCGATGATTCAGGTAGATACATAGTAAATTTGCCTTTCCGTAGTGATGATCCTAGTTGTAAATATGGAAATTCTAAAGATATAGCAATAAAAAGGTTTTTGTATCTGGAAAAAAGATTACTGAGAGATTCTGATTTAAAAATGAAATATGCTGATGTTATATCAGAAAATATAGAGTTAGGACATATGGAGGAAATACCTATAGATCAATATAACGATCCTGAAGCAGTCTATTTACCACACCAAGCAGTAGTGCGGGAAAATAGAACTACCACAAAGGTAAGAGTTGTCTTCGATGCGAGTTGTCCTGGTACCAATGGCATCTCATTAAATCAAGATTTATTAATTGGGCCAACTTTTCAGCCAGAATTGCGTCATCTCTTAATGCGTTGGCGTTATTATCCAATATGTCTTATATCTGACATAGTAAAAATGTATATCCAAATAAAGGAGAAATATACTAATTTTCAACGTTCAGTCTACGTGTGTGTGTGTTGCTTTTCGATATTTAGAGAAAGTAACATATAATGATGATAGATATTCTGTAGCTACAGAAAGAGTTATTAATCGGTTTTATATGGATGATATGCTTTTTGGTTGTGTATTTGTTGAAAAAGGTAATGACATCTGTAAACAGATAAATAAATTATTTCAACGAGGAGTATTTGAATTACAGAATTGTGTGTGTGTGTGTGTTTTGGTGAGGAAAATATAGCTTTAAAAAGAAACAATCAATTAAAGGTAGATAGCTTAATGTTTCTTGGGTTTACTTGGATTCAAAGTAAAGATGATTTTGAATATGTTGTACGCTTACTTCAACTGAAGATACCTGAAAATAAAAGAAATGTTATATCTGATATTTCTCGTATTTTTGATCTATTGAGATGGTTAGCTCCAGTAATCACCAGAGAAAAAGAAGTAGCAATGGTTATGACGTCAGATACAATAAACACACACGCTCTTACGAATTCAATCATCTTTTTGTCGTGGCTTTATAGGAGACCTGCAAGGTGGAAAACATTTATAGCGAATTGTGTATCAGAGATATTCACTTTATTGAAACTAAGTCAGTGGGATCATGTTGGTTCAAAATATAATCCTGCTGATTGCGTATCTCGTAGTGTGATGAATTTAGAAAATAAAGACCTAAGGAAATATGGTTCTTGGCTGAAAGAGGCAATTATAAAATTTAATAAATCTGTAGTAGAAACTAAATTAAAAGAAAAGAAGATTGAAACACATTTAACACATACCTGTATAAATAAAGATGAAAACAGAGCTGATGATGAAATGATCGTGAGATTTTCTTCAATGAATATTGTTGCGTGTTGTTGCACTGTGTCAGAGATATCGTTGTTGTCGTAAACAAAATGTGTTACCACAATTTATATATACTGTAAAAGAAAATACTTTATAAACATGTATTAATAGAACTAAAGAAAACTTACCTTCAAGATAAATTGAAAAAAAAAAAAAAAAATAGTATAAAAAAAAAGTATACTTACCGTCTACATGAATTCATGAAGCTGGAATCAAATAGTCGACGGCCGGTTATAATGTACTAATACGTAAGATACAATGTATTATTGGTTAGAGATACAAATGAAAGATCTCCACACGGAGACCCTCAGTTGATTCTCAATTATTTACGTCAATCGGTGATATTGTGTCAGTAATGGAGAGTGATCTTCCTCCTGCAAAATGGCTTTATGGTATTGTTGTTCAAAAGCATCCTGGATTGGACGGTATTACTCGAGTAGTCAGTTTACGATGTAAAAATAATATAATAAAAAGGACTGTCTCAAAACTTTGTTTCCTACCATTGACTAAATAAATATTGTAATATAGTTTAACTGTCTTAAATAAGTGTACTAAAACTTTTTGATTTGAACTACTTGTAACTTTTATTGTTATTTGTTTAGCTATTGTTATGATATTTTATGATAATTTAACATAATTCCAAGTTACATTATATTATTGTTATGTAGTTATGGTCCCATATATACTCATGGTGGGCGGAATTAAGGATAATATTGCCATATTGTCCTTGGTGGGCGGTATGATTAAGTATGAATATAAAACCTCCTTGGCCATCTAAGTATATTTTACTTTTTATTTACGTAATGATTCGAAATTCGAAATTTGAAAATTATTATAACACAAGTTTGATACCATAACATGGCGTATTAATAATTCATTTTTTATTTTGTAAATTAATTAATATTAAACACTAGTGGATGAAAGGAAGTGGTATTATTTTATTGGATCCGTTAAACATATATACTGAACTGGATGGTGGGGCAAAAATTAAAATATAACAAATTTGACGTTCATAAGAGGCTAAAATGTCCTACATGAATAAATGATTTTTGAATTTGAATGGAGTAGAATAGACTAGAATGTAATAGAATAGAATAGAAATAAAACTCAACTCGTATTCTTTCTTGTATTCATTTATTCTAAACTAGCTACTCGCCCGTGCTTCGCACATGTATCACATACCTTCCTCTAGAATTACTTTTATCTATTACAAAAAGACGCATTATAACCCGTTGCGCAGTTTTAAAGATTTAAGCATACATAGGGACGGACAGAAGGCGACATTATTTTATAATATGTAACAGGGGCGGATCGTGACTTTATGGGCCCTGGGCTAAATCTACTTAGGGAGGGGGAAAGGGGATTGTTAGTAATGTGGATTTTTTTTTTTTTTGTGGATGATAATGGAATGGTGCACTCGCCTGCGCTAACGGTTTACGCTGGCGGGGCACCAGTGGAGGATGATAAGATGAGCATGAGGTCAGGTCAGTTAGCCCATCGTGACAAATTCACCAGGAATTTGTTACGATGGTTTCCAGGGGAACCGCGTGGAGGTCGACCTGACATTGTACATTGCTAGCAATGGGGTTATCAATCCACATTACTGGGGGGAAAGGGATTGTTAGTAATGTGGATTGATAACCCCATTGCTAGCAATGTATCATGTCAGGACCTCCACGCGGTTCCCCCTGAAACCATCGTGTTAAATTCCTGGTGAATTTGTCACGATGGGCTAACTGACCTGACCTCATGCTCATCTTATCATCCTCCACTGGTGCCCCGCCAGCGTAAACCGTTAGCGCAGGTGGGTGCACCATTCCATTGTCATCCAAAAAAAAAAAATCTACTTAGGGACCTAATTATATTAATCAACTAAAAAAATACACCGACCAAAAGCGACCAGAGATTCCCCGTTCCTTTTAATAGACACGCACTTGCATGGGTTGATTGATCTCAGGGTTGCCAACCTTATGAAAGGTTTTTTAACATTTTAGATATTTTTTTAAATTCTAAATATTTCTTTTAAATTCTGCAGCCCAAAAAGCCCTTAAGTAGATCCTCCCCTACTATGTAATGTGATTTCGAGATGAGATGAACTGACAAGAAACTCAACTCGTGTTCTTTCTCATATTCATTTATTGTAAATAACGTGACCCTGTTGTCAACATGAGGCTTTCCTGCACTGGTACACCGGCGAGGGTATGGACGAGATGGAGTTCACTGAAGCCGAGAGCAACATGAACGATCTGGTCTCCGAGTATCAGCAGTACGAGGTCAGTTCCCATCATTCCATACTCTTCGACTACTTGGTTTAGGACGGGGTTTGTTATTAATATAGTTTTTTTTTTCGGACTACTCTAATGCTGTTGGCCGCAGCTGGCCTTTACAGCTTCACCGGACGTTAGGGGCGAGTGCAGATGGCACTCCAAACCAAAGGAAGGACTTATGGAGCGGCTGAAGGCCAACTCCTGCCTGACGGATACGAGTTTAGTTTGAGGCCACCACTAGGGGTTCGAACCTCGGCTCAGGCCGTCGTAATTTCGATCCCCGTTTGAATTGGACGGGGGATCGATCGGAGGGAAAAAGCCAACGACACGTGGTGTTCCCAGGCGGTCACCCATCCAAGTACTGACCACGCCCGATGTTGCTTAACTTCGGTGATCGGACGAGAACCGGTGTATTCAACGTGGTATGGCCGTTATTAATATAGTACGAGGTCAGTTCCCATCATAACATAATCTTCGACTACTTGGAGGAGGGGGGGAGGGGGTTCTTAACATAATAATAATAATAATAACCCTAGACAATTCACACAGCGCCATCTTGTTTTAAGGTAAGCAGAGCTTGTGTTATGGGTACTAGACACCTGATATAAATACATGGATACTTTTTTGTAATTACATACATAGTATTCACAGAAGACACCCAGACCGATGCTAACAATAATGTTTATGAATACAAATGTTTGTACCGCGCGAGGAATCGAACCCGCGGCCAATATTATAATTTGATATGTTATATAATTTCGGGATATTTTTATTGCGTCCGTTGTCTAGTACTCTTGGGACTAGATGGCGCTGTGTGAATTGTCCAGGGTGATAACCCTGTTGTAATAAAAATATATGTTATTTATATCATTTATCATTATTCAGGAAGTTGGAGTAGAGGATGGAGAATTTGATGAACAAGAGGAAATGCCACCTGAAGATTACACAGAGGAATAGTCATACTTTTTTTTTTTAATTTGAACGTGTGATAGTGCCCTTTTACTTTTTTTACTGCTACTCGAGTCAGCTCACGATCACGGCTAGTGCAAACTAGTCGAAACGTCTAGAGAGGTAAATACTTTTATTTGCCATAAAATTATTCATATCAAAAACCCGTTTAACTGTATTAATAAAGGTACCCTTTTCAGAAGTGATTTAAAAAATATATTTTGTTTTTTTTTAAACATAGGTATCCAATTCCACAACAGTTTTAAAAAAAGAACTATCATATATTTTAAAAATTTGTTTTTTTTAATACTAAACGTGTCACAGGAACCTATCCTATTTAACAAGTTTTAAAAAAATAATTGTATTTTATTGAATGTAATTACTATTGTTACTGACTTTATTGTTTTAATATATTAATATGAATTTTCTTTAGTCATTTTTTATTTGTTAATGAGTAATTTGTTTTATTTTATCACTTTGTAGTAAGTTTATTGTCGAACACGTGATATTTACATACCTTGAAAGTTCTTTAGTCATGTTTTGTTAAAAAATATTTTTTTTATAGTATAGGTACTAGCTTTTACCCGGTTTTGCTCGCATTGGATCCATTTAATAACTACATTACTGTAATACTATTATATGGCGCTGAAGTAGCAAAATATTGATATTATATTTTTTTGTTTTTTTATAAAAAAAAGAATATGTTCATTCTAGTACCTCGAAGAACTTGTGTAAAAAATTTCATGATGATCGTTTCAGTAGTTGTTGCGTGAAAGCGTAACAAACAGCCCTACTTACATTTATAATGTTAGTAAGGATTGATCATGTGATAGGTACTCTTTTACACAATAGATTTAAAAAAAAACAAATTTTGTTTAAAAATAATTTGTTTTATTTACGAGTTTACTTTATTGTTTTAGTTCTTTTTGTATAAAACGTGTGACATCCGTACATTTTGAATTTTATTTCAATTTTTGTTTTGTTAATTATTTTATTTTATCACTTTGTAAATATGAGTATTACTACGTAGAAATAGAAATAATCTTTATTCAAATAAACTCATTACAAGCACTTCTGAATAGTCATATTTTGATTCTACCACTCATTCAGAACGCAGACTCATCACAAGAAGAATGAGCAAGAAACTTGTGTGTTGCTCTTTTAAATAGATTTTTTTTGTTATGTTTTTATATTGGACGTGTGATGTTCATAGAACTTGATATTTTTAGTCATATTATGTACATAAAGACAATAAATTTTTGTTGTTAATAATTTTGTTTTTATTAAATATTATAACTTTTGCCTAGAATGAGTAATCGTTAGATTTTTTGTTTGCAATATGCAATTAGAAATAGAAATAATCTTTATTCAAATAAACTCAAAACAAGCAGTTTTGTATAATCATATTTTTTTATTCAAAACGCAGACTCATGACCAGAAGAATGCGCTAGAAACTTGTGTGTTGCTCTTTTGAATAAATGTTATTAAAGCAGGAAACGGGTATGCTCCGAGATTCGGATGCGGCTTCGCTCGCATTAATTTATCCCCTTAGGGGTGTAATTTATCAAAATCCTTTCTTAGGGGATGCCTACGTCATAGTAGCTTTCTGCATGCAAAGTCTCAGCCCGATCGGTTTGAAATTGACAAAGTTTCATACAAACTTTCAACCCCTATTTTATCACTTCGGGGGTAGAATTAATCAAAATCCTTTCTTAACGGATGCCTACGTCATAACATCTACGTGCATGCCAAATTTCAGCCCGATCCGTCTAGTGGTTTGGGCTGTGCATTGATAGATCACTATGTTGAGTTATATATATTTAGATATATAATAGATGGTAAAAATAAATAATACCACTAATTTGACATTCAGAAGCAGCCAAAATGATGTAGGTCATTTTGGCTGCTTCTGAATGTCAAATGAATAAATGATTTTTATTTTCAATTTGAATTAAAAGGAAAAAATAAAACTTAAGACTTAGTTCATGACTTTTTACTAGTAACATTAAATTTAATTACATTTAACGGTTTCACAGGTACTTTTCTAATGACTTCATTACCAAACTTCTTATAACTCAAACCTTCATCTATATTCGACACAATTTCATTGTCTATGGAAGTGCAATCAACTATTTCTATATTATCATTACCACTGTTTTCATTAATTTCATTTCTATCATTACTATAACTGCATTCATTATCATTGTTTCTAACTTTTGTTGTACTGCTATCGTTGTCTCTGTTTTCGTTAACAAAACACGGTTTAAAATGTTTCTCTATAGTAATATTCTGTTTAATTTTTCTTTTCTTAGTCACAACAGGTTCGTTGGACATATTTATTGTATTAACTTCTCCCATGTTCAGTACAATTTTATTACAATATACCTTTTCATTGTCAATTTCCACCTTATTCTTCTCAACGACAACATCATTATTCATATTTCTCAATCTGAATAACACATTCTGTTTTCGTTGCATCAATTTGTGTTTCGTTTCGTTAATATCTTCAAGTTCTGGTGCATAACACACATGTAATGATCCGCCGTAGAAGTTTTTGGTGTCGAGCATGCGTTTTGCTACTCTGGCAGACTGTATTTGTTCGTATTTGGCGTGATATGTCTCAGTGAACTGCTCGGACTCGTGTGAGGTTATATTGAATTGTAGAAGTTTCCCAAACTTGGCAAACAATGATTTGGTCTCTTGACGTAGATTTAGAGATGGTACACCGAATATTAGAAGATGATTGGATTCATTGTTTATAGTGTATACCTAAAATAAAAAAAACTTAATTAGAATCTTAATATTACTGTAGCAACACAGTTTCTACACGTGTCACTAGTACGCTCAGAATAAAATCTCACATGTCCCCCTCAAAACCAATGGGGAACCACAATCCACCAAGTGGGATTCCCCACAGCAAGGGGTAGCCCCCCTCCCCCCAAAATCTATTAGATATACTGCAAAATGTGTCCTAACGTTAATATTTAAAAAAAAATCATATAAAATAAAACTGAGGAATCGAAACCCCTCTATCCAGGGTCCTTTCAAAAAAAGAAAACAAGATGACGGCGAAGACCCAGGAAAGAATATTAATAAGTCAATTTTACCTTCACAGCAGTCAATTTTCTGCCTTGCCTGTAAGGCAACCGCGTAGTACACAATTTCTGCTGTACATGATGTGATAATAGTGTTTTTTTCTCAGTCTCTGTGGTCATCTTTTGATGTTGGTCGAAAACTTCAACCAGTTATTCTTTGTAGAAGCTGTTCTAAACTGTATAGACTAAACTATGTGTATTGTTTAATCATATAATATGAATATACTTTACTACTGCTTAATATTACAAATTAATATACGTAAAGTATTAAAAGTTATAAATTAAAACAATGTATTTATTATTCTTGTGGCAGAAATAAAAAAAGTTATGAAAATAATCTGTGCACCTACCATAGTATCTAAAGTCTTCATCTAGTCTGTGAACTGAGATATCGCCAAGGTTGCCATTCTTAAATCTTTCGCAGATGCTATACGTAGTAATAAAAATTTTAATTTTTGATAATGTAATAGTTCGGTCTTTCGGAGGTGCGCCATCTAACAATACTACATGACATTTTTTCTAATGTAATAGTCTAATAGTGTACTCAATATTTTGGAGGTATTGGGAATGAATGATAATGTATAATACTCTAATCGTGAACTTGCTTTCGCTAACGTTTACCAACGCCACTGGAGGATCATTGAATGAGACATTTTCTGATCTGTGAGAAAGAGTGTGAATAGATACGTGGTAATAATGAGTTAGCTTAGTAAGTTTATGACCAATTCATTAGGAATAACTATGAATTTCAAGGAAGTTCGGATAGTGAGCGAGAGTTACTTAGAATATTTATTGCACTAACTTCTTTTTAAATATAGTTCTGATTATGAAGAGGCTTTGTTAGTGCAACTGAATAATAGATAAACAAGATGACAAATAACTAATTTTATGCGGGGATAAACAATTTAGCCCAATTTTTAAATAAGTGTCTCGTTTTTGTAATTGCTTAGCCTGAAAAACCTATAGAGTGTTGGCAACACTGATTAAATTTTTATTTATTTCTGGAAACTGTTTTGTCATGGTGGGTCGTGTCGTGTTGGTTAGTGATTTATTGATTTCTTGTCAATTTTCATTGTGTTAATATTTTAAAATCGTGTTTTAATACTAGAAACGCAATAAATAATCTCGTATTGCATTTTGTAAGTCTACAAATGAAGTTATTCGTCAGTATTGGTCGTTTTTGTTACTTGTCATGTATCGCAAAAATTGGGAAGAATGGAAGTTCGCTGAAAAAATACAGCGGATTCAGCGAGGCATTTTGCATTCCTTCTAGTAGTTTTTAAAATTCAAACTTGTCTACATATGGCGTCTTTTTTATTCAACATTTGTCTTGGGTTTCCTGAATTCGTGCCGCCATAATGTATCGTGTTTAGATTGGTTTTGGATTTTGTCATAGATTCCATTTTTGAATTTTATTTTTTATTGGTGCGTTTTATAAATTCTAACTCGGACGATTGTTGCGTATTTTTTTAATCGATTTTTTGGAATTGGTGACATCTTTGTTGCAATGCTTCAGTAATATTTCGAATACATTGTCATTTCGTTATTGATCGTATTGTATGTAGTTATGTCTACCTGCAAATTTGTGAATTCTCTGAATGGAAACTTCTGGAGACTTCTACAATACAATTTTAGCTGCTTCCTAATTATTCGAATTACAAAAAAATAACAAACTATATTGATATATCTTTACTAGTTTTTTTTTTATAGGAATGTCTGGTTTGGTTATGAGTGTTGTTTTTGGTTGCTAAAATGGGTTCAGCAAATTCTTGTCTTTACAAATAGGTCTGAAAATTTGTGAATTATCCTCATAGTATTGAAAACCACAGACAATCCTTGTTATAGTATTGAAAAATAGTATCCTTGCAAAACTGTGTATTCATAAGTGTTTATGGATGATATTTTTTTTTATATTTAAATATGGAATGGTGAAACCTGCCTATGCTGTATATGTTCAGATACAGAAGAATGTAGATAGGTTTGCACATTATAGTGACTACTAGGAAATTGTCTATGATTAGTTTGGTGACAGTGTGAAGGTTATCTACCACCATATATTGCTGGCATTTGGGCATCTAGTCTTGCAATTTGTTCAATACATTGCTACCTCAAGAAAAGTGGTTTTAGTGAAATATATTTGTCAAATCTGTGATATATTGTATTGTATTGTATGTTGGACTCCATTCTCCGCAATTAGCCTCTCATTCTCCGCAATTAGCCTCTCATTCAGGCCGTTGTGCGTGTAGAGCCAGACTATTAAAGTAACCAGCCAAGCTCCTCCCAAAAGCGCAGAAGACTCCTGGTGTCTTCGCAGGCTTCATGGAGCGACCTCACCGTTCCGAGGATTTGTTTTAGTTGTTGGGCCACTGCCGTGCACTCCAGGACTACGTGAGCCGCCGTTTCTTCAGCTTCAAAGCAGCCCCGACACAGGGGGCTGTCTGTAGCATCAATTTTGTATAAGTGTTTGTTTAAATGTTGGTTGAACTATTTCAACCTATAAAAAAATATTTTGGATGTTATTTAATATTACATGACATCTGTTTTGTCAAAACTGTCGTTATAAAACAGAATGGTTGAAAAGAAAAAAAAAGTTGGACGTTGTAGAAAAATAAACAAGAAACTACACTACTAATGTCTCAACAGAGTTACGGTAGGAAACGAGTATTATCTGGTATTGATTGTGTGAAAGCTGGAGACCAAGACGACGAGCAAAGAAAACGGCACCGGTACAGTCGTAAAATAATTGTGTATTAATGACTTATGTCATATATAAAAACAATATAATATTATAAAAATATAGACAATATAAAAGGTTTATAAACAGTTTTCAATAGATTGAATTATTGATTTGTGATTTTGGTTGAACACAGAAAAAATGGTTCACCAATAACTCTCTGTTATTGATGATAATTTGTTTTGTTTAATCTGTGTTTAAAAAAAATAAAACTTATGTCTGATTACAGTTGGAGCTCAAATGTTGGTTGAAATAGTTACCTAAAAATATTTTGGATGTTGTCTAGTATAACATGACATCTGTTTTGTTGAATCTGTGGTTAAAAAACAATGGAGAAGTCTGAGTACAGTTGTCTTAAATGTTGGTCGAAACAAAACAAAATGTTGGATGTTTGATTAGATGAAATTTGTTTCATCAAATATGTGATTAAAAAACATTGTATGGTTGAAAATAAATAAAAAGTTGGAATATGCATATGGGACACAGTCACCTAGATACATAAAATAATAATTGCATTTAATAATGTCTAGTAAGACAAATTCAATATTGTCTACTAGGCACTGCTGTATCTAAACTGTGTCAAAATAACATTATTTCTATGTACACATTGTCAGTTTATCATCATCTTTTTTTATTAAAAACTCACAAAAATCTACCACAATAAACAAACTTGATACCATCTTTTTTTTGGTTCGGTTTTCCCTTTTTAGGGAAAGGCAAAAGGACTCAGCCCATACAGCCTTCAGTAATTTTTTTTTTTTATTTTTTTTTTTTCTAATAATTGTCTTCAGAAGTTACAAATCTTGAAAAGTTGATATAACGTACTCGAAAAGGGTTTGTAAGTTTCTGGGTTCTTCAATAGATTCTGGATGGAGCGCTGGACTTGATACCATCGACAAACGACAACATGTTCGACCTGTCAAATTTTGTTACTAAAATTACAGCGGGATTTCTTTCATGAAAAAAACCTTAGTATTACATGAAAGTTGATTTGTCAAATCGGAGATTAAAAAACTTGAAGTTATATCCGTGTAGAGTTGGGTCTGAAATGTTTCTTGATATAAAAATGGTTGATTTGTTTTAATAGAATTCCGATTAAAAAAATAATCGAGTTATGTGTTTGTCTAAGTACTGTCAGGTGATCTTAAATTTTAACTGAAAAAAAAAAAAAAAACTTCTTTTAATGGATGCTAAGTTGAACTATGTGAAAAATGACTCTCTAAAAGAGGTGCCTACAGTCACTCATAGAGGTAATCCTCGTTTATAGAGTTTCTCACGTAATCAGTTTAGACTGTATTAAGAAATTTGTTTTATCAAGTCTGATAAAAATACATGGATCTATACAAGAATGGAGTGGTCTTAATGTTAGAATTCATTATTATTGTAGAAAAAATCCGATAGCGGTGTGCTAGACCGCTAGACCACCGAGGTCGTCAAATATATCATAAGCAAATCGTTAATAGATTATTTTTTCATGTAGTCCTTTTGAAACATGCATGATAATAATGAAAAGCCTTCTAGTTGTGATGTGTGTACTAATACCACTGTTTTGCTATTTCATGTCAGAATATGAACTCTGATTAAGTTACTCATTGAGTTGTTTCCTGGAATATTTTGTTTAATTCGAAGAAAATGACACAATGTTTTATTTTTAGTGTCCTAAAAAATACACTTTATTCCCTAAGAGGTATAACTGAGAGCTAAGATACATTCCATCAAAAAAGTACCAGGAATTGTTTCCTGTTGAATAAAACGCAAAAATTAAACCTTTAAATTTATTTTGTCGCCATCAATTTATTTATTTTTTTTTTATTTATTTAACTTTAATGCACACAATATAAAATATAGTATAGTACATTTGGCGGACTTAACACCATGCGGCATTTTCTACCAGTCAACCATTGGTGGTGCAGAGAATAATTGTAATATTTAAAATTATTTATTATAAGATTAACTTTGCGTTGCATTTAAAAAAAAAGTTAAGGTGGTAGATGGCTTTAGATTTCTCTAACGGTATGAAATTTGTTCGATATCAGTTTTTGAACCAGAGTTATAATTTTTTTTACATGATCATGACTCTTTCCACGAAATTCTTTTTTTGATTTTTGTCATTGGCCCTTCCCCAAACACAAAAGTCGATCGGGATAAGGTCTGGCGATCGCGGAGGCCAAGGAAAGGAATTATTTAGAATCTTTCTTACAGTTGCGCTCTAATGAGGAGCTGGGCACCCGTCGTATTGGAACACAATAGCAGCATCTTCCTGAAATGCTTCTTCTAATAAATCTGGTAATTGGTTCATTAGAAATTCCACATAATTGTGTCCATTTAGGTTGTCGAGTAAATAGTGCCGCCCAATTAACCGGTTGCCAATCACTCCAGCCCTGACATTTACGCTAAACCTTCTTCGAAAAGCCCTTGGTCTCTTGACGCGTGAGTTTATTTCCTTTGGTGCCCACTGGTGTAATTTATGATAGTTGACTATTCCTTCCCTATCAAATTTGGATTCGTTGGTCCATAGAATTCGCCTTAAAAAGTTGATATCACCTACATCGGTGTGGAGCAAATGGCGGCAGAAATTCATACGCCTCCGGAAATCATTA